CACTGCGCCACCGGGGAGGCCCCAAAGTAGGTTGTTTTATTTTAGAAACTCTACCTTACTCAAGAAAGGCTATATGTTTCTTTTAGACAAAAGTTTAAAATTTGGAAGAAAAGAAGAAAAAAAGTACAGTACATAGAGTCAATGTGTAAATAATGATCTGATGTGCTTTCTCAGTTCTAACATGTACATTGTTTTTCACATTTAGAATTTTCTGTTATTGGTGTTGTCTTAGATTTGATGAAATAGAACATTCATTTATTCAGTAGGTTGAGTTGGGTACCTGTTGCAGATCAGATACCATGTTTAGCCCTGGTCATAGGTTTGAGAAAAATAGATATAGTCCCTGTCCTCATGGTCCTTATAGTGGACAAAAAGTAACAAAGGTATGTCAGAAAATGTAACAGAGGGGCTTAATTTTGATGGAGAATTTATATTGTCAAGGTGAGATGTGAAAGATAAGCAGGAATTAGTTACAAAGGGAGACTAAGGTTTCCAGGCCAAGTAGAAGCATGAGAATGTCTTGAGACTTGAGGTAGTCTGCGTTGCTTAAGTTGTTGAAGCAAAACCAGTACATATCACCCTCCGTGGGGTGGAAAAGGGTCTAAACAGTGGGGAGGTGGCAGTTGTCACTGATGTGAGTCTAGTCCTTCAAACCTTCTGGAGACAGATGCCAAATAAGGTAGGAATCATAGTGCTGTGCTTAATCCCTTGCGCCACCAGGGAGGCCCATATGTGCACATATTAAATGAAAGACAGCATTTAACATATATAATTATATAATTACTAAGAGGGACAGTTTTCTGTATTACCTATTTTCTTTAATAATTTTTGTTTCTTTGATTCTGAAAAGTCTGTTAGGTGTTTTGGAGTAGTAGTGTCTGAATTTTTATACCAAAACATGCTATAAAGGTTATGTGAATTACTTAGTGGCCATATGGAATATCAGTGTTAATGTTAGGGTTCAGAGGAGGGGGTGTTGAGAATTCAAAATTTCTCTCCTGCTGTAGTTTTCAACCCAGAGTGACACTGAGGTTTTATCATAGGCTTTTTTGAATTGTCATGTAAAACATTCATTTTTTGCCGACATTCACAATGGGTTATCAAAAATGAGCCAAGGCGGACTCCTTAATCTCCTAGCTGCTTACGATTTGGTGGGGGAGGTAAGAAAGATGTAAACATGTGCTGTATGAAATGCAAAAAGCAAAGGATATATGTGGGAGTTTGGGGGAGGAGTGATAATCACGGGTCAGATTTTTGGGGATTCAGGGACGGGTCATTTTCTGTGTGCTGCCAGTCTTGTTCCTGAAGTGTCTGGGGCATCAGAAACAACTGCTCTTGGTGCTCACACCTTAGAATCCCTTGACTCACAAAATGCAAGTTTTAGCAAAACTTCCAAAACTTCCAATGAGTCATCAGCATGAATCAAGGACCTCTGGTCTGTTGTTACTGTGGTAGGATATAAAGAAAAAAAAAAAAAAATGCTGCCCCTTCAGCCTGGAGGGTGTGTACAACCTGTGAGAAGGGGGGGCTGTGTGAAGCTGAGTGTGTCCCCCAACCCCTTCTGTTTTGTTCTTCCGTTTGACTTTGTCAGCATTACCTCATCACTGCCAGGCAAGCCTCATTAAATTGCATTGTAGAAGGACAGATGGTTTTAATTTTCCTTACAGGCCATTATGCAACTTAAATCTGTGTGAGCATCATTTTCTCAGGTTTTGACTATCATAAAATTTAGCCATCTCTATTTTGCCTTTGGTTTTATTTCTAATCTTATGGCCTTTTGTATTGTTAATGAAATTCTTTAGTGTGTATTTGCACTTTAGTGTTATTTATTTTCTTTTTTTCATCTCCAAGATTTTTGACTGTATTGACAGTACTTCAGTATCTCAGATTCCAAACTCTTGTTTTCCCTTCTCCTACTGTACTGGTTCCTAGATAGCGTTTACTTTCTTCCCTAAATCTTACCCCATCTCAACCACGCTTTGTGAATTCAGGAGGAATCTCATGCTGGGCCCATCAAGTTTACCTTTGTCACCAATTCCCAGTTCTCTGATCTCATTTTCTTCCCTTCCCTACGACTGTCTTAAATAGAATCAAAAGTGCTCCCCACCAGCTGTGGCAAGGAGGTTGAGTGGATTCAGAGATGACTTAAGGAGCAAACAATCTAGTGTGGGAGGTAGATAGATTCATAAATAATTAAAATAAAGTCTGTGATACCGTGAGGTGAACATGAGGAACTAAAACTAGAGTAGTGTGAGTAGAAAAAGGGGATGAGGAGCACTACAGGAAAGCTTTGCCATTTAGTAGGTAGTCACGACAAACTGAGTTACGTGACCTTGGTCCCTCTGTATGGCTGGACTGTGTCCAGTCTGATTCACTTTGGCTAGAATTATCTGTGGCTTGCTTCTGTTTTATCAGGAAGTTCCTGTGCTGACTTTTTTGGCATGTGTGTCTACCCTTTTCTAAATCCTGCCAGATTCTTGCTGCCATGTGTCCCATTTCTAGGTTTCACATGGGGGGCCTTGTCTCTCTGCTTGCCTTCCCACCGTCTTCGCACAGAATGTGGCTGGACAAGTTTAGTTCTCTTCTCCTCAGGGCTGCCATGTGCAGTTTCACTGGGGATCTGGGGCAAGGGTAGAAATTAGGGATGGAAGTGATAGTGTCAGATTGGACACCTCTTAGTTGTAGCCAATAAGGCCTATGCACCTCCCTAATGGACCCATTCTGTTATAGTTGTTTCTGTAGAGTCACTTACCTCGTTGGCTATGACAGAAAAGAACCTCAACAGACAGTGATAATAACTGTCTGCTTTCTGACTTGTTTCTCCTTGGATACTTTCCCAAGAGACCGAGATAAGATAAAAGGGAGGCTGGTTATTAGGGTGATGTTTGTTGTTTAAATACCTTGCCTCCGGTGAGTGTGAGGACCTTAGCCTCCCTCTACTGTGTTAACATTTAGTTCTTAGAAATCTAACCTCTGACAAATTACTGACTCATTACTATTTCTAAAATATGTAGGAAAATCTGAGCTAGGGCTTGCTATTGACACAGGCATTTCTTTCTAGATTGACTCACTATGACCCATTTTGGTGTCTTGTGCTTTTGTTAGTCAGATAGTAGGTTGTGACTCTAAATCTCAAATATTTCAAAATTTTTCAGGAACCAGAGAAAGTTACCAAAAAATTGGCTTCTAAAAGTGAGCTGCAGAGTGGGAGCAGTTGGTACACAGAAATGTTTATTGGATGAGTAAGATTTTAGTAATGTGTACAGATATTATTCAGTAACTGGGATAAAAGTTATAGAACAAATTTCAGTAACATTTAACATACAATATTGGTAATCACTTCTTAAGGAAAATATACTTAGTAAAACAATTTCAACTTGTATTAATATGTTAGCTCATGCTTTTCACAAAGTGTCTATGTGTGTAAGCCCTTGGCATAGACTAGATGAGTACTGCTGTAATCCCCATATTTCACATTCCTAAAATAAAGACAAAAGCCAATAGGTGGTCCTGGGATTAGAACCCATAACCTAGTTCAATACTGTTTCTTGTGCAGACTGCTCAGATAAAAAGTTTGATGAGTCTGTGATAATAAGAGGAAAATAAACCAATGAGAGTGTTTTTTTTACCACACAACTTTTATTCAATTTAAGGAGATGTCTTTTATTCTGAAATTCTTTTAATAAATACTAAGACTTAGCTGTGTATGAGGAACACAGAGACTGGATATAATGTTGAACAAGACAGGTACGAATTTATGTTCTGGTGAAGAGAGATAACAAATATATAAGCAACAGCATAACAAAAAGTTAAGTTTGGTAGTTATAAGAACTCTGAAGAAAATAGAGAAAGGCTGTTAGTGGTGATACATTCATGTGTGATGTTGTGAAGATGGGCATCAAGGTGCAGTGCACATGTTTGTTTGTTTGTTTTTAAATTTTTTACGTCATTGTTCATTTTTAAACAATATTTGCTGCCCCCCCCCCATCCCCCACTGGAGTAGTCCCCATAGAGTTTCATTCACCAATGCACCCATGCACAGTGCCCATGTTTTAAAGGGACATTCTTTGCGTGGATTCCAAGCAATCAGAAAAAATCTCTTTGGTGTAGTGTTTGAAGGATTCATTCACGTTAATTTATTATTTTTTTCTTCATAATTACACCTTAAGTACAAAATTGGCTTAAGAGAGAGCTAAACATCTGTTGCTTCAGGAACCACTGATGATTACTGTGCTTCTTTCATGATACTGAAACAAAGTTATTTCTGGCCATCTAGCACTCATCTTTATAAAGTAATAAAGGCAAAATATTAGACACTACTTTCCCATTTTTTTTATTAACAATAGAATTTCTGCAAAGAAAATTGCAGATATCCAACATGTAAAACAGCTGTGGTTCTAAGCCATAGGCTTACTCTCTTGTTCTTCACACCATAATGGCCCCTGAGGGATATCTGAGGAGTCACTAAAGCTTTGGAAAGTACAGGGTGATGACCACAATAAAAAACTTAATTGTAAACCCTGCTGTAAAGAGAGCTCTGCTTATGAAACTTGCATAGCTACTCTACCAGAGCTTCAAAATCTGTGAAAGTCCACATTAAGTGAAAAAATAATTACTGTGTGTATTTTTACCTAAAGTTACATATTCAGGTAGCATTTATTACATAAAACAAAGGCGCACTTTAACTGTAGCTGTTTCTTCAGAACATCCTTCCTCCTTGCCCCCAGGTTTACTAAGATATAATTGACATACAGTATTGTAAATGTTTAAGGTATACAGCATAATGATTTTATATACCTTGTGAGAAGATTATCATAGTATATAGCAGAGTATACAGCTAAAATAGTTTTCATCTACTAATTCAAAAATTAAATTTCATATTGATCAACAATTGTTTTTTCTAATGCTTAATTATAAATAGATCCATGTTATGTTTTATTTATCATTATAAAGTAGTTGATTTGCAAGTTTTTTTTTTTTCTTTCCTTTTTGTCTTTTAGTTTGCCAGGGTTTGGATACCTGATCCAGAAGAAGTTTGGAAATCAGCAGAACTGCTCAAAGATTATAAGCCAGGAGATAAAGTCCTCCTGCTTCACCTTGAGGAAGGAAAGGTAAGAATTTTGCCTTTTTTTTTGGAAATTGTTTTTTTTTTATATTCTTTTTTTAAATTTATACAAGCACTGAGTACAGTCAGAAGCACAGGAGGGTGAGAGAACTCATCAGAGCCAAAGCGGGGAGCAGAGCAGCCAGATTGACAAACTACACTGCTAAGGGGAGGAGCGGGCACAGGAGAGGCCTGCGCGCCATGTGGAACCCTCGCCTGCGACCAGGCATCTAACCGGCACTGCAGAGGCTGCGGGCAGCTTTGTAACCCGGTGTTCAACCACTGCGCCACCGGGGCCACTGCGCCACCGGGGAGGCCCTAAGAATTTTGCTTTTATATTAAAAATGGATCTGCCATATAAACCAGCAATTCCACTCTTAGGTATCTACTCAAAGAACACACCAACACGGTTTCAAAAGGAAATGTATACGCCTGTGTTTATTGTAGCATTTTTATAATAGCTAAGTTAAGGAAACAACCTGCATACTCAATAACAGATGAGTGGGTCAAGATATGTGTGTGTGTGTGTGTGTAATACTACTCAGTGATCAAAAAAGATAATTTCATGATATTTGTGGAAATGTGGATGAGGCTGGAAGGATTTATACTAAGTGAAATAAGCCAGAAGGGGAAAGATAACTACTGCATGATACCACTTATATGTGGAATGTAGAGAAACCAGAGACAGAGTGGTTCATCTAGGCTGGTAAATAATCAATAAGAAGAAAAGTCAAAAGTAGTTTAATAATAACATGTATATACCTCCTGTATATATGAGAGACCCAGCATGGGCTTCCCTGGTGGCACAAGGGAGCACTTCAGCGCTGTGAAGCTATAGGCAGCCACTGCAGTATGAGTTCAATCCCGGGCCAGGGAGCTGACCCACATGGCGCATCAGACCTCTCCTGTCTCGCCCGCTGCTCCCCTCAGCAGTGTATTTCAGTAGATCCACCTACTTTGCTCCCTACTCTGTCTCTGGTGAATCTTCTCACAACTCACCCCACCCCACCCCTGTCCCGCACCTCTGGCCTACACTCCAGTTCTTGTATGCATAAATAAATAAAATAAAAAATAAAAATAAAAAAAAGAGATACAGCATGACTAAATAACTCATCTGTGTGGCTTCAGACGCTCTTAAATAAGGGACTTTGTGGGAGGATGAGAAGGGGAAGGTCAGTCGAGGCCGGTACAGAGGAAGGCACAGTGGAGAAAGGTATGCAGACTAAGTTCTGCCTTCTCCACTGAAAGTGATGAGACAGGTCTTCCATGCACACACCCTTCCCTAGAGAAAAGTTTGTGTTTATAATTTTCAAAAGCTGGACCTCCCCCGTGGCACAGCGGGTTGAGCACTGCGCTGTGAAGCTGCCCGCAGCCTCTGCAGCTTGGGTTTGATTCCCTGCCAGTCAGGGAGAAACCCACATGGCGCGGCAGACCTCTCCTGTCTCGCCTGCTGCTGCCCTCAACAGTATCTTCAGTCCATCTGCCTGTTCTGCTTCCTGCTCTGTCCCTGGTGAATTCTCTTCACCGTCCCACAACTCTGGTCTGTACCCCAGTTCTTGTATAAATAAATAAATCTTTAAAAAAATAATTTTCAAAAGCAAGCTCTACCCAGGCTTAAGAGCCCCACCCAAGAAATCAAATTCAAAAAGACATATTTTGTAGTGGCAGATTTTTGTTCTCCTACAACTGGAGCTGAGATTTAGAAATGTGTATATGGTTCAACAAAGGTATTTGTGATGTACCATCTTAAGAGGTGTCAAATGGTATGATCTTTGACATCCATGTCAGGTAAGAGAGAGATGTATACTCACAAATAGTGTGACTCATGATATAATAAAAATATAAACAAAAACAAAATAGAAAAGAAGAGGTAGTAGTCAGTAGGGCAGGTCAAGATAATGGATCAGGGAAGCACTGTCTCAGCATAAGTAGACAAGGGGGAATATATTTCAGAGATCTAGAAAAATATGTGCAAAAGGAGTCATGACAGTAATGTACAGTCAGGGAACTACACGAGTTCCATGTAATTGGGATGTGGAGTCAGAGTACAGGACTGGTGAGAGGATGAAAGTTGGGCCAGATCCCAGAATCCTCACAAACCAGATCACTGAAGGCTAAAATGCTTACAGTTGCTATGCTATGCTATGGAGAGTGATTGTAGCATTTTTCACAAAGGAAGGATGGTAGGCTTGTGTTTTAGAAAGGACTCATTGGCAGCAGTTTTAAGGATGCATTTCAGGAGTACAAAGCAGGGAAGAAGACAGGGAAGAATTAGGCCAGATTGAAAAAGCCTTGGCTGCCAAATTTAGGGATTAATTTATTCAGCATTTATTGATGATCAACTCCCTGGTAGACATTGTATTAGGCACTTTGGGTTATATTTTCTTATGTTAATTCTCACTATAACCCTGTGGGTTTGCAGGTGGTTTTATAGCTATTTCCCATATAAGGTAGTTAAGACTCAGAGACATTAAGTAGTTTTGTCCAAGATCACACAGAAGTAGCTTTTGTGTATTGCAGGAAGAGTCAGCTTTGGATAAGGGTATTTCACCCTAGTAACAGGCAAGGAGAGGTCAAAGAGCAGATGCTAAAATTTTCTCTCCATTTAACATAGTTTATTCCAACCTGATTGGAATTTTTTACTTCTGTATATCTTTTCAGTATTAACAAAACCAGCTTATTCCTCTCTACAATTAAATTGCATCTCCCCCTTTTTATTTGTATGTTATTTGGCCTTAATACACAATGGAGTCACAATTTATGTTTGGCTTTGCCATAAAGTCATAATCCCTTGACTTTAAAGTGAGTTGTACTTCTTCACTGCTGGGTCAAGCACTTCATTTAAAATCAAATGCAAACTGTAGACTGTCTTTCCAAAAAACAGCACACCTATGTGTATTTAACAAATGTCCACATACATGCAGCGTACTGCACCAAATTTCAGGGTGGAATTCTTGGGTGTCTTGGGCTCTGGGTTTCCCAAGTCCTTACCAAATGTAAAATATTGCTTTTCGTAATTTTTTTATCACCCCCTCCCCGCAACCACCCCGTGAACTATTTCTGTTATGCCTTTTAAAACAAATTAGGGATTTAGACTATCAGACTCCAGCCACACAGGAAGTACATACCAGTATCAGAATTTGAACACACATCTATCATTCTCTAGAAGTGCTTGACCACTCTTGTACTGCCTGTCACATATCACAGTGGAGAGAAAAAAGGAAAGCTAATTTAACTAGCTAATGATTAAAAGCTTCTCATCCAGTAACTGGGTTAGGAAAAAAATTAGGCTATGACTTCTTCAATTATATCAGCAAAGGTTATTAATACAGTTTAATATATCTAGTGAAAAAGAAGACTTTTTTCATTTTTGCCATTTCCACCAGTATCTATGGTACTGAAATGTGCCAGAAAAATAATGCATTTCATAACTGAGAAGCAAATGAGGAATAGGAAATCATCTTAAGCCTAATGCATAGGCATGTTTCAAGTTTATTGCCATGATTAATCCATATGCTTTTATCTTGTGTGTTTTTAGGATTTGGAATATCATCTAGATCCAAAGACCAAGGAACTGCCTCACTTAAGAAACCCTGACATACTTGTGGGTGAAAATGACCTCACAGCCCTCAGCTATCTTCACGAGCCTGCTGTGCTCCATAATCTCAGAGTTCGCTTTATTGATTCCAAACTTATTTATACATATTGTGGTAAGTTTGCCTTGCTGTATAAGTGGACTGTGAACTCTCCTCTGTGGAAATACTGCACACGGGGAGAAAAGGTTGTTTTCTAGATTTTCTCTTAGAGACAAAATCCAAGAGTTATTGAAGATTCTTCAGTATAGTTAACTGATTTGTATTTTATACTGAATATTCTCTATTGTAAACTTACATAAATTTGCTTAAAATAAAAGCAACTGGACTCATTGCAACTAGACTCATTGGATTCTTCCCCCAGGGCCCAGGCCCCACAAGCCAAATTCAACGCCAATTTGCCGTTTATTTTATATTGGCAAACACTACTGCATGAAGAGTAGATGTTTAGCAACTTTTGCTAAACATCTTGGGCAGATTCAAGAAGTTTAGTGTTTTCTTTTTTTAAGTTATTTAAAAATGCAGGACTGACTTATTATTCTCGCTTGATATGCCTGGCTGGGCCTCTATTCTTTGCTTATTGTCTATTGGTGATCCAGTTCAGGATTCTTGTTCTCTTGCTAAGAAATTAAGCTTATATATATGGGTACATTCGGGTCCCTTTCTGCCTTTCTTCTCTCTGGTTTCCTCCTCTTATCCTTTCTTTTCTCCCTCTTTTCTGGCTCTTTTTTTTCCCCAACTGAATTCTTCTCTTTCTTTCACTAATCACTCTTCTGAGGTTCATGTCTGGTATTTCGTTCATTTCCTTCAGTGTACCCAACTTAGTGCTCATCATTTCTTTATTACTCTCAGTGGTTTGGACAGGAATAACTATCTTATTAAAATAATTCGTATCTTTTATGTACTTTTTATTAATACTTTTCTTCCCCATTTATCAGCTGAATGTTTCGTTTCGATTTTCATCTTTCTTCAATATTTATTTTTTTTGTTGTTGCACACATTCTCTTCTCAGTAAAATCTTCCCAGACTCCTTATATTTAAATAATAAATCCCCCTTTCTCCTCCTTACTATCTTCCTTCTCTGCTTTATTTTTTTCCTTACTACTATTTGGTATATATATTTATAAAAAAATTTTTTTTTCTCCATTGTTTGAATTTCCCACTAGAATATAAACTCCACTAGGGTAAAGATTTGTCTTTTTTTTTTAATTGTTGCAAACTGAGTACTTACAATAGACTTGATATCTATTGATAGTTGGAGCTGAATGAGTGACTTTATTAAATTAATATATACTCACTGTAAGATGGGAAATACAGAAATAAATACATAAAAGGAAAAAGAATTATATGTAATTCACCATAAAAACATAACTAATATTATGTTTACTTGTCTTTTCTTTGTGTATATGTGAGGGTATGAAGAGACATACAGTTGGAATCTATGTATAATTTTTACCACATTTTCCTGTGTCATTTAATTTTTTTAAACATTTTTTGCATACCATGGTGATCTGTCATATAAATGTAAAAAAATGCATTTAACTGGTTTTCCTTTCTCATATATTTTAATTGTACTCACTTTTATGAATAACTTTATGATAGACAGCTTTGTTTAAAAAATTGCATGAATATTTCTGATTATTTCATTTGGATACATTTCTAAAAGTGGAAATTTTGGGTTAAATATTATGAACATATTTAAACATATTTAATATTGTTTTAATTTTCATTATTTAAAAAATCCTAGTCCAGCTTTTAAACAGTGTTTTGGTTAGGACTAGAATAATAGGTTCAGAGGCAAAGGCTATGATATGTTTTGATCCTTACTAATTTGTTAGTTCACTGTTAACTGAAATTGAAATTTTTGTTAACTATGCTTCTCTCTTTAACAAGTTTGATATGCCCATTATTGACTTACTCTTTTGCTCTTTTACCCCTCCTTCAGGTATAGTTCTAGTAGCTATAAATCCCTATGAACAACTGCCTATTTATGGAGAAGATATTATTAATGCATACAGTGGTCAGAACATGGGTGATATGGACCCACATATCTTCGCAGTGGCAGAGGAAGCTTACAAACAAATGGCCAGGTTGGTAGAAGCTCTGTCTATTATTTCTTGACTTTCATTTGATGTGATCATTTCTTCTTTGCTGAGTCATAGATATCTTAAAATGAAACACTAATTCATAAGGAAATCTGCATCCCTATATTTATTGCAGCATTATTTGTAATAGCCCAATATGGAAACAATCTATGTGCCCAAAACCAGATGAGTAGAATCGAGAAAGATGTGGTATACACAATGGAATACCACTCGGTGATCAAAAAAGATAAACTCATGGCATTTGTAGTAACATGGATGCCACAAGAGATTATGCTAAGCAAAATAAGTCAGAAGTAGAAAGATAGTGGATGGTGTCATTTATATGTGGAATATATAGAAACCAATCAAAGGAGCAAACAAAGACAAACCTTCAAATCAACCCTGGAAAACTGACCATAGATCTCAGGTATCCAAGAGGGGAGGAAGGAAGCGGGGGTAAGGGAGGGGATGGAAGAGCACAAAGGACTATGGCAGACGACTGGGAGAGCTATAATGAGCACACCTAAGGGGAGAAATCCTACATTGTCAAAATATTAACAAAGATCTAAAATAATGGTACTTCATTAATATAAATAAAATAAAAAATAAAGTAAAAGTGACAACGTATTTAAAAAATTACAATAATAAATGCTTTAATTAATAAGCAATAAAATACAGTGACTGGCAACCTGTGAATTATTATTAAATAGGTAACCTAGACTAATTTATCTCAGATGACCTTCATCATTATTAAAATAACATCACTTTTGTATAAGGACATATAGTTTTTGTTTTTTTTTTTTTTTTTAAAGATTTATTTATTTATTTATACAAGCACTGGGTACAGTTAGAGGCGCAGGAGGGTGAGAGAATTCACCAGAGCGGAGAGTAGAACAGGCAGACTGACGAAGTACACTGCTGAGGGGAGCAGCGGGTGGCAGGAGAGGTCTGCGCGCCATGTGGGACCCTCGCCCGGCCACCGGGGATCGAACCAGCGCTGCAGAGGCTGCGGACAGCTTCGCAACCCAGCGCTCAACCACTGCGCCACCGGGGAGGCCCAGGACATATAGTTTTATTTTATTTTATTTTTTTTAAAGTTTTATTTATTTATTTATTTATTTTTAAAGATTTATTTATTTGTTTGTTTGTTTATACAAGCACTGGGTACATTCAGAAGCGCGGGAGGGTGAGAGAATTCACCAGAGCCAGAGCGGGGAGCAGAGCAGGCAGACTGACGAAGTACACTGCTGAGGGGAGCAGCGGGCGGCAGGAGAGGTCTGCGCGCCATGTGGGACCCTCCTCTGGTGGCCGGGGAGCAGCCGGGCGCCGCAGAGGCTGTGGGCAGCTTCGCAACCCAGCGCTCAACCACTGCGCCACCGGGGAGGCCTGACATACAGTTTTAAAAAACTGCCTTTGGAATCGCATGGCCCTATCACTAGACAAGGATGGATGTTATGTTTTACAGCGGAGTGGATCAAGGTTTGGTGGTATTAAGTGACTTGTCCAGTGCTGTTCTGTTAATGAGTGACATTAAATATAAAATGACTATAAATGTAGCTTTGTACTGCATAACATACCACATTATACCAGGTTCATATTGAATAATAATGAGTGTAAAAAGTTAAAGAGAAGTTTTTCTTTTTAAATTGTGGTAATACTGGGCCTCCCCTGGTGGCGCAGTGGTAGAGTGCTGGCCTGCGAGGCTGCCCACAGCCTCTGCAGTGCCGGTTCAATCCCCGGCCGCCTGCGAGGGTCCCACATGGTACAACAGACCTCTCCGGCTTCGCCCGCTGCTCCCCTCAGCAGTGTATTTCATTACTCTGCCTGTTCTTTTTTCCGCTCCGGCGCTGGTTAATTCTCTCACCCTCCCGCGCTTCTGACTCGACCCAGTGCTTGTATAAATAAATAAACAAACAAACAAATAAATAATTGTGGTAATACTAGTTTATAACACTAGTATTATAGGTTTTCAGGTATACAGTTTCTTATCTCAGCAACTAAGACCATGACCACTACCAAATGTCCAGTCACCTTCTGCCACCAATCTGTTAGCCCCCTTCTACCTATTTGCCCTTTCCTTCCACCATGCTCTCTGGTAACCACCATTCTGAGGTCAGTCTGAGGGTTTGGTTTGGTTTGTCTCATTATAGTCCACAAATGAGTGAAATCATCTGGTGTTTGTCTTTCTCCTTCTGACTTATTTCTGCTCAGCCAAATCCTCAAGGTCTATCCGTGGTATCAAAGATGCCAAGGTTTCATATTCCATTTGTGTAGATTTACCGCTCTTTTTATTTATTAATCTGTTGTCAGTCACTTGGGCTGTTTCCATTTTTTGGCTTTTGTGATAGTGCTGCAATGAACACAGGGTCCATAAATCTTTTTGAATTAAAATATCATATTTTCCAGTAAATGCCCAGAAGTGGATCATATGATAGTTGTATTTTTAATATTTTGAGGAACCACCATACTGTTTTCCATTGTGATTGTACGAATTTACATTCCCATCAACAGCGGGAGGATGTCTTTCCCTTTATATCCTCACCAACCCTTATTATTTCTTGACTTTTATAATAGCCATGGTAACCAGTGTGAAATAAAATCTCATTATGGTTTTGATGGGCATTTCTCTAATAATAAGTGATATAGAACATCTTTTCATGTGTCCACTAGTCACCTTTCTATCTTTTTTGGTGAAATGCCTATTTAGAGGCTCTGCCCATTTTTTAAATTGGGTTATATGGTTTTTATTTATTTATTTATTTAAAAAGATTTATTTATTTATTTATACAAGCACTGGGTACAGTCAGAAGCGTGGGAGGGTGAGAGAATTCACCAGAGCCAGAGCAGGGAGCAGAGCAGGCAGAAGGACCGAAGTACACTGCTGAGGGGAGCAGCGGGCGGCAGGAGAGGTCTGCGCGCCATGTGGGACCCTCCTTTGGTGGCCGGGGAGCAGCCGGGGATTGAACCGGCGCTGCAGAGGCTGCGGGCAGCTTCGCAACCCAGTGCTCAACCGCTGCGCCACCGGGGAGGCCCGGGTTATATGGTTTTTGGTTGTTGTTGAGTTGTTTGTACATTTTGGTTACCAACCCCTCATCTGATATATGGTTTACAAATTTATAAACATTCTTTTGGCAGGCTGCCTTTTTGTTTTAACAATGGTTTTGTTCATTGTGCAGAAATTTTAGTTTGATTTGTCCCATTTGTTTATATTCTCTCTTATTTATCTTGCTGTTGGAGATGAATCCACAAAAATATCACTGAGGCCAATATTAAAGAGCTTATCACCTATGTATTTTGTGCTTTTAGTTCTTAGATTGAAGCCTTTAATCCATTTGAATTAATTTTTGTGTATAGTGTAAGACAGTGATCTAGTTTCATCTTTTATATGTGACTGTCCAGTTTTCCAGCACCATTTATTGTATACGCTTAGATCCCTTATCATAATTAGTTGTCCATTAATATGTGGGTTTATTTGGGGGCTCTCAGTTTTATTCCTTTGTTCTGTGTGCCTGTTTCTTGTTGTAGGAATAGAATATAGTTAGTATAAGAGTCCATAGAGCTTACAAACAGATATAGCTGGCTATTTATTAGATGGCCTCTTCATATTAATCTTACTGGCTCTGTGAAGAAGGATTTAATAGCCGTGTTTCTTACCAGGAATTTGATAGCTTTAGTATATATCTGTAGGGAATATTTACTTTTTTTTTTAAGATTTATTTATTTATGCATACAAGAACTGGGGTATAGGCCAGAGGTGTGGGGGGAGGTGAGAGGATTCACCAGAGACAGAGTGGGGAGCAGAACAGGCAGACTGACTGAAATACACTGCTGAGGGGAGCAGTGGGTGAGTCAGGAGAGGTCTGCTGCTCTATGTGGGTAGCTCCCTGGCTGGGGATCGAACTCATGCTGCAGTGGCTGTGGATAGTTTCATAGTTTGTGTCTTAACCCCTTGCACCACCAGGGAGGCCCTACTTATCTTTATTTCACAGTCTTGTCACTCTAAAGCTTTCATTAGTGTGTCAGCACACTATTTAATAGTAAATATTTATACTTCAAAAATAATACTAGGTATTGTTATTGTGAAGTAGTATCAACTTTAGAGTTTAAATTTTTTCTTTCTGGTATTGATCTTGGGATCTAAAGCAGAAATCATACAAACATGGTAGAAGAGATTTTAAAAAAATCTTCATTGAGCTATAATTCACATGCCATAAAATGTATTTTTAGAGAGAGTATTTGGATGATTTTTAGTAGAGAATTTACAAAATCGGGCAATTATTACAACCACCTAAGTTTAAAACATTTTTATCACCTTAAGAAGAAGCCCTATACCACTAGCAGTCGCCCTCCCCCTGTACTTGGCAACCACTAATCTCTGTTTCTGTCTTTCTTATTGAAGTAACTTTACCTTATAACATATTACATTAGTTACAGGTATGCATCATTAAATATCAGTATTGTAGGGCCTCCCTGTAGCACACGGGGTTGGGACACAGCCTATGAGGCTGTCCACAGCCTCTGCAGCACTAGTTTGATTCCCCAGCTGGCCAGGGAGCAACCCACATGGCACAGCAGACCTCTCCTGACTCGCCCACTACTCCCCTCAGCAGTGTATTTCAGTCAGTCTGCCTGTTCTGTTCCCTACTCTGTCTCTGGTGAATCCTCTTATCCCCCCATGCCTCTGGCCTGTACCCCAGCTCTTGTATGCATAAGTAAATAAATCTTAAAAAATATATATATATATATAAGTATTGTATATACGATTCATAAATTTACCAGTAGAAGCCCAATTCTATCCTTCACTGTGAGTTTGACCCAGTTTTCCCACACCCTTCCTCCTTTCCTTCTGGTAACCAATAATTGGTCTTATAGTTTAAAGTTTATTTTTGTTTTATTTAGTTCATTCTTTAGTTTGTTTTCTCTGTATGCCACACATGAGTGAAGATTGTACAGGGTTTGTCTTTTTTGTCTGACTTACTTCATAGAGTACCTTGATTTTGATCAGTTAGTAATGTTTTGCATAACAAGAGAGATAGGGATTAGAGTTGTATGGGAAACCACAGTAAAGCACAGCTTTGGAAGAAAGCATTATTGTAAATTAGGTTAATATTTGCTTTATTTATATATTTATTTAAAAGATAAACTCATGTTATTTGCAGCAACATAGATGGAGCTGGAAGGGATTATATGAGCTGAAATTAGTCAGAAGGAAAAGATAAATACCACATGGTCTCATTTATATGAGGAATATAGAGAAATATTTGTTCTTTCTAACAAGGGATAAAAAGAAAGGAGAAACAATTAGGTTGATTGCTTATGAAAAAGTAAAACTCCAGGTTGTGTTTTATACAATGTTTATTTATAAACTAAAAAATTAGACCTAGATTCATGTACATTTTATCAAGGTACGTGGGCACACCCACTGAGTGGTTATCAGAGAGCCAACATCAGCTTGGATGGTTATATTAAATTGTGTTCTGTGTGAGTCAGGTCTGTAGCTGCATTACTTAATTTCCTTATTAAAGAGCTGAATGTGAGTTGAAAATATGCTCATTAAGTTTGCAAGGACAACTCATTAAATTTGGTGGTCTTAAAAAGTTATGATCAACATTCAATATGACCCTGATAAACTAGAGAGATTACATTTTTTAAAGGGTAAAGTTCAGAAGAAATTTTATAAAATAATACACCTGGTGTTTGGCTGGATACACCCAGTTACCATAGAGGAAAACTCAGTTTCCTTCAGTTACCATAGAGGGAACATAGACTAAAGTGTAACACCTCCCTCTTTCATTACTGAGAGTGGATAGTCTGCCTTTGAATAATTTTTTCCTCAAAGTTTTAGGTGCCTTTACTTAGTCTAATTTCTATTTCCTTCCTCCCACAGAATCTGGTTTCTCCTACTTACCATATAAGAGTCAATTCAGGAATTACCTACTCTAAAAAGCATCTCCTGACTTTCCATTTTTGCATCTCCCACCAATTCCTCCATGCTATCATAGGATCCTGGATAGGTTTCTTTTCTAGGAATTACTCTACTATATTTTAACTGTGTACTTTTCAGTATCTTTCAATAGGCTATGACCCTAGAGTCTTTTACTTTTATAGCGTGCTTGGCACATTGTGACAGCTCATGACATGTTTGTTGGATGAATGAATGAAGCAGTATTTTTAGGTGCGATTTTTGTTCACAATAGATCCTCTGGAACTGCCACTGACTGAAACATGGTAGAGGAGCTCAGCTCTGCTCTAAGGCACCCAATACTAATGTTATTTAGAATTTTTGCAAAGTTCCTTGAGAGGACTTGCCAATCCCTAAATCTTAAATTTAAATCTTTGATTCATGCATCTATAGGACATTCCAGTTTGCCCTGTCCTTGATGAGAAGTAGAGAATCTCTGTTCCTTATGTTGGTTTTATCAGGCCCTTGAAGTAATGTCGACATCTTAAGAGTAGAAAGAGGCTTCTTGTAATGTTAGAACAAGAGCACCAAGAGAATTATGAATAGTGGCTGATTAGCTAATCAAAATTTCAAGGAACAATAAGTTATTATTTGTATATGTATATATAACAATCTGAAGCCTATAGCTCAAATAGAAGAGGTTAGACTCTGATCCTCACTTTGAAGACTCTGATCCACACTTTGAAGACATACATGTTTTTATTCTTGATGGTTTTTTCTGTTTTTCTCCCTGGTTCTCTCATACTTTTTTTTTTTTTTTTTTATTTTGCCCTTTGTAAGTCTTTTTTCTATTACACCCGTCTCCCTTCTGAGTCTCTCCTTGGCTTCCCACGTCTGTTTCTGCCCTTGTTCTGGTTTCCTGCATTTATTCCTTCGATAACACAGAACTGAAAAACACTGACTATAGAATGGAGGCATATGGCCAAGGAGGGCATAGGGGGCAAAAAGGAGAGGGATGAACACAGGGAATGTGGTGATGGTTCACAGGTGTTACGGTGGCCGGAGAACTATGAGGATTACAACAATGCAAGAAAAAAATTTAATTAATAAAAAAAGACACAAATGACCAATAAGCACATGAAAAGATGTTCAGTGTCATCTATGTAAAAACTGCAATGAAAATACCATGTTCCTACTGTTGTTGTTACATGTACGAACCAGCAGAAACTCACCACAGCTCATTGATGAGAATGCAGAGAAAATGAAGTTAGTCACGTTCAGAAGTGGGTGGCGCTGTCAGTTTCTTTTCTTTGTTTTACAGAGATGAGCGAAATCAGTCCATCATTGTAAGTGGAGAGTCTGGAGCAGGAAAAACAGTCTCAGCTAAGTATGCCATGCGATACTTTGCAACTGTGAGTGGTTCTGCCAGTGAAGCTAATGTTGAGGAAAAGGTCTTGGCGTCCAACCCCATCATGGAGGTAAGACAGCCACATCCTTGGCCTTCATACTATATTCTCTTGTTAAGAAACATGCTAAAAATTGATTGATACAGCATGTGTTAGAAAGTCTGGGGTCTTCCAGCCTCTAAAAGTAGGAGAATATTTCCACATGTGTTAGTAGGAGAATTAGAAAAATTAAAGATTTGCTAAGATAGAATATTTGAGTAAAATTTAGCTGTAATCTACCTAACCTATAACCCTGTATTTTTAGCTTGGCATTAATTGTGGCCTCTAAATTGCTGACAGTGACACTTCATTTTCTAAAGTTTCTTTTCTCCTAGTTTATTGACTAATAACTGTTTCTCCTTGTGCTTATTCCAAAGGAAATAGACCTATTTGTGTGAGAATTTTAGTACTTTAGGTTGTATAACTAGAGAATTATTTGCCTATTATACGATTTTAAGAAATTTACATTCCTAATGGAATTATAATTCCATTAAATGGAGAAAAAGACGTTTTATTAAATGGACAGAAATTCATTTGGACATGCAGAAACAAACCTTTCTTATTAAAAATTCAAATCAGCAACTTTTATTCCTGTTTTTTTCCTTTGTCAAGCCTTATTTGTCACCCAAACAGATGGAGTTTAGATCGGGCCTGTGGTGCACCTGTGGTACAAATGGTTTTTGCAATAATCAGTCCAGAGGTAATTGTGCCTGGTTTGCAGTGCTGTGTGTGACACTTCAATACAGAATGCAGTGATCCTTTGCCTACAGGGCTGCTCACGAGAGCAGCAGGACTTCTTTTCATGGGATCAAGGGGACAAGATGTACTGGGGAAGTTAAAGGCCTCCTGGACTGGGTACACTTTGGAAAGAGAACTGGAGAAGTTTTCTGAAGTAGCATGGACAGAAAAAGACAGATGTTTGGGCCAAAAAAGAATAGCTATGACTTTCAGCAAATATTAAGATTTTGAAAGAATTTGAGTTACAGATACATCAGTGGACGCCACTGGTGTTAGTATTGGGGAAATACCATCTGTCGGGCCAGTTCTGGGTTTTGGGTCAAAAATCATCAGACTTTGTATCCTATCATTGTTTTCACTGTTTTTAGTCATGACAGCAAATTCTTGGTATTTGGAATAGTTTGGGCCATTCTAGTCCCTAATATTAGAATATTCATTAGTCTTATGGTAGCATCAGGTAATCCTGTCTCTCCTAGGTCCAGGCCACATAAATTTCTAAGTCTGGAATGAACCTTCTAGAATATATAAAGTTGATTGAACTATTTTTATCATGTTGCTGTTAAAAACAAAAAAAGCTACATTAGTTTTTTTTATAGTACAGATTTTAGTGATGTTAAAAAGTGGAATGGCCACAGTACTATTTTTTAATATGTCACTGTAAGGCATTTACCCTGTTTACTAGGATGAACAAAAGATTAGGAGGTGGGTTATGCTTAGCTACTTCCTTCTGTATTATTGTTTAGTTTCTCTGTAGGAATTAAGAAATTAAGAAAAAATTGGTGAAAAGAAAGCTACTTTTCAACAACTAAAAGTGAGGATATCCCAATTTGAAAGATTAAAATGAAATATGGGGCTAAAAAATGGTGACAAGGGTTTATAATACAGGAAAAAAATATAGAGGTAAAATATTGAATATGTGGCATAGAAAACTCATAGCTATAAGTTGGCCTCAAGATCATGTTTCTTTATCAGAGCTCTTCACTGTGATGTCAAACTTGTCTGGGACTCCGGTGATCTGATGAATCTCTTTATTGGATCAGGAGCATTCTGCAGGGTTAACATCACAGCCCAGTGGCTAATGGAATATGTATGTTATTCTTTAGAAAGCAAGCTCCTATCCTTAGCATGGGCTCCTTTTGCAAAATAAAAATGTATAGAGAAATGATTCTTTTTTGCTTTTTTTATCACATTTTCTTTTTCTCCCCTTTCTCCTAGAAACCTTCATCCTATGATGGGGGACAGGGAAGATTCTTCAGGCCCAATGAGTCTTAATAGTTCTTTTTCATCTTCAGTAACTATAGTTGAAGATTTTCATCTCCATTTAGTAAGAAAGAGTAACTCACTCAATATTTCACTAAAATCAGTAAAATCAAGACCACAGGACTTTCCTTTCCTTTAGCAATTATTTGCTGATTGACATGAAAATAGTATTAAGGGAGGTTGTTGTAATTACAGGACTAATGAGAGCAATTGGGGGGTGGATAAAAGCTGCTCTTTACAAATAATCTTTTTCCCATATCCAGTTCAAAAACTTAGAATTACGTAATTTTTTTTTTAAGTATGCAAGAGATCTGTATTAGTCCATTTATATTTGGGGACACTGATGTTCCTCAGAGTATTTAAAAGATAGCAAGTTGGTGTAGGACCTGGTTTGATAGCTGGATTTTCAGACTTCTGTTTCATTTGTTCCTTCTGTTAGTTTTTTTGCTATATCTTTAAAAACTGTTCACTCAAAGACAAGGGGTCTGTTTCAAGCCTAACCTATTTACTGCCTCTCACAGAGTGTAGCATTGTTTTGGCAGGTTGGCCACCCAGACTCCCACTGAGTAGATGGGGGAGAGATGCCATATGGAAGGTGGGAGAAAGAGTAGGGGAGGAGAAGCTGTGCTCACCTGCCCTAACTTGCTTGGTTACTAGCAGGGGAGAGCTTAGGACAGTGGCAGGAAAGCACTCAATAACTGTTGCTCCTGCTGCACATGACCTTTCATTTGCTCTTTGACAGAAGAGGTTCTGTTGAGAGAAAATTCTGCATTAATTATAAACATCCTTTTCTAAAAAAATAAAAATAACGAGATATATGGGAACTTTGTTTTGTTGTAAAATCAAAGAAGAGAATATCTCAGTAAATGCCTGTATTGTTAAATCATCTTCAGCTACTTTAGATAACTGTTATTTTGCTGGGAAGATAGATGCTACGCGTTCTCTAAAATGTTCATCTGTAATACAGCAGTGTCCTCACTGTGAAACAAAAAATACCTACCCTGTATTTCAGTGAGTGAAAATGTATTTTCTTAGATCAAAGATTTGAAGGTGTTGACTTTTGTGTCTCTCTTACTACTGCTTTCATCATTTATATTTGCATTGCTTTTTAACTCCAGAGCATTTTCATATCTTTCTCTTCGTTATGGTTTCAATACTAATCCCAGTAGTCACATGCTTTGCACCAGTGAAAGATACTGGTCTTATATGCAATTATCTTAACATTCAATATATGCATCATGTGAACACTTGCTTTTCTAACTATACCATGTTTTCTGCTTTACCTTGAAAGAAACATTTATATAAGCATGTTACCTAAATCAGAAAGTAGTACATATACCATTTTAATTTTTAAGATTATTTTAAAAAAGAAGAAAGTTATATCCTCTGCTTTCTGTATCATAATTTTTGCAAGTTAGATACAAATATCAAAATCCAAAGCTAAATTTTGCTGTCTCTGGAAATGACTTTGAATTGAGTGTGTAATTAATAATGATCTGCTAGGGTCTCCCCGGTGGCTCAGTGGTTGAGCGCTGGGTTGCGCTGGGTTGCGAAGCTGCCCGCAGCCTCTGCAGTGCTGGTTCGATCCCCGGCTGCTCCCCGGCCACCGGAGGAGGGTCCCACATGGCGCGCAGACCTCTCCTGCCGCCCGCTGCTCCCCTCAGCGGTGTACTTTGGTCCTTCTGCCTGCTCTGCTCCCCGCTCTGGCTCTGGTGAATTCTCTCACCCTCCCGCGCTTCTGACTGTACCCAGTGCTTGTATAAATAAACAAACAAACAAATAAATAACTCTTAAAAAAAAAAAAGAAAATAAATTTAAAAAAAAAATAATGATCTGCTAATAAGCAGTCCAACTGGGTCTTTGTCCTTATAGGATAAGATGGCATAAACATAAGCTAAAGAGACCCAGAGACCCTGAACACCAGAGCAACATTTCCAGGAAAATATTAGTTTGTCTTAACCAACTTATTTACATAAAAACAGACTTGATTTTTTCAAGAAATCGAAACACTGATATTTAAGAGACCTTCCTTTTTCCATCCATTCTTGTGCTGGCAGGAATGAGGGTGTTTGAATGCCACAAATGAAAACTTCCCCACTGTTGAACTCAGACTTTTTCGTTTCTGAAAATAATTTATGTGAAAATTACAAGGCAGATACAAACTACTAGTAGATATTTGTGTGGCCTTGCAAAGGACGAAGCCCACACTCGTGCCTGCAGTGGCAAAATGGTTTTGTTCTTAAAAGAATCAGTTTTAAAGAGTTGTGTTCTACTCTGTGCTTTCCCTGAACAAATTCTGTGTCATGTCATGAATTGCACTTATAACAGCTTACTTTTTTTTCTTGCTTTTTAGTCAATTGGAAATGCTAAAACAACCAGGAATGACAATAGCAGCCGTTTTGGGAAATATATTGAGATTGGCTTTGATAAAAGATATCGAATCATTGGTGCCAACATGAGAACTTACCTCTTAGAGAAATCCAGAGTGGTGTTCCAGGTAAGCTGACCATGTGTACACACACCTACTTGTGTTAGATGCTAAATAATTTCAGAACCTATATTTACAGGTTTTATTTCCAGATACTTTTCAGCTTGTTTAGTGCACTATTATTACAAACTGTACTTGGACTGAAATATGTGGAGAAGTGTCTCTTAGAGGCAAGGAAATGCCTGTTAGACAAAAAGACTAGGCATGAAGGTTAAGTGGTTTTTGACTTTCCTACAGATGCTTGTAGAAAAAAATTAAGGAGAGGTCTTAATTGGTTTCATCTTGTCTTTCATATTTCCCAGCTGATAGGCAAACATTGATAAATGCCTTCAATGAGCTATAATTTGAGCTTAGTGTAAGAAAATAATTTTCCTTGTCCTCTTTCCTTCTCTTCTGTTCTTAGATGCAAAATTGTTTAGGCAGACTAATGAGGGTTGAAAAGTCTACACTATGGGTGAATTGTATGATTTATGAATTATATTTCAATAAAGCTGTTACTTTAAAAAAATAAATAAAAATAAAAAGTCTACACTAAAAAGCCCAGTTGTGAACTACTATCAAAGAACATACTCAATTCTATGCATCCTTGCAGGCTTTGCATTTCCACATATGCTCTTTGTTCCTTTTCATCTGTAAATGGAAAATACTTTATATGTAGAAAAACACTTTCAGAAAATACTAAGAAATGATGTCAGAATTGTGTATGGTTCATTTGCTATTAATTTCAAAATACATAAACTAAAATGATAAAGTACATCTGCAGTATTCTTACAACATCCACAATAGATGGTCCAGTTTGAAGTATACCAAAGTTGGAATATTCTTGTTCAGGCAAAGTATGGGAAGACCATGAATGTAAGAGGTAATAGAAGAAAATAATATTGAGAATTGCACTAAAATAGTTTTAGTTTTCACAACTAAAGGCATAGCTCTCTTATGGCAATGTCACATATAAAGCTGTCCACCAGTTCAAAAAGCATTACTCTTCAGATATTTTATATGAATGTGACCAACCAATACATAGTCACATGCACAGAGCTCATGAGTAATAATTATAATTATAAATATGTACTGGGAAATTTGGTAAGAAATAATTCATTTTTACCAACTGCGGTAATTAAATATTAAATTTTTATTTTATGATTGAATTTCCTGAGCTTTAGATTAAAATGCTATAATTGAAAACTCTTCTTATTTCAAAGGCAGAAGAGGAGAGAAACTATCATATCTTCTATCAGCTTTGTGCTTCAGCAAAGTTGCCTGAATTTAAAATGCTGCGATTAGGTATGAATGTGGTGTTAGACTTATTGTGCTGAAATTGGTTTTTGTTAATATCTGAGTTTATGAACTTACTTGTCATAAAGGAGATTATCTCCTACTGAAATATTTATGGATGAAATGATAAGGGATTTGCTTAAATTAACCACACAGGATGAGGAAGAAGTGAGTAGTTAAAGAAATGAAACAAAATTGGCTTGACTTAATGTTTGTTTAAATCAGTTTTGAGGGGCCTCCCTGGTGGCGCAGGGGGTTAAGCACCGCACTATGAAGCAATCCGCAGGCTCTCGATCCCTGGCCGGCCAGGGAGCAACCCACCTAGCGAGGCAGACCTCTCCTGTCTTGTCCGCTGCTCCCCTCAGCAATGTGTTTGGTCAGTCTGCCTGTTCTGTGCCCTGCTCTGTCTCTGATGAATCCTCTCACCCCCTGCATCTCTGGCCTGTACCCCAGCTCTTATATGCATAAATAAATAAATCTTTAAAAGAAAAAAAAGATGAGTTTTGAGTACATAGGGGCTCATGATATTAGCCTTTCTACTTTGTATATGTTTGGAATTTACCTTGATTAAAATAAAACAAATTTAGGGAATTTCTGTGATGGAAGCCTGTAGGGTTTCTGATGAGGGTAGTAAACTCTTGACAAAATGATCCTAGATTGAAGAAATTACATAAATTAGAATAAAACCTATTCATAAAGGATTGTTCACTTCACCAATTAAAACAAGTAACCTACAAATATCTCACTTCATTTTTTAATTTTGTATTAAGACATAATTGAAAACACAGGCAGGCTTCACACTGTACACTTAACTGTACTATCAGTGCTTCTAAATCAAAGAAGCTATACAGATAAAAGTTAAGACTTTTTCATAAACTGTGAATCTTTTCTTTTCCTTAATTGCAGGAAATGCAAATAGCTTTCATTACACGAAGCAAGGTGGCAGTCCTGTGATTGAAGGAGTTGATGATTCAAAGGAAATGGCACATACCAGGCAGGCCTGCACTTTGCTAGGTAATGTTATTTATTCTTGGGCCCTTCTGAGCAATAGATTTTGAATCAAGCAAACTTTGTTTGAAATATTGGCCTAGCTTTGTATTCAGTAGTATTGCTGGGAGACTTAGCACTTTTTACAGGATATATTTGGACAGTAAATGGGCACGAGGTTTCTTTCGGGATGTTTGAACTGTTATAAATTTTACTTTGGTAACAGTTGTATACGTTTGTAAGTTTACTAAAAATCATTGAATTACATACTTAAAGGAGGTGAATTTTACGTTATGCATATTATTCCCCAGTAAAGCTCTTTGAAAACGCATTTGAAGTGTCAGGGGAGGTAGAACTAATTCTTTGCTTAATTTCAGTCGATATGAATCCTAGAGCTAAGTGAAATGGGTTCCTGTCCAAGCTCAGGTTTTTTGCTGTTTTGTTTGTGAGGTTTTTGTCCGTTTGTTTGTTTGTTTTTGTGGCTAGGATATGTGACTGAGTTAACTTGGTGACAAAACAGTGTATTAAAACAAAACAGTGTACAAAACAGTATATTAAACAGTATATGTAGTTTATTATATTTTTGAAGCAACTCAGATGTCAGTCTTATCTCTGGGATTTAAAAATAAATAATGGATCTACATATAAATCAATTGACCTTTAGAACCATGGTGTATAACTTTTAATGATGAATTATCTATTTAAACCTCAGAATATGAATAATTCTAAAGTAATTTGTATATAAAAATAATTTACTATTTAATTCTTAAAATAATTTGTACATAATAAAAATAAAAATAATAAAATAAAAAGTTTGTTACTTTGAGGAATACCCATGGTGAGTTAATTTAATTTTAAATCATTGCTAATGAGCATATGGACCAGGAGCACTGTGCAACTTTAAAAACTCAGTATCTAAGATCCCATTTCAGACCTACTGAATCAAAATCTGCATATAAGAATACCTTGGTGATTCATATGCTTATTAAAGTTTGAAAAACACCAGTTTACTTCTAAGGAGATATCTGCTTATAAATAGAAAATTTCAAATTTGAAAAAAAAATAATGCAGGAATTGGCAGAAGCTTTATTATAAAAGCAAGTCTCAGTTATTCTGTACATTAGTACATATTTGGAAATAATTTTGCTCTTTTGCTTGCATATAACTATATCCAATATTCTAAAAAATCTTATTTATGGGAAAATAAAGCCTGATCTGATAAAATTCCAAATGCCTTTTCCTCCTTGACTTATCCTTCAGATCCTGCTCTAATGCTGCATTCAAACACTTGCTCATCAACTGGCTACAATACCAATTGGAACACTTCTAGTGTTAGATTCTCTTTGACTTACACTTAGTTTGTAGTTAGAAGGAATAATTAAATAATCAGACTTAATATAGCCTTGTCGGGCTGCAACTTGCATTTGGAGTAGAGGTAAATCAAAGTAGTAATAATAAAATACTTAAATCCAGTGTGTGACAATGATAATGATAATTCGCTTAGCACTTAACATAGTGTGTTAAGTATACTATGTGGATTATCTTGTGTAATCTTCACAGATATCCCATCAGATAATCACTGTTATTCCCATATCTCAAATAAGAAAATTGCAACATAGAAGGGTGAAGTTACCTGCCATGTGAGATGACAGGTGAGCTACAGAGCTTGGCCTCAAGCCCAAGTCTGTCTTAGTCACAACCATGATGCTAAACTGCATTATCTGTTAATGTCAACAAAGATGAAAGGGTTATTAGCTGTGACATGTTGCAATGTGCACAATATCTGGCAATAGTCAAGAGTTAAAAACAGACTTAAAATTGCCTGCCATATTTGAGTTTCTCATCTGAAATTAATCACTGTTCACCTACTCTATTGTTTCAGGAATTAGCGAATTGTATCAGATGGGAATTTTCCGAATACTTGCTGGCATCCTTCACTTAGGCAATGTTGGATTTACATCTCGAGATTCAGACAGCTGCACAATACCTGTAAGTTCAGAACAAGTTTAGTGTGAATTGTCTTTCAGTTTGTTGATTCTTTATGGAAGTGATTTATTTGAAGTTTTTCTGTTAATGTTATCAGAGGGATGTGTGTGTGTGTGTTGTGTGTGATACAGAGGAACTTGATACATGTCTGATCTGTATAAACAGAGGTGGGAAATATTAGATGTGAAAGTTGGATTGGTCAATCTAGAAAGAAGTGCATTTGGTACGTGTCATTTGGTGCCAAGTCTTAATAACTTCATTTATGTCTTTAGCTGTGAAAATGTAATATGGTTTAAAAATTATCAATGAAACTTAGCAGTGGTTACCCCTGTGAAGAGGAGCTATATGACTGAGGGGAGAAGGGGAGGTAGCTTAAAAAATGACATTCTTTTTAATCTTATTGAATTTGGTATATGCATATCTATTTTCTATTAAAATATCTAAATACTGGGCTTCCCCGGTGGCACAGTGGTTGAGCGCTGGGTTGCGAAGCTGCCCGCAGCCTCTGCCGCGTCGGTTCGATCCCCGGCTGCTCCCCGGCCACCGGAGGAGGGTCCCACATGGCGCGCAGACCTCTCCTGCCGCCCGCTGCTCCCCTCAGCAGTGTACTTCGGTCCTTCTGCCTGCTCTGCTCCCTGCTCTGGCTCTGGTGAATTCTCTCACCCTCCCGCGCTTCTGACTGTACCCAGTGCATGTATAAACAAACAAACAAACAAATAAATAAATAAAACATACCTCTATTAAAAAAAAAATCTAAATACTATATATGTACTATAGATACTATAATACATTTTATATATGTATATATAATACTATAAATATATGTATGAATTAATTAATTAATGTGTGCCTTTGCTATAAATGGCCCCACAAGATCAGAGACTTATGGAAGTCAGAGCTATGAGATATACATGCCCCTACTTAAATCCATCACTGCCTTCAGAAATAGGCCAACACCTTCCTTGGCATGACATAGAAGGCCCTTCATAATTGCCTTTGTTTACTCAGTTTCTTTCTCACCAGTTTTTATACTCCGTACTTAAGCTATTTACATGGAAGCTGTCCCTCTCTTCTGCCTTTACTCAGATGCTCTTTGTGGGGATATATTGATTTTTCATCTTCTCTACCAGCTATTATTCACTTCTGTCACACAGATGCATTGGCATCTCTTCTGAGATATATCTGCCCCCATCTTGTTTTCCTTTATCACAGTACAAATCATATTTTTCTGTAAAGGTATTTCTTTCTTGGATTTCCCTACTAGGATTTGCAGTTTTTGAGGATGGGGCCATGCTATTTATTTTAGTATTCTTAAGACCTTAAGAATTCATTCATTCTTAGTTGCATTTTGCTTATTCTTAGTTGCATTTTGCTCTGGGTCTATAGACTTGTATAATAACATATTTCCTACAGAGAATATATGCTCTTTCTTTTCTAGATATAGTACTTTTGTGTTATATTAGCTGCATTAGATATAATGTAAAATAGGTGACTGATTTGGAGAGAATCTATCAATGACTTAGTCAAAGAGTCAAGAATTAGTTCAGCAGAGAGTTTAGTTTATAGAAAGCTTTTGATACTCATGATTTTCTTTATGGATATTTGTTCTATAATTTTTCTAAGCCATGGATCTTTTTAAATATAAATAAAAAGAAAGAAAGAAAGAAATATATATATATATATATTTTTCCCCCCTTAGCCTCTCCTCCTAACAGTGTATTTTTAGAAGGACAGAATGAAGAGTCTAATTTAAATCCTGTTTTTTTTTTTTCCTAAGAATGTTACTGATGAATTCTCCAATTAGTTAGAAGAAGTATTTCCTCTAAGTTGATATTATTCCTGAAAAGCAACTTTATTGAAATGTAATTCATACCCATTTAAAATGTAAAATCCAGTGATTTTAAGAATATAATCAGATAAGAGAAGCTATCACCAAAATTTTAAAATATATTAGTGACTTCAAAAAGAAACCTGTACCCATTTCCTGTTGTTCCCCTATGTCCCAGTCACTACAGGTCTAAGCTACCATGAATCTATTTTTTGATTCTATGTATTTCATGTTAACTGAATTATATAATATATGGTCTTTTGTGACTGACGTCTTTTAAATTCTATCATGAGCATGTGTCAGTACTCCATTCTTTTTCATGGCTGAATAATGTTCCACTATATCACATTCTATTTATTGATCAGCTGATGGACATTTGTAATGCTTTATTTTTTTTGCGATTATAAATAATGCTATGAACATTAATGTATAGACTGATTTTCTTTTAAATTTCTGTGTCTCTATCTTTGCCTGTGTTACATTTACCAATATCAGAATTTCTTAATCAGGAAAATTTTCATCAATGTCTAAATGTCTTTCCTGAAATTTTTGTGTTTTCTTCTTTGGGAGGTCTAGAAGTGATTAACTTGAAGAAAGGTACTGACAATTTATAGTACTTGCCCAGAAAGTGATTCTAGTTCCTAAACTTTTTGGAATTCTTTGATTTTTTTTCTTCCCTTTTTTTTTTAAAGATTTATTTATTTATTTATACAAGCACTGGGTACAGTCAGAGGCGCGGGAGGGTGAGAGAATTCACCAGGGCCAGAGCGGGGAGCAGAGCAGGCAGAAGGACCGAAGTACACTGCTGAGGGGAGCAGCGGGCCGCAGGAGAGATCTGTGTGCCATGTGGGACCCTCGCCCTGTGGCCGGGGATCAAACCGGCGCGGCAGAGGCTGCGGGCAGCTTCGCAACCCAGCGCTCAACCACTGCGCCACCAGGGAGGCCTTTTTCTTCTTTTTTTAAACCAGCATTTGTCAGTTTTGTTGATTTGACCATAACTATAAGTTCTACAGTTTCACTGTCTGTGAGAATAAATGAACTTTAAAGATTACTGGTAAAACAGCACCTCTTCCTGACAATTCCATAGATCTCCAAGGTGGAAGGGAAGGGGCCTATAAAAGAGATGACCACTTAACCCATGCATAGGCTCCTGTCTCTAATTTGCTGCTGCTGCCATCTAATTCTTTTTCTATCCTGCTTCCTTTAGGATTGTAATAGGAAACACTCTTGAGAGTTATTTTTCACCTTTTAGATACCTAATTTGATATTAGAAAATCTTTGTGTAGACTAATTTGTGTGACTTAAATTTGGGTAAATTAGACTTCAGTTTGAAACACATATTTCAAATATGTATCTGCAATACAGTGTGTTTTAAGATGGTCCCAGGTTCAATCACAACTTTAATATTTATTCATACTGGTTTGGATTAATTGCTTAGCTTTTCTGAATCTCACTTTGTACTTTGAACCTCACTTTGCACATCTGTAAAATGAAGGAGGTTTTCTTTTCCAGGAGTTTTGAACTAGGTGTTCTGATTGACCCTCATGTTGAATAATTATATTTAAAAATATCTTAAACAAAATACATAAGAACTACTCAGAGACCAAACACTAAGTGAAAATAGGAACTAAGAGATGAAGTAGAGCCTTAATGCTAGGACTTACCTCATGGACATTTACTGAATCCAGTGACTTTCAGCTTTGGTTTTCATAGCTAAATTGGGTACAGATGATAAAAGAGAAAGCCTGAGTCTCACATAATAGAGGAAAAAATAGGGAAACCCCTCCTTAAGTGGGGAACTAGTAATAAGCTTAACCTACCACCCATTGTTAGAGTATAAAGAAAAGTTAATGGTCCATGCTTTGGTACTAAGTAGAGAAGGAAGAAATAGTTCCCTAAAAGTTAATATCAGTGAATTGACTCATAGAGTCCCAGCCTGATTTCGTAGTTCCTGGAATGTCCCAGAAAGCTATGTGAAGAAAACTTAGCTTAAGTTGGTCCTGGTTTGGTAGTGTTCTGTATGCCGGACAGAAGCAAATACAACTCTAGTTTAGAGGCTCCATCTTCAATCCAGGTTGCAATAGAGTCCATGGGAAAAATTAAAGAAATATTGATTCACAATAAAAAATCATAAATCCCCCTATGAGTCAAGATAGAAGGAGCAAGAAGCAGAATCAAATCTACCAATAATGCTCAAAGAAATTAATAGCAAATGTGACACGACTGAAGAGAGAGCTGATGAGCCAAAAGATAGAAGTGAAGAAATCATCCAAAATACAGAATAGGATCCAGAGATGGGACACTTAAGACAATAATTAAAAGAGATGAAAACTAGAGTGATAAAATCTCATTTTAATCTAATGGAAATTTCTGAAGGGGAGAAAAAAAAAGAATTTGGCATAAAGAGATAATTACTAGTTTCAAATTATGTGAAAATGACACTAAATCACAGGTTTGGAAAGTCAAAAAAATAAATCCCACTTAGAATAAACTTAAAAATGCACCAATCGCACATCATAATAACACCAAACACAGAAAAATCTTTTTTCTTAGGCAGAGATAATACATACTAGCCTCGAATGACAGATGGTAAACTTACTTCCCACTGCAATAATGGGACCCAGGAAACGGTAAGCCACTATCTTTAGTGTTCTAGCATAAATGTTAACTTAGAATTATATATCCAATGAAATAATAAAAGAAATAATAAAAGAAGTGTTTTAGACAAGAACTAGAGTAAGAGTTTGTCACCATTAGACCCCAACAAAAGGAATACAAAAGTTTAAGCAGAAGGAAAGTGGTCCTAGTGAAAGATTTAAAATGCATAATAAAGAAATGACTCAATAAACTGGTAAAGTACAGGAAAATATAGATAAAATTTGATTAATCAGAGCAATAATAATGATTAGTGTGTTAGACTGGAAAATATAGAGCTCCCACAAAATATTTATTAGGGAAAGGGAAGGATAGTTATCTTTATAATGGAGAAACCTGGCAGACATTCCCTTAACAACTGATATGACCAATGATGATACTGTTCATCACCAGTCAACTTCTACTGTATTGCATTTGAGGAGGGTGTAATAATACCTTACTGGTATTCCTGCAGAAAGACATGACCCACATCTAGTCAGGATACAACATCGTATAAACTCAAACAGAGTGACATGCTCTCAAAAATGTCAATTGTATGGGGAATATAAAAATAAAATTTAGGGCCTCCCCGGTGGCGCAGCGGTTGAGTGCTGGGTTGCGAGGCTGCGCGCGGCCTCTGCGCCGCCGGTTCGATCCCCGGCTGCTCCCCGGCCATCGGAGGAGGGTCCCACATGGCGCGCAGACCTCTCCTGCCGCCCGCTGCTCCCCTCAGCAGTGTACTTCGGTCCTTCTGCCTGCTCTGCTCCCTGCTCTGGCTCTGGTGAATTCTCTCACCCTCCCGCGCTTCTGACTGTACCCAGTGCATGTACAAACAAAACAAACAAACAAACCAGCAAACAAATAAATAAAGCATGCCTCTATTAAAAAAAAAAATAAATAAATAAAATTTATTTAAAAATAAATAAATAAATAAAAAATATCGAAGTCACAAAAGACAAAATGGAGTGAAGAACTGTTCACGTTAAAGGAGACTAGTGCAATGTTAAAACTAGATTCAGTGCATGACCCTAGATTAGATCATGGACCATAAAAAATCTTTTTTTATAGAGAACATTAATAGGTCAATTAGTGAACATTAAATTAGCTCTGCAGTTTCTATAATAGTGTTGAATCAATGCTAACCTTCTGATTTTTTTGTTGTACTGTAGTTATGTAAGATAATATCTTTGACTTTTAGGAAATGCCGTAATACCTAGGGCTAAAAAGATACTGTTTGCAATTTACTCTCAAAAGGTCCTGAAAACATAATGTGCAGATATATGTAAGGAAGAGAATGATACAAACAAATATGGTAAATTAACATTGGGAGAGTCTGGTGAAGGAAATTCTTTTTACTATCCTTGTAACTTTTCTGTTAGTATAAAATTAATTTAAAATAAAACTTAAAAATAAAAGTGAATCTCCAGGTTCTTGTCCTTCCAGAAAAGGAAGAAACGAAGTACTAGATAACAAAGCACATAGGTTGGGCTGGGATGTTTAATTGGTGTTATTTTATTGCATTAAGTTGATGTAATTAAAAATGCTTCTATCACAAACTAGAAATAGAAAATAAACTTTTCAAATCAGTAGAAAAGAAAATGGACTAAAAAGAAAATAATCCAAATATAGCAAGAAACGGAGAGAAAATTTTAGAAACTGGGCAAATGAAAGCACAAAATAAGAAATAAATAATTACAAATGGACTAGCCTTGGGGGAAAGATGGCCACTGCTGCTCAGCAGCCACTGCCAGGGAGTTTACTCAAAGTCCTATAGCTTCAACAAGTTCAAGCCGCCTTACCATGAAGCCTTTGAATCGCTGCACCCAGGACTAGACTTACTCAGTGTTGCTTTTTGTGATCATCTTACTCTCCTGGGGATTTATCATCTCCACATCAGTAGTATTGGTAAAATGACAGCTAAGGAAGGAATACCCAGACAAAATCTTTCAAATGAGTGAAAATTTGTAATTCCTCTGAATTTAATCCTATGCAAATACAGTTCTTTACCTCATGATTACCTGACATCTATCTAAAGATAAAATCCATACAAATGAAATAAAAGTGAATCTCCAGTTTTCAAATTAAAAAAAAAATCATAATAGGCTTTGAGGCCAAAAGCAGTTCTAGAGATAGAGTCCTTATGTAATGATAGAAATTATATTCATCAGAAGATTGTAATTGTTCTAAGCTTGGATGAGCTTAATGACGTAACCTCAAAATATATAAAGTGAAAATCAACAGAAACCACAGAAAGAAATAAACAAATCTATCATAATGGGAGATTATTGATTTTTCTCATTACTGATAGGCCAAGAAGTCCCTAAATAGTAACGTTATAAAAAATTTGAACCAATTAAGAAACTTGATCTAATAGAACAATATTGTAACACCATTCAAATAGACTATATTTAGAGAATAATGGCTCACTTCTAAATGATATCAAATCATTCGTGTGTGTGTGTGTGTGTATGTGCATGTGTTCATGAAACAAAATGGCGTATTTAAGGGAGTTGAACCATGCTTTTTGTAATAACACCGATGTGTATCTAAAGTGATTACTTGGGAAATGAAAGAAAGAAAGGACTGCTTCAGTGGGAGGTATGAAGAGATGGAGTGTTTCAGGAGCCTAGGTTTTAATGATAACTTTGACATTAATTGGCCATATGATTTTTGACAAGCTCTTCTCTTGGCTCTTACTTCCTTATTTGTTAAAGTGGTAACAATATTCACCATACCTACTCTTCAAGAATATTATTAGATTGAGTTGAAAACTGTTAGTGAAGATGTTGAAAAATACAGTATACTAACAAGAATTCATTGAACTGCTCATACAAGGTCCATGGATGACATTGTAGGGATACAGGGAATATATAAATCCTTAAAAGAGATCCTAATCTAAGTTGTCACACAAATAACTATCAAGGCTACTGTTGAAAATCCTTCAGTGAAAGCCCTCTTGATCTTAGGATAAAGACCACCATGGTGTAGCTCTGCCAGTCTCTCTGCTTTATCTCATATATTTTCTCCTTCATTCAGCTTCAGTCCCTTATTTTGCTGGTTTTCCGCCCATAACAGAACTTTTATACTAGCTGTTTCCTCATCTTGGAAAACCCTTTCCTTCCCCTTTCATTTAGTTAACACCTTTTCATGCTTCAGATCTCAACTCTCTTTCTCTTGCCTTTGGTGGTCTCCTGCCTTTGTAAATAGGTCATACTCCTCTAATGGGGAAACTTACCACAGTACCCTTCTCTCCTTTGTAGTAATTTTACATTTGAGAGAGCAAATTTTGCATTGGATTAACATCCATTCCCCCTAGTGACTGTAAGTTCGAGGGGGATAGGGAACATGTCTGTTTCTGCTTACTGGCATATAATAAAAGCACTCAGTAAATATTTGTTGACCAACTGACTGGTTTTCTGATTGATTGAATGAATGTGACTACAGAGAACTACAAACCAGTATTACTAAGAGACAAAGTAAGAGGTAATGCTTGAAGTGAGCCCTGGAAAAGATTGCAAACTGTTACTTAGATGCTGATTTGATGGTTGACTGTGATTATTGTTGCTAATCCACTTCAAGTGATCTTGGTGTTTTTTTTTATAGCAAAGAAATACTGGGTTTTGCTCCCTCTTAGTATTTTTTACTGAAGTCTTAATTTGATTGATTTGACTGATCTTGTTAATAGGAAATAACCTAATCTCTTTTGGCAGCCCAAGCATGAACCTCTCATCATCTTCTGTGACCTCATGGGTGTGGACTACGAGGAGATGTGTCATTGGCTCTGCCATCGGAAGCTAGCTACTGCCACAGAGACATACATCAAGCCTATCTCCAAACTACAGGCCACAAATGCCCGAGATGCTTTGGCCAAACACATCTATGCCAAGCTTTTTAATTGGATTGTAGATCATGTCAATCAGGCTCTCCATTCTGCTGTCAAGCAGCACTCTTTTATTGGTGTACTGGATATTTATGGGTAGGTGTATTTGACTTAGTGATCTGCAAGAGAACGTCTAATAATTCTGACTGGGTGTTTGAATATGTCTTTTACTGGTGAAGAGAAAGGAAACTTAGAAGATGATTTCTAAAAGTAATTTCTTTTGTTAGTTTGCCTTCTCTGGCTCCCTGCATCCTTTAACTGTTAAGATCCTTTCTGTCACTTGTGCACATTGATACCTGATTTGTTATTGTTCAGTTTAATTTTTCAAAAGAACATATGACATTGCTATTTCTGGTTCCCTTCTGTATGTATATAGACACTGTGAGCCTGTAAATTGACAGGAGCAATGACTTTATTATAGTTCTAATTTTTCCTCATATGTGGGTGAATTAGCCCTTGAAAACTCATGTTGAATACCTCCATGTGCTGGAGCTTTAAAAAAATCTCTCTGCCACATGGCTGATGCCTGTCTACTGGGTTCATATTCCATGTTACTGACATATAAACCCTTTTACCTTCACTGAGATGGAGAGAAAGGTTACAGTGTGGGGGAATTTCACATTTATTTCTAATGTTCAGATTTTGAGTATTTTTTAAAAATTCTTTGTTCCCTTCTCCCCCTTCCATATTATTTTTGGTTTTACAGATTTGAAACTTTTGAGATAAATAGTTTTGAACAGTTTTGCATAAATTATGCAAATGAAAAACTACAGCAGCAATTCAATATGGTAAGAATTTTCTTCCATGAATAATATTCTGCGATCATTTTTTTCTTGAACTGCTAGTCTGTGTTTAGAGTCTGGTTACTGAAATGAAGTTATAAATTGCAATTATTATCTGGGGTTACAAGGGATAAACTGCAGAAAAACTTATGATTAATAAATGATACATTAGAAAAATGTTTATGTTCCAGATAGGAATCAAGATCATCCATAGATTGCTATCTAAGAGTAATGAAAATTTGGAACATATAAAGAGAGGGATGGAAACAGGATATACAGTAGGTAGAAACAGGAGTGTGAAACTTTGATACCCAAATCCTTCAGTTTTGTTCCTATGGCTAATTGTATGTGGAGTTATGTCTATCTTAACTCTTACTTGTAGTGTTAGCAAGATGTCAGAACAGAAAAATCAGAGCACCTCATTTCTTTATGTTTTTACATATTCTGTTTTGCATATTCTTTTTTCAACAGTCTGAGACAAAGGCAGTGGGAATGTTTTGAGAGTGGTTCTTGTGAAGCAGTAATAGCAAATGTCTCAGAACATTATTGTGGCGTTGGGGGATTTGGAGGTTCATGAAAATGAGGAGCAAAGGATTACAGTAGTGAAGGGCATAGACCTCCAAGGTTACCTGTGTGGGTTGAAATTCCACTATACATTGATTATCCAGGGAACCTTGAGCAAGTTCAGTGACCTTCCTGAGCCTTAGTCTCCTCATTGTTTAATGGGGATAATGGCAGTACCCACTGCAGATAATTGTATGGGTTAAATGAGTTGGGTAATATATAAAGTGCTCACCGCATGCCAGGCACAGTTCACAGTGCAAGTTTAGGGGTGGTTATTAGTACTGATGAAAGAGGACATTAAAAATGAGTCACTCATAGGAACTGGAAGTAAATGATAAGGAGCAGAAGGACAGAAAAAAACTCCTTAATATCTTCATCTTACAAAGATAGAGGTCCAGTGGTAACAGTTTATAGTTGATAAACAAAAATGGAAGTTTAAAGATACTATTTTCAGTTACAATTAAAACCCAAAAGGAGATCTAAAACAATAATGATATTGGGAAGATGGAATCAATAGCTCATGTTTCCAATGAATAAGTAAAAAATAGCTGATGATTATATTCCTTAGAGGTAAATATCTGAAGAAATAGCTGAGGGAGTTAAAAGTGGTTGTCTCCAAAGAGAAGCGGGGTTGGAGAGGAATGGACCAAGGGGCCATTGCTTGTTATTGTAAAGCAATTAGACTGTTTAATTTAAAAATGAAATATTACATATACTTTGAGAAGAATTTGAACCATCTTTATTTAGCTAATTAAGCTATGCAGCACAGTGAAACTGTAAATATAATCCTAAAATCTTAGGCTTATGTTTCCATAAGAACATGATTGCTATATTTTTCATCTTTGGGAACAATAACAACCAGTGAGAGGCTAATCAGAGCATCATCTTCTCTCAAGATTTTTCAGAGTCTCTTAATACTGTACTCATTGCCACAGCTTTCTGCTCTTTCCCAGTATCTTTTGGCACAAAGTGACTGGAAATATAAGGAAACAGTGCCAATCTAGGGTTGGCTAGTATGTCTTTTCTCAAGGGTCTCATGTCTCTGCACATGTATTTCTGACTCTTTTTCTTTCCTCCTTTCTGTCTCTTTCCATTCATTTTTCTCTGTCTCTGATACATGTGTTTACACACACACGCACACACCATACCCCATCCTAGCTTCTTCTCTGCACAAATGTTCTGTTCCCTCTTAACAAATGCTGATGAGGGAGTAGGAAGAAGAGGGGTCAAAGCAGGGGAGGGGAGAGCACAAGGGACTGTGGTGATGGATCATGGGTGCTGTGGTAGTGGGAGAACTATGAGGATGACACCTGAGGGGAGAAATGAAATAGTGTATGAAAATAGAAAGTCATGTAAGAAAAAATATAAATTTGATAAAAGCATACTACATAAAATTAAAAAAAAAAGTTCTATTCCCACTAATTATCAGATGGCAACAAATGTGCTATCTAACAGTGAGCAGCCATATTCTTTCCTTCTGCTCAATATATGTGTTCATTACCTAAAGGTTTCTGCTTCCTTACTTCAGACTTCCTACGAACCTAACGCTGATTGAACTGTGCTTATCTTGCTTAATTTTATCTTGCTTAATTCCCATTAATCTTCATTCCTTCAGCTTCAGTTTCCACTGTCAATTTTCTTGATTATTTCCTTATTTCCCAATTCTTATATCTGATATAGAGAATCTGATTATCCCAATTCATTTTTTTTTCCATCAGAGTTCTCTGGCAATGGAATACCCTAAAGTTCCCACACTTGGTTTAGTCAGCTCTGACTAGGAACATGGGTCTTGCAGTAAAGACCTTGATACATAGGCCTTCTTCTTTAACAGGGGTGATACATAGGTTATAAATAGGGCCACCAGGCATGAGGAATATGGTGGCAATAGCATGGTCAGTATTTGGAGGCATTCTGTATTGACCAAGGGTCTTTAGCCATATTAAACCTTATTCCCACAATGACTTTTTGACAATTGAGCTTCTCAGATTTTTGAGACCCATGGAATTTTCTAAACTCGACGTAGAGATGTGTGTGAGAAGCAAACTGTTTAGTCTGGAGCAGTGTTTGTTGTCAGCGTGTAGACTCCATATAAATTAATGAATTGAATTTAAAAAAGACTGGGCTCAGTGTTCCAGAAAATATTGGTACCATCAGTCAGGGCATTCTGCTGACACATGGTACTCTATTTGCCTTCTCATTAATCAAAAAAAGAACAGAAGAAATTGGCTTTCTAATTTGCATGACATAAATATTCATTCAGATGACCTTTTTTTTTTAACTAAAGCTTATTGCAGCAGTATATGCTGTAAACACTGTGATTTAAAAGTGGAAGTATAATAAGTATAGAATAAAGTAGGAAAGTTCCAGGTACATGAGGAGAGTATGTATCAGAAATGTTGGTGACACCTAAGTTTCATGGGGTTTTGGGTCCTAGAAAATGTTTGTTATCTAGTCATAGCCACAGATGGCTCATCTTCTCAGAAAAGTAGCAAGATGTGAGAGAATCAAGGTAGACAAAATAGACAAACAAAGGAAAGCACAAAGCCCTGGGAATGCACAAGTGGAAGTTATTAGCATCTGTAGGGACTAGAAGTTAAGGGCCAGCAGGCTTGCCTGGGGTGCCTGGAGCAGGAGCCTTGCCTTCCTTCCTGTACCAACTTAACTCCCATTCATCTCAGAATTCTAGTCACACAGCCCTTCCTCAGAGAACCCTTCCCTCAAAGTCCTTTATCCAAATTTCATGAGGACTCTTATTCCCAGAGTTACTCTGTAACATTACCAGTTTGTAATTGTATTCCTTGTGATTATCTGATTTCTGTCTGCTTCTCCCACTGTCTCCAAATTCGTGGCATGCAGTGACTGACACAATATAGATAGTCAATACATGTTTTTGTTTAAATGAATGAATGGAGATTAGAAGCAGTGATGAGAATGGTGATGGAAGCATTTAGCAGAAATAGCAATGGATTGGTAGTAGATGCAACTACTTGCAGAATTAGATGTAGAATCTGGAAAACTGAGCTGTAGATACCCTGAGCGTGAAGAATAATCAAGGCAGACACAAAAGATCAACTTATCTAATTCTGAGACATAGGAACTTCAGTGTCACAGTAACTGAAGAGAGTTAGTTTGTTATGCTGTAAGCACCACCCAGCATGGTTAGTAGTCTGGGGGCATCTGCTTTGCATAGTTGTTTAAGGTCAGCCAGGGCATTCCCATGCCCATGTTGTTCACAGACACACTGTGCAATAATGTAAGAAGAATATATCTATTTATTTGATGCAATAATGGATATATACCTATCAAAAAATAAGAAAGGCTACATTTATCAGCTCCTTAAAAACATTCACATTATTATATTTACTTCTTTACCAAGAATCCTGTACAGGCTGAGCTTTTACTGTCTGGATTTTTATTTGCTCTCTTTTATTGTTTTCTTTGTGTAAATCATGTTTTTCCTATAAGATTGTTTCTGGGCACCATGGATTATTGAAAATTATGTTGGTCTCAGAGTGTTTTTTGTATGTGTTATTTCTTGATTAATAATTAGTCATGATAATGATCTTAGTAATCCAAGCCTTTTTTTCTTTTTCAGCATGTCTTCAAATTAGAACAAGAGGAGTATATGAAGGAACAGATTCCATGGACACTAATAGACTTTTATGATAATCAGCCTTGTATTAATCTTATAGAATCTAAACTGGGCATTCTAGATTTGCTGGATGAGGAATGCAGGGTAACTGTGATTTTCTGGTATACTTAGTCTATCAAAAAAATACATCAAGGTCTGGGAGTCAGTGGGTTTAAAGCAGAGATTCATTATACCTTGAGATGCCATGAAGGCAGCAAGTGGAGAGTTACTCTAATTTGCATACCGAAGGATCACTAAACCCAAAGAGTTCTAGTTACAAATAAAATAAGACTCTCCTCTTTTCAGCTTATTCTAAGTTATATAAAAAGTTGACATTGGGTATATTATCACCAATTTTAGCCACTTTTGTTAGCAATAAGCTTGTATTTGGTACTTTTTGTTCAGTGATAGGTTATATTTAAAGATACCCAAGAAGGGCCTCCCCTGGTGGCGCAGCGGTTGAGCGCTGGGCTGCGAAGCTGCGTGCAGCCTCTGCAGCACCAGTTCGATCCCTGGCCACTGGCGAGGGTATCACATGGTACGCAGATCTCTCCTTCTGCCCGCTGCTCCCCTCAGCAGTGTATTTAGTCGTTCTGCCTGTTCAGTTCCCCGTTCTGGCTCTGGTGAATTCTCCACCCTCCCATGCTTCTGACTGTACCCAGTGCTTATACAAATAAATAAATAAATCTTTAAAAAAATAAAATAAAGATACCAAAGAAATTATACAAAATGTATTTTAAATTATAGTTCTAAATATCTGTAATTTTAAAACTGATTAGTTCTTTATTACTGATATAGGGAAGGAGGTTTAAATTTAATATTTGAAGATCCAGGATGTTGGGGAAAATGTTAGATCACCAGCTTTACTGTTAACTGAGTGATCTTAGGCAGATAGCCTGTCCTTTTTCTTAATTTCTCTTTATTTTATATCCCATAAGTGACAGTTTACTAAAGATTGATCCTCCTAAGCATTCAGATATCCTACAACATTAAAAAGGCATGTAATGAAAAAGTTACTTAAAATTAAATAATGCAAATCAACAAAAATGGGATACTGTTTTTCACATCAGAGATGAGGTTAAATTTGATGATACCTTTCACTTAATAATTCCAATGAATATTGATTTCATATATACTCGCAATGATAGTACATCATATTTTAGAGGAAATTTGACAATGTTTAGTAGAACTGTAAATAGTTCCAACTTTTGACCCTCTAGTGGAACTGTTTACAATTCACCCTTTGAACATACTTCAAAAGTATCCGAGGTATATATATAAAAAAAGTCAGTGAAAAATACATTGAGCATAAAATGAAAATGCTATTATTAAGAAGAAAAAATGCAAGGAATTTGTAGAATGATCCCATTCCTGTTCATACCTTTTTTTTTTTAAAGGTTTTATTTATTTATACAAGCACTGGGTACAGTCAGAAGCGTGGGAGGGTGAGAGAATTCACCAGAGCCAGAGGGGGAGCAGAGCAGGCAGAAAGACCAAAGTACACTACTGAGGGGAGCAGCAGGCGGCAGGAGAGGTCTGCGCGCCATGTGGGACTCTCCTCCCGTGGCCGGGGAACAGCTGGGGATTGAAGGGGTGCTGCAGAGGCTGCAGGCAGCTTCGCAACCCAGCGCTCAACCGCTGCGCCACCGGGGAGGCCCCCTGTTCATGCCTTTAAGGACAGAAGGCTATAATGAAGTTGGCAAAAATGGTGAGATGAGACTACTCTCCATTTTATACCTTTCTGAGTGATATAAATCTCACTTCATATGCACATGCTACCTTTATTTAGCAAAGTTTGAAAGTATACACTAGTCATGGTATTTCACCTTTCATTTATAAGACTTTTGCTGTTTTAAAATCAAATCAGATATTTATCCGGTGACTCTTGGTGTAGGCATATTGGTCACTGAGTCCGTACATTGCACTGAGCCACCCTGGGAAGGTCTCAGTCATTGCTCTTCATTAGTAATTGGTTTTTGGCCTCTAAGAAGGAGATATGGAAGGAAAGAATTTCTAAATTGACTATAAAAGTTGTTAGGTAAAGCCAAAAAGTGGTCTGTTGGTTAATGCTTCAGAAGAGTCTTGTATCAATATTCACTTTGTTTCCTTTCCCTCCCCTAAATGTAGATGCCTAAAGGTACAGATGACACTTGGGCCCAAAAGTTGTACAACACACATTTGAATAAATGTGCACTCTTTGAAAAGCCCCGTCTTTCAAACAAAGCTTTCATCATCCAACATTTTGCTGACAAGGTAAGGAAGCTTTATTATCTGTTTTATTTTTGAATAGTTAAGTTCAAAATGGAAAAAAAAATCAATAGTCAATAATCAAGAGGTATCATTTTTCTTTGCTGAAGTTTGCATTCTTTAGGGCCTTATAGGAAAAGTAATCTTCATATAGACTGGTTGATTTTCCCTTCCTTTGACCAAAATGGAGTTAGATTATGAAATAAATGTAGGTCTATAATCCTTTATCTAAAATTCAATAAACTGGACTTCTTAAAAGTCTTTTCACAATTTGTTTAGTGACTAAACCTAATCTCTCAACTGAAATAACATGAGGTTATTTGTAGACCCAGGTTATTTATCCCAGTTAGGCTGGATATATATATATTTGATGTAAAAATGTTAATGTGTTTGATTACTAATTGCTGTCTCAGGTTCTGATGAAAGGTTTTGAATTCTCAAGCTAGCTGACCACAGGGTTTCAGAATAGAAATTGTGTGTGTCTTGTTCTGTGACTGCTCCTTGGATCCCTACTAACAAGGCATATAAGACATGTTGTTTTACAAGTTCTATAGTCTACTGAGAAAATCAGGGGTCAAGAAACTAATTTATATTTCAAGGAAGTTGTAGGGTAGTTTTGGTTTAAGCTTTCCAGCATCCCCTTCAAGAATTTAAGATTTTCTGAGTCTGCCTTAATCCTAGTTGGGAGCCTTGAGATGACTTTAGGGCCACTTTCGGGCTGTGTAGTACAGACGTGGAGGTCCTAAACTTTTGGAAGCAGAAACAGTCCATCTGATCTAGTCCTACTTGCGAAATCATATTTACTCAACCTCCACCTTCATCCATCATCAGTTTTCAACATTATTTCTGACAGACATTTGTTTCTTCTAATATTTTCTCATGTTTTATTCACCTCTCTCCCAAGAGGAGATTTACCCCTACCAGATGATGAATTAAGTTAGGAGATATATTTGGTCAGCCTTAGAGGAGCTGTCTTTGGCCAGCATGGGAGAAGAAAATCAACTTCTTATTTGTTTGCTTACCCATGAATTGGGAGGATCTTTAGACAACAGTTAATCACCACTGCCACTATCCCCTAGCATGAACAGTATTTGGGGAATTTACTCTAGTGTTAATATACTTATTGCCAACAATGGTACTGGTTTCTTAGAATAAAATTAATAATATCATTTTGCTGAGAGCCAGGTGTATAGCATTAGCCTATAAGTATTTTGGTTGATGTTAATGATATATATCTATTCAAAAGTATTATTAGTTAAGGAGATTTTCCATGTGTTTTCAGGTGGAATACCAGTGTGAAGGCTTCCTGGAAAAGAATAAAGATACTGTTTTTGAAGAACAAATTAAAGTTCTTAAATCAAGCAAGGTAACCACATAGAGATTTTCTCTAGTCAGGACATATTCAATAAAATATTAAGAACTTAAACATTAGCTCTTAAATTATAGTAATGATTTTTCTAACAAGAAATTTATCAAATGTATTTATCAAGTCCTTTCTTAAATGTCTTAAAAATGTTAACTTATCTAGTTCTTGTAATGAGGTAACATTATCACTCTTCCTAATTTACAGGTGAGGGAACTGAGGACAGGGACTTCATAACTAATTAGTTTTCAAGCCAAATTAAAACCCAGCTTTCTGGCTCAGAGTCTGTGCTCTTACATACACTGCTGTCTTTCAGTTTTATGGGAAATTATTGCTTCTACAGCACTTCTACACCTCCATATGCCTTTGTGAGAGAAAACCTATTTTTTGATGTGTCATTTTGAAGGAAAACATTAGAAACACAGCCTTATGCCCTCCACCCAGATGGAGATTAATCTCTAGATCATTAAGTGCCATTTCAGGTGTGGCCCAAAGTACTGAAATTATTTTTCCTAGGCTCAGATACTGTATATGCTGGTTTCTAGTGGGAAAAGAATATTCCAGATAGCTACTCTAGATTATTATATTGATCCCAATCACCACCCTTTGATTCTCATCAGAATAAGATGGAGAGAAGAGCAAGTTGTGTCTTTCCATAAAGAAAGCCATTGTGACAGGAGCATGATAGGTGAATAGGATGTGTGTTGGGTAGACAGAGGCTACTTCCTGTAGGAATGTATAATAAAGAGTGTGGATTTCATTCCTGTTGCTATAATAAAGAGTGTGGATTTTATTCCTTGTGGGGATTGATATAGTGGGTGGGTGAGACAGATCTCTAGAGGAGGGATGGTGGACTGAGATACCAAGGTTGTGGCAATGGAAATAGCATGTAATTTGTTGATACATCTTATGATGGCTAACTATGGAGAGTGAGAGAATGAGAGATTAAGGGAGACTTCTGGGTTTGGCCTGATGCACGAATAGGTGAGGATGTGATTTACTAAGGTGAAGACTTTAATGGATCAGGCTTTGGGAGAAAGAACCAAGAATTCTGTCATAGGCATGTTTTTCTTGAGATGGAAATTAGTCAAGTAGACATGTCATATAGGGAGGTAGAAATGAAAGTCAGCAGGTCAGACATCCCCTGCAGGATGTCTCTGATTTGTATTGTCTGTTTTTGCTTTGTTGTGTTTTGTACTGTTACTATTTTTTTACACTGATGTCTTATTTGGTTCCCCTACATTCCTGCTATAAGTGAAACCATCTGATATTTTTCTTTTTCCTTCTGGCTTATTTCACGGAGCATAATTCTTTCTAGCTCCATCCAAGTTGCTGCGAATGACATGAGTTACCTTTTTTGATTGCTGAATAATATTCCATTGTGTATATATGCCACATCTTCTTGATCCAGTCATCTATTTTTGGGCATTTGGGTTGTTTCCAGGTTTTACCTATTGTAAATAGTGCTGCAATAAACATAGTGGTACAGGTATTCTTTTGAATCAGTGTTTTTGTGTCCTTTGGGTAGATCCCTAGGAGTGGAATTGCCAGGTCATATGGTAGCTCCATTTTTAGTAGACTGAGGAGCCTCCAGACAGCTTTCCATTGTGGTTGGATCAGTTTGTACCAGCAATGTAGGAGAGTTACTTTTTCACCCATCCTCGCTAGCATTTGTTGTTGCTTATTTTTTTGATATGTGCCATTCTTACTGGTGTAAGGTGGTATCTCAGTGTGATGTTGATTTGCATTTCCCTGTTTATAAGGAATGTTGAACATTTCATTTGCCTGTTGGCCATTTGCATTTCCTCTTTGGAGAAATTCTTTTAAATTCTTCTGCCCATTTCTTGACTGGATTGTTTATTTTGTTTTTGTTGAGTTGTGTGAGTTCTTTGTATATTTTTGTGATCAGTCCCTTATCAGTTGAATGGAGTGCAAAGATTTTTTTCCCAATCAGTGGGGTGTCTCTCTGTTTTGGTTAATGTCTCTTTTGCTGAGCAGAAGTTTTTCAGATTGATGTAATCCCAAGTGTTTATCTTTTCCTTAACTATCTTTGCTTTGGGTGATGAGTCTTAAAAGATGTTATTGCCATGTATGTCTTGTAGTGTTTTACCTATATTTTCTTCTATATAGTTTATGGTTTCAGGTCATATGTCCAGTTCTCTATCCATTTTGAGGTGATTTTTCACAAATGTGTTTTCTAACTCTGGACCCTAAGCAGTTTTCTGGTAGATATTGTATATATTAAGTTAAATTATAGCACCTAGTGGTGAATAGGATCTTACAGCCCAGCTCTATTAGCTATTTCATACTGAAGAAAGAAAAAGAAAGTTTAGGCAGTTGCTAATATAGAGCTAGCAATTTAATTGGGGATGATAGAATAGCATAGATAAGATTTTAAAGTACTTGGCCTATAATTGAATAGCCTAGCATCTTAATCCCATGCTGAGTTTTCAGATCAAATCTATTTTGAACTCTTGTTTTTCCCTTTGGAACAAAACTTCAATACTGTAATACAAGGTAAAAACAAAATATTTTGTTTTCTTCTTTATGTTTAACCAAACTAGATTATTCTGTAAAGCAAAGGGTACATTCATTTGTATAGCAAGCAGCCATTATTGGTTATGTTGCATATAACAATGTTATATGCATTATGCATTATTTTCTAAATTACTTTTATAATTGATATACAGATAACAAATGAAATGACCTTATTTTGTTTTTTAATGCTAGAACTCTCCTAGAAAATTTTTTTTCTGAAGAGAGTCTGAAATTATTAGACAACTAATTGGTAGTTGCAATTATAATTTAACCCACTGAGAAGGATTTACTGTATTTATATGGAATGAGACACTGTTATAAAGATATATAAATATATCAAGATGTCCCTGTGGGTTAGTTTAAAATCTCTTTTGTTCCATAAAATTTCTCCCAATCATCTAATCATTTATTAAGTACCAGAACTTTAAATAGGCATTTCTCATCGTTAACTTGGTGGGACGCAAAATCTATTACAGAAATTATACAGTCAAGTTGTAAGTCCCTTGAAAATAAATATAAATGCTTACAGGATAAAGGCAGGGTTTTTATTTTGTTTCCTTTAATCCAAACTATTTTCTAAAAATCAATTCATGATTATTGCTTAATCTTATAATATTGTAAAGCTACTTCATGACACGCTCGCTACTGAAGTTGTTAGTGATATTTTTGTTGCTTCTCACCATTTGACTTATTGGGTAGAAAAATGAAGCATGATGATACAGTATTTTGTGAATATGAGGTAATAGATGGAATTTCCAATTCACATTTTGCTCATAAAGTACATTTCAAAACCGGTAGTGTATTTAGAGTGGTCATTATCTATGGATTAGGATTTCCTGGGTGGACTAGTTTTGATTTTGCTTCTCTCAAACATGATTATAGAATTAGTGCATTTTCCACTCCTTGTGCTTTTATAGAATTTACTCCCCTTCATTTAATAATTTTGATTCTAAAATAGGTATTGGCTATATCTAAAATTTGACTTTGAAAGAAGTCACTTGAGGAAGGGAATCACTGCAGATTGCACATCTTCATAATACTTCTCCTGTGAAGGCTTCCATTGAGATTGAGTTTAGACTGTAATTTCTTTTTATGGTTGCTGACTCAGTTTAAGATGCTACCAGAATTATTTCAAGACGATGAGAAGGCCATCAGTCCAACCTCAGCCACCACTTCAGGGCGCACACCCCTCACCCGCCTCTCTGCAAAGCCCACCAAAGGCCGACCAGGCCAGACAGCCAAAGAGCACAAGAAAACGGTGGGGCTTCAGGTGAGTCCAAGGAGCCATTCCTGCAGCACTCTTTTGCCTCTGGCTCAGGGAAAGCCGTAGATCTGTCTGTCTCAGCTTCACAAGTGGGCTCCTTAGGTGAGGGGAGGCTACAGAGAGAGCCACATTCCATGAGAACATGGAACACCGTGCACTCCTCCCTCTCTCTACCCAGCTTTAGACCCGTGACTCTGACTAAGCCTTTCCCAAAATAATTTCCTCCTGTCTTAACTCTTGCATTACATATCCTCTCTCACAGGCCACTGCCGCCCTTGCTTTGCTTTCTGGTTGTTTCCTCTCTGAATGTGTGCAGAGCATCGGCTCCTTCAGAGCAAGGACAATCCTTTCCTTTCTTGGATGTCTTATGTTCTGCGGGAAGTGGGAAAGACTTCACACATGTGCTCAGCACCTGAATGGCTGCAGTGGGTTTTGGACAGGAGGTTGAGTGCCAGTTAGCTTGTTTTCCTGTGCATGGACCGCATGCCTAGTGCAGACAGGAAGCAGGACCTGACCCAGGGCCGTAGCCCCCTGACCCCATGTCCCTAGTGTTAGCCCCATCCTGGCTGTACTCTGCCATTTTCCCAATCCTATGCTCTTTTAAGTCATCTGCTCCCCCTTTCTCAGTATCTAAAGCAGAATTCCCACTGTACCTGATTAAATGACCTTAATATTCTTAAAATTAGGCTTTATTTTTAGTAAAAATTCCGAGTTCACAACAGAAAGCTACAGAAGCCTTATATTAAAAGGGGGTAGGAAGAGTGAACTAGAAAGTAAACTATGGACTTTGGGTGATTTTAATGTGTCAAGATAGGTTCATCAGTTGTAAAAAATGTACCACTCTGGTGGAGGATGTTGACTGTGGGGGAGGCTGTAGCTATGTGGAGGCAAGGGGTGTGTATGGGAAGCCTCTGTACCTCCTGTTCAATTTTGCTGTGAACTTAAAATATGCTCTAAGAAAATAAAGTCTGTAAATCAGTGTTACCTCAATAAACATAATTCTAAAAAAGAAAAGGAAGTCTATTTTAAGATGGGGCATGGGTGGAGAGTGACTGTGTTTAATAGAGTAAGCATGTAAATGATAGAATTTAAGCAAATTTTAACCAAAAACCCTAGCCCTTTTGTTTAGTAGCAACTTGCCTTCTATGGTGGGCCAAGTTCATGGGTGGCAGTCATATCCACTAATGTCACTGGAATAAAATTCTAAATTATTTTACATCATCTTTGATTTTGATAAACATGATGCCCCCTTTTGCTCTTTTTTCATGCAGTTTCGAAACTCCCTTCACCTGCTTATGGAGACACTCAATGCCACCACCCCTCACTATGTGCGCTGTATTAAGCCAAATGACTTCAAATTCCCATTCACGTAAGAATGTCTCTACTTCTGAATTGAAGAGTGTTCCTATAATCTCATAAGGATTGCCAAGCCAACAGAAGAAAAAAAATGTTTGGGTAGATCTTGATGTCTTAAAGAGGGAGATTACTAGTTAATAGAATTTTTTCAGTTTTTCTTCCATTTTCAGAATGTGAGAACAAATTAGTAGTTGGTCTTTCAGCGATTTTAAAAGTTGAGGTCAAGAAAGCATTCCTAGTTCTATTTTGAATTTATTTCAGGTCAATATCTTTCTGGACTTGTAAATATCTGGGCATTACTTAAAACCAGAACTGACTGGGATAAAGCTGCTTTGGTGAAGAATCAGTTATCTAGTTATCCCTGTTACTTTTCAACTATTAAAAATATCAGAGAATGTCCACTTTAACAATATTTCATCCTACATCAAATACCATGATGAGGGAATAGTGAATCGTTCAGGAATGTTTTTTGTTTTTTTTCCTTCAAAACAGAAATACTTCTTTAATATTAACAGTAATTCATGCACATTTTAAAAACAATTTTCAGGAAATATAAAATAGCATAAAAATAAATGAAAAAGCACTCATACCCAGAGACATAAATGGTGTTAAATGTCATAGATGCTTCTGGACCAACCAACATCCCTTCCTTGCTCCACATAAGTGTGTGTGTGAGAGAGAGAGAAAGAAAATGAGAGCAAATGAAAGAAAGAGACATTAATAAAAAGGAGAGAATGAAAAAGATACCAGTAAAAAGGGAAAACTCACACTGCAATTGCCTATTTATATCTGTTTCTAACTTAATAAATTGTGATTGTTTTCCATATTAGTAAATAAAATTTTACTTCATTTTCATGGCTACATATCATCCCATTATATAGGTATGCCAAAATTTTTTGAATTATTCCCTAATAAGAGTCATTTAGGTTATTGTAACAGTGCTAATATAAACATCTTTTGTCAAACATTTTTGTATATTGCTTATCTCCTTAAGATAATATATTTCTAGAGGCATAATTTATAGGTAAAAGACTGGGCACATTTATCATAGCTTGTAATAACTACCACTATCACTCCACAGTGTACGAGTACCAATTATGGCCCCTTTCCCTGTACCCCAGCCAATCCTGCCATCTGATGAGTCTGCCTTAGACTGCAGGACAGTTCTGACAGACTGTTATAGCCTTCTCCTTACCATAAAGCCCTTTCTGGAAGAAGTGGGAAGCAGAAAGAAGCTGCCTTGCCCTGGGCCGCTTTCCTGAACAACCCTAGGTGTCATTACCTTCCATCAGCCAGCCACACCTCCCACCCCAACCCAACACTTATGAAGTATAGCAGAAGGTTAGCTAGATCAGCAGGGCTTACCTGGGGGAGAAAAAAGAGTGTTCACCTGGTGAGAGGCAACCCTTGCTACTTCCTCTTTTAGTTTCAATTGAATGTTAAGATGCCGTTTGTTTAGAATAAAATAAAAAGTATAATACAAAATACGTTTCATTGATGTGGACACTATAAGGGCTTAGTATGTGCACACTGAATTGAATAGTTTACACTAGTACATTTTTAAAAATAAATAACTGAATGGGGCATATTTAATTTGTCTTTCTCATTAGAGAAATCTCCAGAGCTGGCCCATCTTTATGCAGGGTCACTATGTATGGTCCACTCACAAGTAACAAGATGGGCTAATCAGGCCAAGGCTAGTACGAACAAAGTACAGAGGAGTTCTGGGTTTTTAAAAAATACATGCTCAATGATATTTCTTATGAGTTGGAGTATGAACCAAAGATAATGTTTACAACTCTGAATTTTTATTGCTAATTTTCTCCTCCCCATGGAATTTTCCATTCTGATTACTGCTCCAACTTTTGAATGCATTTTTTCCCTAATTTATCCATTTGGCTCTTACAAAGGAATTTAATTTCTGAACCAAGGACAGTAATTTGTGGCTACGTCAGGGTTCCTTGTGTATTAATGGTTTTCATGTCTTACATGTAGCTTTGATGAGAAGAGGGCAGTACAGCAGCTGAGAGCATGTGGTGTCCTGGAAACCATCCGAATCAGTGCAGCAGGTTTCCCCTCCCGGTGAGCCTGGAATTTTATAAGTACAGGGGATCCTTATGGGAGATAGTCCTACTTCTTTAAATAAGTTGCCATGAATTTCTTTTTATAGGTGGACTTACCAAGAATTTTTCAGCCGCTACCGTGTCCTAATGAAGCAAAAAGATGTGCTAAGTGACAGAAAGCAAACATGCAAGAATGTACTAGAGAAACTGATAGTGGTAAGAAAAAATTTTCACTTACCTTCACCTGAATAGATATTGGCCAAAGGCTTTGTGATTGTGACTTTTGAAAACCCTGGAAGCATCAGATACTGCTAACCCTGACTATTGGGGTCAAGGATAGTGGGCACACTGATTTGGAGGTGCCCCAACCTCCAAGTCAGTGTGCAATAAATTCTAGGACAAGTGAGGGTGATGGTCCACTATCACATAACAGAGTGTAAGACAAGTTCTTGAGACACATTCTTTTTAGAATTCGAGCATCATCAAATGATCATTATCAAAATTTGCCTAGTGATTAAGAAAACAAGTCTTGTCCTTCAGATAACCTAGTCTGTCTTGGACATTAATGCATTTCAAGATAAGTAAATATTTTAAAGATAAGTATAATACACTTCAGTGTCTGTCAAATGCTGAATGAGTGAGATAAGAAATTAGAGGATACAAAGTCACATCCACTATAGGAAGGCAGGACACTTTGGTGGAAGATATGTGTTCTGAGGTAGGCTCTGAATAATTGTTAAGATTGTTTAAAAGTGGGAGAATATTCTAATAGTAAACAAAGTATGAAGAAGTAGCAAGTCATAACTTGCTCAGAAAACAATAAAATAGTTTTTTTTTTTTTTTCAGTTGGAAAATGGTTAGGAAAGGTGGGTCCGTGTTGTGGAATGTCTTGTATGCCAAGCTAAGGAATTCTCAAATGCATCAGAGTCACTTGGAAGGCTTGTTGAAACAGATTGCGGGACCCCCACCTCCGAAGTTTCTGATTCAGTAAACCTGGGGTGGCCTCAATAGTTTGCATTTCTAAGAAGTTGCCTGGTGAATACTGATTCTGCTCTGAGAACTACACTTTGAGAACCACTCATCTAGGCCATTGAGAATTTAAGTTTCATGATAGGTTTTTTATAATTATAGCTAATCACTAAATGTAACATCTCTGATAACTTTTTTTTTAAGCACTAAGTCCACTTTCTTTGTAATACATGAAAGCATCTTGTGCCTTTTCAGTTTGACTCAACTCTTTTCTAAGCTGGGTTCAGATTTTTAAGATTTATTTTTGCATACATGAACTGGGGTGTAGGCCAGAAGTACAGGAGTGTGGAAGGTGAGAGGATTCACCAGGGACAGAATGGGGAGTAGAACAGGCAGATCTACTGAAATACACAGGTAAGGGGAGCAGCGGGTGAGACAGGAGAGACGTGGGTGAGACAGGAAAGATCTGCTACACAATATGTGGGGTAGCTATCTGGCTAGGGATCAAACTCAGGCCCCAAGGGTGATAGCATGATTGTGCTGAGACTTCACCCCTCTGCCACCAGGGACAGCCCTGGGTTCAGACGTTAACAAAGCAGAAAGTGAGGACATTTCTGTTGATGGGCTGCTTACCTGGACCACTCCAGGCCTGGTTCACAGTTTTCTAGGACATTTTGACAGAAGTAGCTACAGGATAGAAGAGTGCAGCTTTGATGTGGGGTTGAGTGGGGAGAGCTTAGATGAGTCAGGGAGAAGGGAGAATGGAAAAGGAACCACTTTCTTGCTCTTTTCATATCTTCAGCTAGGTTTCATATGTAAATTTATTGATTTAAATAGAAATAATTTTAGATTTTTAAAAATGTATTTGGAAATTTCTGATCTTCTGCTATTGTGTACAAGAGATACGTGCGTACAGTGAAAAGTTATTTTCTCTGTTTTCAGGTAGAATTTCAGATCAGTGAATGCTTTCAGATAAAGTGAATCACAATGTAATGGACCAGAAATAGCATGCATGTCTGTGTTTATTGTTGAAGTCTGACTAGAGTTAAAAAAAAGAAAAATCAATGAACAATATAAATGATATAAAAAGAGTGGTGAAATTTGTGGAAGGATTTTAAACATTCGTTTATTTCCAGATACTTTTGGTAAAGCCAAGAAATAACTATTGAGAAACTTAACTCATGAATATGCAAGGTTTTGTTTTGTTTTTTAATTTTTATTTTCTCTGTGTTACTTCCTGTGTTATTCTTCATACCGGTGTTTTTATTCCTTCAGCTTCTCATGGAATATACAGCCTGATGTAATCCTTGCAGCCTGGGTCAGTCAGAGGGAGTCAGCATCTCCATTTCGTTGAGATATTTAAAATACAAACAAATAAATAGTAGCTGCCTGTAACCCACAACCAAGGTTTTGGCCTCAGATAATAATTCCAGGTAGAATAATTCTGGAAAATAACATCTAAACTGCAGTTTTCCTTAAAATCCCTTCTACTTGCTCAGTTTGCATAGGATCAAAAATCTGACTCCATTAGTTAATTGTGATGTAGCCCAAGTTGTAGCTAATAGAGTCTCTCTGATTCTGCTTTTAGGCATATTTTTTCTATTTTAAAATTTCATTTACATGGTCATCATTTCTACTCTGAATATACAATTTCTTCCAAATATAGGACAAAGACAAATACCAATTTGGTAAGACAAAGATATTCTTCCGTGCCGGTCAAGTGGCCTATCTAGAAAAATTGAGGGCGGACAAGCTTAGGGCTGCCTGTATCCGGATCCAGAAGACGATCCGAGGGTGGCTGTTGCGGAAGAAGTACCTGCGCATGCGGAAGGCGGCCATCACCGTGCAGAGATTTGTGCGAGGCTACCAGGCCCGATGGTGAGTCTCCGCCCAGCCTCACTGCTCTGTCTCACTGGCATGCAAGATTAGCGGGCTCGTCTGATTTATCGTCCAGCCCAGGAGAGTTTTGAATGGTCATCTCACTTAAGGCAACACCTCACCTGTTAGTTTTAAGGAGTAACAGATTAATTCAAAGGACAATTAGATTAAGATTTCACTTACCCTTATGAATGCTTAAAATTTATCTTCACAAACATTATGAATTTCTGCCTACTCAGTGTCTTCAATATTTTTTATTTTGTTTACCTTAAAAATTTATTTTTATTTATTTATGCATGCAAGAACTGGGGTACAGGTCAGAGGTGGGGGGTATGTGTGAGAGGATTCACCAGAGACAGAGTGGGGAGCAGAACAGGCGGATATGGTGAAATACACTGCTGAGGGGAGCAGGGGCGAGACAGGTGAGGTTGCTGTGCCATGTGGGTCAGCCCCTTGGCAGGGGTTGGAACTCATGCCACAGTGGCTGGGGATAGTTTAATGGCGCTGGGATTTTAATCCCTGTACCACCAGGGAGGCCCTGTTTTGTATACTTTTGGGTGGACTTATGTCATCTGTAAATTAAAATTGTCATGAGGCTGACTCCACTAATAAAGAATCCACTGAGGAATTTTCAGGAACAATTAAGTAAGAAGGTGCAGAAGGGAACTATACTTCTATGTGATTATATTGTCACTGTTGGAAAAGTCAGGACATATTTTTTCTTTGAAAAACAGTAATAATGCATCATGACTTTTCTGACAACCCAATATATTAGGATAATTTTAATTTGGAAATATCAGAGGAAATGAATTAATGACAAAAATCTTACACCCAAATAGAAAGATTAGTAGTGTACATTTTTGATATATATCTAAATCTATTGGATTAGTCAGTATAGGGTTATTGTATAAGCTGGTCTGCTGTGTAAAGGAGGTGTCACCTGGTATAACGAGCACTGTTCTAGAAAGAATGAACTTTTATGAGCTTCACTTTGTTGTAAAATTGGATAATGTGGACTATCAAGACTTAAGATTCGAATGAGATAATGAATTCAAAAATATTTTGTGGAAACTATAATACATTGTTATACAAATATAAGAAATTGATTTAACGTGTATGTTATTAGCTTAGTTTAATAGATTCCATAGAGATAATACTTACTAGGCCAAAGATATTGGTGCTTTGTCTCTGCAAAATGAGTTTTTGTGATTACTGACAGTGCACCACTCTTTTCTTTGACCAGCTATGCTAAGTTCCTGCGCAGAACCAAGGCAGCGACCATCATCCAGAAATACTGGCGCATGTATGTAGTTCGCAGGAGGTACAAGATTAAAAGAGCTGCCACTATTGTTCTTCAGTCTCATTTGCGAGGCTACTTGTCCAGAAATAGGTATCGCAAGGTGAGGCATTATTTTCAATTTTGCTTATTTATTCCATTAACATTAATCAAAGTCCACATCTTCACAAATCACTGCTATCTCTTACGGACCTAAGAGCCTTATGGAGACGAGGCATATTTTTCTTAAACAAGACTATGGAATAAGAAAATTTACCTCTATTTATTCCCACCTTATCTATGTCATTTGAAAAAAGTGAGTGTACTAATTTCCTGTGCTGTAATAAATTATCACCAACTTGGTGGCTTAAGACAACAGAAATAGATTCTTTCACAGGTTTGGAGGGTAATAGTCCCAGATCATTAATGCCGAGACAAATTCAAGGTGTCAGCAGTGCTGTACTCCCTCTAGAACTCTCCGGGAGAACGTATTCCTCAGCTCTTCCACCTTCTGATGGCTGTTCTTTGTGTTTGTGTTCACATAATGCCAGTCTCTGCATTCATCTTCAGTGTCTTCTCCCCTGTGTGTCTAAATTCTCTTCTTTTGTCTCCTTATGAGAAAGAGCCAGAAAGAAACTTCTGATAAATTGAAGGCCTACTTGGATAATCCAGGATAAGCTGTCCATCTCTAGGACGCTAATTTAATCACATCTGCAAAGATCCTTTTCCAAATAAGGCAACATTTACAAATTCCACAATTTAAGACTTGCTTTCTTTGGGAGAGCTTTATTCAGCAGACTATGGTGAGCTTTGAATAGCTCACCATATATAACAGATGGGTAGAAGATTATTCCAAAAATGAGCCAAGCTTGGAAGAATTTACCATGTTGAAGAAAATAAATTATTACATTAATGTGTTTTAAATTGTATTGACTAGAATAAGAAGTTTTTGGCAAATAATCTATACCTAGTAATAATCAACATGACTCTAGATAATGTGTTATCAGATTAATATTAATCATCACCTTTGGCAATATATGAACCAGTTATGAAAGGCATTAATCTCTTTTTTGGCAAGGTATTGAATCTGTCCTTTAGGATATATTCAATTAAGCCAGAAATACAGTCCAGATCTTATAGCTCCATGGGCATCACTGTTAGAAAGAGTATCAATAGGGTAATTTGAGGCACATGTGTCTCATTACAGACAATACATGGGTATAACCTATTCATGTATTTATTTTACTTTCTCATTTTGAAGTAATTACAGTGAATAAAGAAAAATGGGAAGCTAATGAGGCTTGAATAAGTAAATTTAATAGTTGTGTTTTGATGAATATTTGAAGCAGCTACTCTTTCTTTCTGTCCATGCCTGCTTTATAGTTTAGTGTGCTTTCTTTATAAGTACAAATTTTCAGAGGAGGAACAATCCTTATTAAACTTGACCTTTTAGATATACCAAACTGTTTATCCTCTTGTTTCCTTTTACTCTCCTCAGGAACATCTGAAGTGAATTTTGAAACCTTTGGTTTAGCAGTAGCAGTCTCTGGCCAGCTCAGCTCCCAATGGTACTGAGCAAAGTAGAAGTGGCCAGTTAGAGGCTAACTCCCGTATACGCCAGCAGTATGCCACTAGTCCTTATTCTCGCTGTGTTTCATGTTGAAGCTTCCCTGTCATGGAATGGGGTTCTTATAGGGAGAATAGGTGTTATTTAATTTTTCTTACTGATAGAAATGAAAATGGAAGCTCTAATTATGTAGTCTATATTTCACTGAAATTACACAAATGGACCAATATTTGAAGTTTACTTGAAGAAAAGGAAAATAGCAGTAGTATTACCTCTGCATACTTTTTGAGTTTGAAATCAAAACATCCAAGCTGCCATCACTGAGTCTTATCCAGTCGGTGACTAGCTATCTGGATAAGACAGTCTTCTGAGGGACTATGATGTTCAGTGAGAGCTCAGGATGCCCATTCTGTCTGCAGCATGATACACCATGTGTAACCTTAGTGAAAATTGAAGGCTGCCATAACATAGAAAACAACCAAAAGAGGGGAGCCTTGAATTGGCTGAAGCTACTAATTCAGGTCTCCTGCACACCTATGCTTTTTTTATATTTGATTGTTTAAAACTTTAATCACTTATTTCTTAAATATATCCTCTAGAGTGACACTCTTTTTTCTCCTCGGATATGTAACCCCAAAATAGGAATGCAACCTAAATATAGTTCTTTTAATGATCTTATTAAGCTGCTATTTGAATAATGGTTTCACAGATTTTTACATTTTAAATGACTGATAAGAGATGCATTGTGTCCGTTTATAGTTATCACTAACAAGTACTTAATCAAGTACAAGTACATACATTTAAACAACATTTATGTCATATCCGGTTATTTCTTAAAATCAAAAACTTAAGAAGGCTTCAACCTTTTTGAATTGAATTTTCTAATCTTTCTTAAAAATTCAAGAATTTCTTTTCCATCATTCCTGGGAAATGTTTATACAATCTCTGCTTGATTATCTTTAGTGACAAATACAACTCATAAGGCAAACTTTTTTGTTACAAGTTTAAGGGACCATCAGGATTTAAAAAAAAAAAAAGAAAATAGAACATAAAATCAAAATTAAGGTCCATCTACTTCATTTTACTTTCAGCTTTCCTTTTGAAGCCCCATTCCACCTTCCTTTGAATCTCCTCAGTGATTCAAAGAAATGGAAATTGTCCAGTAGGCTGGTATTTCTGAAATATGACAATCAAAAGTATACATATTTTTTGTTTCTGGGAGGAGAATCAATAAATCAGGAATAAACTTTGCAACTAGCCATACCCTATGTCCTCAAGCACAGACCTATTGCAAACTGAAATATTCATAGTAAGGGTGGTGGGTAAGTCTTTTAGTTTTATAGCATATTAACATAATGATTCACAGAGTGCCTGTTCTGTTCACTTTATGGAGAATCAACTGTTACTAAAACAATTATATACCAGTAAGAACTTAGCACCCTTTTCCTGTTTCTTTAGAGTTGCTTTCTTTTTGATAACCTGATGCCTTTTATTTACATAATGTGAATATGACATGTTTTCATGTTTTTCAAATCAGCTTTTCATGCCTACTTTTCAAATCATTTTGTTTATCTATATATTTGTGATATGTATAATCCACCCCATTGGTTCAGTCCCTTAGGTATAATGTATAGATTCCCAGTCTGACATACATTGGTTGATGGAGTTGAACCTTGAGTTTAGTCCAGGGCCTAACATGTCCTTTACCTTTTCTGCAGATACTCCGTGAACACAAAGCTGTCATCATTCAGAAGTGGATCCGAGGATGGCTGGCTCGTACCCACTATAAGCGGTGCATGCATGCCATCATCTATCTTCAGTGCTGCTTCCGGCGGATGATGGCCAAGCGTGAGCTGAAGAAGCTCAAAATTGAGGCCCGCTCTGTGGAGCGCTACAAGAAACTCCACATTGGTATGGAGAACAAGATCATGCAACTGCAGCGCAAAGTCGATGAGCAGGTATATTTTAAACGGGAGCCCTGAGAGTGGAGCATGCCTGTAGAAACCCACCGGGATTGATTTCAACATTGTCTCCCCTAGACTTGACCTCTCAGTCTTAGCAAAAAAGTAAAATGATAATGACAATTGTGAGAATGGAAAAACTGACAAGCTTGTAGGTACAATTATAAATGTAGGCACAAAGGTAGGAAATCATTTTTGAGAAAGCAGCCAGATTTACAAATGCTCCAAAACTTTATGACTGAAAGTCATATTATACTTTATTCTTTAAAAAGCTCCTATATCATTACTATTTGTTTTCATGTGGGAGAATGTTCTTTTTTGCAAATGAGTTGTTTAGCATTGAAATGGAAGAAAAAAAGCAGGAAGATGTCCATGCTGCTGAGGAATCTACAGTCTATTTACAGAACTAAAAGTTTGATTTCTTAGAGATAATAACTAATTATGCACATGCAAATGTAAAGGTAATTAAGACTATATAAATACTGAAGGCAAAGGAAAACAGAAGTCAAAATGAAAAAGGGTTCTTTAGAAAAGATCTCCTGAGAGGGCAAGGGGAGTTTTGAGGTAATAAATGTAAGAAACTTGTGATTTTGAGGCCATGTTATGGCATCATCAGACTAAAACTTGACTTTTCGTAGCACATAGATCTATTTTCAAAAGCTATTTTAAATTCTCCTATTTCTGGGTTAAAAATCAGGAAATTAATAATTTGCTGTTGTATCTCACCTTTTCACTATGAGAAAATCATTTATGTTGCTTATAATTTAAAACAAATAATTGTGCCTCTTCTGTCTTTGTTACTAAGAGGGTGTTGGTTATGTTATTATCAATATTGTGGTTAGTATTTTGGTGAGATGTTATATCAGTGCTGTAATAACAGCATAAACATGATGAATAAGTGCAGTTTTTTTTCACTAAATATATTTGATAATGTGTATATTTACTTATGTGTGTACTTAAAGAACAAGGACTATAAATGCCTCATGGAGAAACTGACCAATCTGGAAGGAATATACAGCTCTGAGACTGAGAAACTACGAAGTGACTTAGAACGCCTTCAGCTAAGTGAGGAGGAAGCTAAGGTTGCCACTGGACGGGTTCTCAGTCTTCAGGAAGAAATAGCCAAGCTTCGAAAAGATCTGGAACAAACGCGGTCAGAGAAAAAGTCCATTGAGGAACGTGCAGATAAATATAAACAAGAAACCGAGGAGGTAGGAACTATTGTTCACATCACAAGGGAAATGTGTTGTCTTGACCTGGCCCATGTGACTCAATTTTGGCTAAATTGAAGGTGGAGTACAAATTTCAATTGGTTCATTATTAGTGTCTCCCAAACATGTTATTTCATGATTTGCTTTTCATAGGGATGGCTGTAGGCACAAACATACTAATTCTTTTGGATGAGTATGTCTTTTAGTAGTACCTTTTGAGTCTATATAAAACAGAGGCTAAACAGTATTTTAAAAAAAGCTAAGGTCAGGTACCTACTACACACTTATTTAATTGCATTGTTCTGGATAAAGTCTAAGCTCCTTTTTTTGAGTAGAATTAATGTGATTAAGAAGCAAATCAAATAATCATATGTTGATATGTGATAGTAGGGATCTTATGGAAATCTGCAATAAGGCTAGATTCAAACATTCAAGCAGAAGTTCAAAGTCAGCACAGTAGTAACAGCCAGGAGTTGCTGTGCAGATGAAACCAAGTGTGTCTGAAGGTTGATCAGCGCTTTCGTACACATTTACATTAATGTTTATAAGACCTTTATTAAGTACAGAAAACATTAAGGTCTCAAGCTTGAAAGAGATGTATTTTTAAATGTTTAGAAAAGTATTCCAATGTAAGAATTGCTTTTCAGAGATTCTGTTGGATTATCAACTTTAAATGAAAATAGCTGCCTCTTTTGGCTATAACTGCTGGCAAGAATATGAGTTTGCTTTTTATGTACAAACTTCCAAATGTTAACTTCTGTACAGTGAGGATCTCAGAAGGAGCTTAGATGCAGTTTAGGTAGGATAGAGTAGTTGATAAAATTGTAGTTCTTCCATGGTATTCAGGGTTCTGATAAAATGATTCCTTCTATATCTCCTGCAGATCTGGACTCATTCTATGGAAACAACAGTGCCATAATATATGTTATTTTAACATGGCAAGCTATTCCATCAAAATTCAGTAATACATTCATAGGGTACTCAGGGCTTAAGTTTTTGTTTTGTTTTGTTTTGTTTTGTTTTGTTTTGTTTTTTAATTTGCTGAGTCCATAGAAACTTTCCAGATTGCCCTGAATCTATATAGTATTTCAAGTAGTATTTATAGTATTTCAAGTCAAGTTCATCATAACTTATCTGATAAAATGGCACACACAAGCAGGTTCAGATTTCTTCTTTTCATGATCTTCTCTTTTTCATAGGGGTGGCTATAGACACTACTATTAATTCTTTTGGATGGAGTGTAGTGGTAAGGAAAAAATAAAAACATTGCATTGTAATGGTTAGGAAAAAGAATCAACAGCCTGATGAAGGAACCCAGAAGATACACTGAAACTGTGATATTTCCCCAGAAGCGTGTATATCACAATCTCCTGGAGTGTTTTAAAAAAGCTATCTGCCTAAAGTCTGGGAGTGCAGATAAGGCACACTGATTTTGTAAAAGCTACACAGGTGATTGGTTGCATATCCCTTACAAAGACCAGTTTTCTCAAGAGCACATACAAAAAAAACTTGGGCCTTTGTACTAAAGAGTGAATGTTAAGGTCCTCTCAGTACAGAGTGAGGTGACTGGACCATTGGAAGGAACGCCTTCTAGACTGACTTCTGCTATGGTGGAGTATTGTAATCAAGCATGCTGGGTCTCCAGGGATCCTTTGTCACAGAGCCCTCTTTCTCTGTTTTTAAACTTCTGATACTTTATCATTAAAAATGTCGCTTTTGAGTGTCTGATGCTTAGAGAAAGGAATTCACTTTTCACCCATAATAAGCACACATTTTATTGCAAAGATGAAATGAGTACATTATGCACTTCGCAAAGTTACCTTTGGTTTTGATATTTTTACTTCCTGGAAAATCTTATCCAACCAGGAAGTAGAAAGTTAAAGGTCAATGCTTTTTTTTTTTTTAAACTATAAATACCATAAAATTTACCACTTTAACCATTTTAAATGTACTGTCCTGTGACAATTAAGTATATTCACACTGTTGTAAGGTTAGTGCTTGTTTAAACATGAAATAAAAAGAACTTTTGCAACCTTGCAAAAATCTTAAAAGGAGATGAAAGGAAAATTCTCTTCCTCAAAACTGATATTGGGGAGCTTCATAGGGTCTTCAGTGAATTTACAGACAAAAAAGCCCTTTGTGTCTACCTGGCTCACAGGGCACACATATGCTTTGTGTTAGGGTTTTGAGGTGAGAAGGCATTATCATTGCTTCAAGAGCAAATGCTTACTAGGGTCTGGATAGTTGCTGGAGGCTCAAAGTACAATGTAAAACAACAGCAATCATCTTCCTTCTCCAGGAATGTCTAGTTTATTCAGGGAGTAAAAGTAAATCATTTATAAGGGCTACAAAGAGGCATATACAGGGTCCTATAGTAGCTAACTAAAGAGGGTTTCCAGAAAGGCTCTGGAAGTAGGGAGTAATGTTTGAGTCAAGTTTGAAAGATGATTAGATAATAACCAGGCAATAAGATGAGGCACCAAGCTGTGAAAGAAGGAGTGATTATTGTGTGGTTTTATGCTTACTATGGGGCTCCCTCTGTGTTGTGCAGCCATCTCAGCTTATTGTTTCATTTCATAGCTGGTATCAAATCTGAAGGAAGAAAATACTTTGCTGAAGCAGGAGAAAGAGACCCTCAATCACCGCATCGTGGAGCAGGCCAAGGAGATGACAGGTAAGGCTCACATGGCCCGACCTCAGACCAAAGTTCCGTCAGTCACAGCTTTGCTTAGAGCTAAGATGTTTTTTAAAATTGAGGCTGTTATCAGTGCATTTACATAGTTCCAAGAGACAAATACTCTAAATATTTCGACAAATTAGTTGGTGAACTGTAAATGTGGTCTCTTTAGATACAAATGTTTAGATAAGGTCATATGTAATTTTTAAAAAGCTTAATTTACCTGTATTTAAAGTTAGTAACTATGGCTTATAGATTTCCTGTTAATTTAGGAATAACTCCTGAGTTACTCCTGTGTATGTATGTAACTTTCATTTTTTCTAAACCAGTGGATATTATATTCCCAAGATCAACCACTTTTTGCCACCAAACTAAAACAACTCAAGACATACTTTAATTTATTGAATAGAGACTTAACTAGATGTGGACATTTATTCTATTTAGTATTTGTGGGATGGAATGCTGATAATTTACAGGGTGTCCACATCTACATAACATGGGATAAAAAGATATAGATTGAAACTAGAGTAATTGATGATGGAAATGGAATGAAAGAGATGGGGTGAGTGAGGATAGACTTTATGAAAAGAGTCAACGGCATGTTACAATTTTTTATTTGCTCTTCAAAAATGGAATAAAAATCTTCTAACGTTTTGAGATGAGGTATACAAACAATAATGCTGTGTGCTGTTAGTAATAAGGAATTTGAGAGAGAATTTACATGTGTATGAAGAAAATTAACAAATCAGTTGTTGGAGTGTTACATTTTAGATTTCAGCTAGGGATTCAAGATAGGAATGTTCTGAAAATTAATCAAGATTAAAGATTAAGAGAACGAAATGAACCTAATATACCTGTTAGTGTCATGACGATGCAAGCCTGCTGCGCTTTCCCATGCACTACACTACTACACCCTCCCTCCCAATTAGGGGAGATGGCAGAGAGGAAAGAGAAGATATCTGGAATTCAGCCTTTTGGGATGAAAATAAGGGATAAGATAAAGAAAAGTAGCCAGAAATAGCTGCAGATGCAGAAAATAGTCACTGAAGACATGGTACAAAGACTTCTGGGATACAGAATGTAATGGAAAGATTGAGAATGATCATAGTACTTTTAGGAAAATATAAAATGTATCTTGAAGCTAAATAATAAGAATAAAAAAAAAAACAATGGATTTGTCTAGGTAAATTTAGTTTTCCTGTGCTTCATAGTCTTAGACAACTTCTGCAAGCTGACGAAAATAAAAGACATTTTATAGAATGTTACAGGGAAAAGAAATTCTTTTTTTATCTTTAAATTTATTTATATATAGTTTACATCATTGATCATTTTTGTACATTATATATAACATATATATATAGAGAAAGAGAGATTAATTACTTGTTAGGCTGCTCTCCATCTCCAGATGATGGCAAGAGAGGGCAAAGTGGGATGGGTGAATGGAAAGGTCAGGGTTCCCCAGCAGCACATAGGAAATGACAAAAAAATAAATAATATAGATGACCAGTTGTGGGGCTCTTACCCTGTTAGGAACTGGGGAGTAATTTGACAATAGAGAAGTTCACAGTACTGAAAAACTGTAAGATAGGATCCAGGGAATGAGACTCATGGAGAAAGGCTATAGAATAGGACAGAAGGTCCACTGAAAAGTTGCCATTCTTTTGTGTGTGTGTGTGTGTGTGTGTGTGTGTGTGTGTAGAAGAACTGGGATGTAGACTAGAAGTGTGGGGGGTTGTGAGAGGATTCACCAGAGATACAGTGGGGAGCAGAATAGGTAGATCTTCTGAAATACTCCACTAAGGGGAGCAGCAGGCAAGACAGGAGAGGTCTGCTGTGTCATATGTAGGTTAGCTCCTGGGCTGGGGATTGAACTCAGGCCATAGCAATAATAGCACTGAGACTTAATCTGTAGGCCACCAGGGAGGACCCCAAGGTTGCCATGCTTGAGGATTATCTCTGACGTTTTCAGAAAATACACTAATTCAGACAAAAGAATTTTATAAAAATTTTGAAATGGAATACTATAAAAATACTATATAAAAATATATGCTTAAAAGATTTACTAGGCAATGAGTATTTTATTAAGAATGTGTTGTAACCTGTAAATGAACTAGTGACACTCAATCTGACACTCAGTCAAAGTACATTAAAGAACTTTGTAGATGATTATTGTCATTTATTAGTAAATTTATTTCAATTTTGGTAATGTTATTTTTTCTTTCACTAAGTTATTCTTTATAATCATAGTCATGTTAAAAATAAAATCCCAGGCAGAGAAATTGGCAGTCAGGGTACATATTTGCATTCTGCAGTGCCATCTTTGTATGCTTTACCATCTTCTTTCAGAGACTATGGAGAAGAAGTTAGTAGAAGAAACAAAACAACTAGAACTTGATCTTAATGATGAAAGATTGAGATACCAGAACCTACTAAATGAGTTCAGTCGCTTAGAAGAACGCTATGATGACCTCAAGGAAGAGATGACTGTGATGCTGGTGAGTCAAACACTTCTTTTTTATGAAGTAAAATATGTTAACATATGCAAAAGTGGATAAAATAGTAACATGAAACCCTCACATGCTCATCACCCAATTCCAGAATTGACAACACATTTCTATACCTCCATTCCATCCCAATCAATAGATTGGATTATTTTAAAGCAAATAAAGCAGAAATCATATAATTTTACTCATAAGTGCATTAGTAAAGTCAAACACTTTAAAGACTGGACTGTGAAATAGTGTGAAGTCAATGGAGTGCACTTTGGTTCATGTGGTGAATGGCAATGTAAAATTTGCTTATAAAGCAAATAATGATGTAATAAGGCATTTCCTCCACTGATTTTTATTATAATTTTGAAGATACATACTTCCAAAAAGAAAATTCAGTCTCTATTTGTAACAATTGTTTTGACTTGGTTGCATCTGCCAGTGTACCTTTTGTACTTTTAATAGTAATGCATATCCCTCCCTATTCTACTTATCCTGTTACCAAGAAACAGAGTTCCCTAGCTGTCTTGTTCCCTACTATTATCAATCCTAAAGGTAGCCTAATGATACAGATGGCCAGAAATGCTCTAAAATACCTCTTATAAAACAAACTATACTTTGATATCTATGTGGTAGAGTATTTGCTTCAAATTTTGCTTCTAGCTGGATCCTTAGACAAAGTGCTTTAAAATGTGACTTAAAATGTCAAAATTAAAGAGATTATGTTAGCTAATACACATTATCTGCAAGTGAAGAAACTGAATCTGAAAGAGGGTGAAATGCTAATATAAAATCCCACAGTTGGGCCATTATTTCAAACCTCACTACTTTCCTTTGATTTGTAGGTGACAAAGAGAAATTAGAAGTAGGAATAGGTCCTACTTCTTATAATTGGCTCTCTGGTATAACCTCACCAAGTTATGTCTTCCTTGTTCTTCCTGATATACTTAACCCTGTTCTTCCTTCATATTCTCACATTCAGAGCTTTCTCCGGAGTTTCTTTTCCTCTGTCTTTCACCATCATGTTCCCCAGAGCTCAATTCTTAGATGTATTTTTACTTTACTATGTGACCACACCAATACTTGTGGTTAATTTATGCTTTGGTTGTGGTTAAAGTTTTGTATCGCATTGGGTGTTTTTGAGACCACTTGTTACTTGGGCTGTTAATAAGTGGCATTAGAAAAAGAAATGATTGAGGTCATTAGAAAAAGAAATAACTGACGTCACCTGGAAATCAGCCAGGTTAAACAGAGATAAACAGTTGTTTATCTTATAGAATTTCTTACAGAATTTCTTAGATTCTTTTATAGTGTATACCTGCGACCCTCAGAAAATATAGTGAGAGAAACATGTGCCGTGTATATATATCACTCTCCAAGACATTCCAGAGACACCTGTGAGGTTAATGGGTCCCCTTAGTTAAAAGGTAGCCATCTCTAGAAAAAACCCTCCAGTCTGGCCCTCCTCCAACAACTAAACCAAAACTGTTCCTTCCTGCTGAGCAAGTCTCTGCTGGCCATCTGTTGTGCTTTCAGCAGTGCTATGGAAAAATAAAGATGTAACCTAGCTCCAAGGTTAGTTTAGGTGCTTGATTTCTGGTATCTCAGCCTGAAACTCTCTCCATTGTCTGCCTGTGATTGTCATTCCTCTTAGGTAGCAAAATGGTCAGATGAAGGGAAAAGGAAAATAGCAAAGGGAGGAAGTTCAGAAGTTGCTAGCTTCCTACTCAACTCTTTAATAGGTCTCATTTTGTAGTTCCAGGTGCAATCAGGATTGTGGTCTTTGCAGCAAATGTTTGCTGAAAGTTTCAGAGAATAAAAAAATTGACTTATATAATTTAGGACTAATTAAAATATTAATAGCAATATCTTATTTTAATGCTTAGACAAACTTCACAACTAACAGATGGGTACTTGGCTATTATTTCATTGAAGTTGTTCTGCAAATGAGGGTTTTCTTCTTAATAATCAGGAGTTAGTTAATGAAGCACTTTGTAGTAAATAGACTTGAGATGGATGACAAGACTGCCTCCGGGCTTCCCCTGATTATTGGTAGGCCAAGGGTAGTGTCACTTGTTGGCCCTGGCACCGAGTCTTTTAGGGGTTTTTGCCAGGAATATTTAGTTTTAGGGCAGAGACAATAGAGAAAAGACTGATTTAGGACAAAGGAGTTTCAAACCAACATTGAAAGGATAGTGAGGTACAGGGAATCCAGACTTGTAATGTGTTTGAAGATAAATTAATTCTGAGTAAGGAGGAATCCAGCATGTCAACTCTGGGGTCATTAATCATGGAAAAGGGAGTAAAACAGATTTAGGAAAGAAGGAATTGTGGGAGAAATGACATAAAGAGAAGAGGAGGTGTAAGATGCAGATCTTGAAGGAAAACTTCATAATCAAGTCAGATGTTTGTCCTTGAAATTATCAGCAGTTGGACAGGGGAACAGAATCCAAAAAACTTGGAGAACTCAAAGACCACCAACAAGGGAGTTGATGTATTAGTCTAGGGTCATAAGAGGTACAACAATAACCATTAACATAATTGAATGCTTGTTAGATATCAGGCACTCTACTTGTACTATCTTATTTAGTTCTCACATAAATCTTATGGGGTAGATTATATTATTATCCCCTTTTTCTTGATAATGAAACTGATGGCTGAGAAGTTGGTAAGAGATAAGTAATTCATGGAGCTGGAATTCCTACCCAACTGTCTCCTGTTTCAGACCCACAATACCTCCCTGGTACTCTGTATCTTAAAGTTACATTAAATAAAAAATATACAGTATGGCTTTTATTTATTCTTTAAGGTATTTGTTGTTTAATAATAGCTATACATGTGGAAAAATAGAGCCTCTCTCGTCTTTGATTAATTTATTAAAAATCACTCTCCTGGGCCTCCCTGGTTGCACAGCGGTTGACTGCTGCGTTGTGAAGCTGCCTGCAGCCTCTGCAGCGCGGGTTCAATCCCCGGCCGCCGGGTGAGGGTCCCACATGGCGCGCAGACCTCTCCTGCCGCCCGCTGCTCCCCTCAGCAGTGTGCTTCGGTCCTTCTGCCTGCTCTGTTCCCTGCTCTGGCTCTGGTGAATTCTCTCACCTTCCTGCGCCTCTGACTGTACCCCGTGCTTGTATAAATAAATAAATAAATCTTTAAAAAAAAAATCACTCTCCTAATGTGTGTATTGACCTATCTGTGGTTTGTTTTTTTTAGCATAGAAGAACTGGGGTATAGGACAGATGTGTGGTGGGTGAGAGGATTCACCAGAGACAGAGTGGGGAACAGAACAGGCAAATATACTGAAATGCACTGCTAAGGGGAGCAGCAGTGAGACAGCAGAGGGCTGCTGAGCCATATGTGGGTTGGCTCACTGGCCGGCAATTGAACTCCGGCCATAGTGGTGATAGCACTGAGACTTACCCCCTATGCCACCAGGGAGGCCCGTTACCTATGTACTTTAATGACACAACCAATTTATTAAGTATACTCTATCCCATACAACTGTTGACTTGGGCTGAAAGCTCAAAGTAAGAGGATTGAAGTAAGAATAAAATAAATGCCTTTGACTTTATGCGTGGTAATTCTTCCCTTTCATTTGCTAGATAGTTTCAGAGGATCTGGTGTTCATAGGTCGTCCTTAGCATTAGAGAACAGATTGGACTGGGAGATTTAAATTCCCTTGGATGTTAGCTTCCCTTTGGTTTGAGCCATCTCTGTAAGCCTTGATGTTGGCAGGCAGGAAAGAGGCAGAGGACTTCTTTGTGGCTTCCAGCTCTTTTCCTGCAACTGGGGAAGGAGTAAAGAAAACTGGACAGACCAAAAGCTGTTAGAAGACTTTCTGAAGCTCTCAGGATCTGTAACCCTGTGAGATCCAGGCCTTTGGACCTCTTTTCCTTTTCTGGTGGGGTACACACTGTGAGTGAGGGCACAAACCCAGCCTTCTTATTCCTTCTCCCTTGAAATCATTCTCCAACCTCCTCTCCTACAGAAGGAAAGGGGCTGCAATTGCTCTTCCCCACAAGCTTCCTGAACACTAATTTCATAGGTTCCTAATGTCATAAAAGTGTTAACCAGCCTCTCTTTGGAGAACTTACAGAGTAGTATTCTTATCTCTCCTGCACTCCATCCTTCCCACTGCTGACTCCAGAGATTGCACTTCATGTGTAAAAGTAGCGGAAATTATAGTCACATATATGGAATCTCCCTACCTCACCCCCACCTTTTTTTTTTTTTTACCATTTATATCCAATTACGGTCTAATAAAATCATTGTCTTATCATTAAATGTTTCTTATGAACTCTTGGTAAATTTTATCTGACTGCAGCACTGAAAGTCAGTGCTTGGCTGTTGAGGCATCCTACCTTTGCGTCCTCCCGTGACTAGCTTCTCGCAACTTAAAAACCCAAGGGGGACTCTGATAATAATGACAGATTACTTTCATTTGAGAATTTGGTTTTGAAACTGTTCTTGTCATGCCATGCTGGTACATCTTTCCCTGCTTTTTCTTTTTTAAAGATTTATTGATTTATTTGTTTATACAAGCACTGGGTACAGTCAGAAGCGCGGGAGGGTGAGAGAATTCACCAGAACCAGAGCAGGGAACGGAACAGGCAGAAGGACCGAAGCACACTGCTGAGGGGAGCAGCGGGCGGCAGGAGAGGTCTGCGCGCCATGTGGGACCCTCCTCCATTGGCCAGGGAGCAGCCTGGGATCTAACTGGTGCTGCAGAGGCTGCGGGCAGCTTTGCAGCCCAGCACTCAACCGCTGCGCCACCTGGGAGGCCCTCTTTCCCTTCTTTTAAGGAGCTTAAAGGTGACCCTTTTATGAGGGTTTGGTCATGACAACATTGCTCATGAGAACAGCAAGACAGCGTGTGGGGATAAGAACCATGTTACTATGGTATCTTCTGTCTGAACTATGTGTGGTTTATTATGTTAATAATACGTGTTTTATTTGCCTTGCAGAATGTGCCTAAGCCTGGACACAAGAGAACAGACTCCACTCACAGCAGCAATGAGTCTGAATATACCTTTAGCTCTGAAATTACAGAAACTGAAGACATTCCATTGCGGACAGAGGTACATTTTAGATACCTACCACTCAAAATAGGCTGTGACCATGCTATTGTCAAAGAGAATATTTCTATTGCAGAGCAGATCCATTTGCCATTTATTTTGATCTGTTTATTCTTAAGAGACTTGGGGGTACTTAATTAGCTGTTACGTGTGTACTTATTGCATATTTTTTTTATCAATACCCTTTAATTTGAATGTAAGTTTGAATACCAGATTTTCCCTCTCATAGTTTAGTTTCCCTTTATACCTTAATATATTGTATGTACAAAAAATATAACCTATCATGAATTTATTTCAGACTGAGGTAAATTATTTTTCAGTGTAAGCCCTTTGAGTCTTATAAATACCAGTGCCCAAGAGGTTAGCAAAATTGCTGGTTCTGTTTGCTGACAGTTTTTAATCAATATAATTTTTTTTCATAAAAGTGCATGAGAAACATCTTGAAATCATCCTTCATATTTTGTGTTATATGGTATGAAACTAAAATGAAAATTACTGTAGCTCTGAGAATACTATGACTTTAAGTTACATTGTTCTCAATTCTCAAATTTGGTTTTCAAATGATATTAGTCTCAGTAATGGGTAATTCAGGCATAACTGTTCTATTTTTACTTACATTCTGAGAAAATGGCCGAGTCAGAAATACACTGTTTTTGGCACAATAGGTGACGAAATCAGATGATTGTTTGCTTCCTTATCTTAGTTCTACCTAGGAATGAAAAGTTTCTCCCATCTTATTGAGTTCATTTTGAAGAAAAGTATCACATAGTTGAAGTCATACATTCAAGAAGCCTGTTACTTGTCCACCGTCATAGCTTGCAAGTGGCAGAGCTAGTGTTCTAACAGGTTTGTCTACTTAGAACTGCAGTTCTTACTGCCCCAAATGGTGTTGGTTGGAGTACCATTGCCCTGCATTCAGCTGGTATCCCTGGGTTCTCTTCCTTGGGCCTCTCTCTTCGGCATGGTGTGTGAGTTCAAAAGATGATAGTCCTGTTAGGACCCAGAACTAGCACAGTGTCAGTTCTGCCACATTCTAGAGTTAAAGCAAATTACAAGTTCAACCCAAGTCCAAAAGGTAGAGGAGCAGACTTCATCTCTTGATGGGAGGAAAGGCATCTGTGTTAGGAGGTATCACTGTTGGCCATCTTTGGAGACTACCACACAGTCAGTTTGTGGAAATTTCAGAGTTAAAACTTAAGACTCTCTTTTGAATATGATGGTTTTAAAATTGCATCCTGATAGTCTTAATGGTAGTACGCCCTTGTAGTAGTCTGAGGGAGGTATGTTTACAAATCCCAGTGTAATACTACCTAAGCAGCTTCAACATGGCAGGGAAAAGTTATGAGAAAAAAGGTGTTTGCTGGGAATTATTTTGGATTAAATTCAGAACAAGAAAGTCTCTTATTGACAGTTTTGATTGAGGACATCGTCGTTTTTTAAACTAAAAAACTCTTACATGCTTTATCTAATTTTTATTAGTAATGATGTATTTCAGGGTGTCTACTGAAGTTTTCTGCAGAGTCTTACAGATTTTAGAGAAAGAGTTACTTTTTGTTTGTAATTTTCACCTGTTTTCTGCTGAATCTTTCTCAACTCTTTTAAATGATTTGAAGAAGGATTTGTTCTCCACAAACACAGATCTTAGAGTATTACATACTGTTCTTCACATACACCATCAACCAGCAGTAATGCATGTGCCCCACCCAGAAGTCTTCTCTAACTAGTGGGGAAGGCTGCTTACTGAACTGGTCATCCTAGGACCTTGGACTTAGTGCATGCATCTAAAATGTGACTGACTTTTCTTAGTATTGCTATCATTACCATAGGACAGACTACAGTAACTTTCCTCACTGGGACTAAGTACAAATCCTTTACCTCAGTCTCTCTGCCTGAGTTTCCTTATTTGTGAAATGGGGGTGCTATTACTATCTTACCTGGTAGTGAGTGATGTTTTGAAGATTAAACAAGTTAATTCTTGTAAAACATTTGGTACAGAGTTTGGTTGGTACATACTAAGTCTTCAGTAAATACATGTTTTTGCTCTAACAAATAGGTTTCCAGGGATCACCCTATAACTCTGACAGGGTGTGGTCAGGATCAGAAAGGTGGGAATCTATACACCTGGTAATAGAAAAAGATACTGGTTTTCAGAAGGGACATTAGGTAGGAGAGAAGACTATTTGTACACCAGTTACTTATGACGTCCAGGTTTGAGTTGCTTCCCGAAACTACCTCTGTAATGGCCAGGTTTACAAATATTCCATTCCTATGTGTAATACTACTAGAATCTGGTGCCAGGAAAATAATTGGTCCAGTCTTATTTATCAGTTGCATCATCATCATCACCATCATCATTATCATCATTACTATTAAAATAGATATGGAGGTATCTTCCAGACTGTTTTAGAACACAAAATTCCAACCTTAGTCATGTAATATAGCAAAATTTGATGTAAAAAAAGAATGTTTCTAGCATTACCAAACCTGTGCTTTGTTATTCATAAGTCACAAGGGTACCATAGTTCCTAATCTCTCTCTAGAGAATTCACCTCCTCTAGAGAACTCACTTGCCAAAGCAAGAATTCACTTGCTTTGCAGCCCTCCCACACTTCCTGTCTTTGTGGTTTGGAGTTAGGTTGGTTTAGAAATATTGCATCTCCCCTCTCTGTCATGCGTGTTTATTAGTAGGTATTAACTAATGATTCCAATTCTGTCTCTGCTCTTGAGCTTCCTCACACCTGTCAAACCTACAAAATGGTCTCTATAACTTTTTCAGCTATTGTTAGCAATAATTCCAGAATGTCTGCCAGGCCTGTGGTAATTTGGTAAATAATTGTTATCTTGCTGATTTTATTCGCATGAGAGACTGCTGGTTTTTGTTTGTTTGTTGTTTTTAATGTTATTTTCAAAGTTGTGCTCTCTTGGAAAAGCCTTGTGTACAAAGTCTTTGCTATGAAAGGAAAGCAAAACAAAATCCCAGAAATTTCTCTGAACCAGATGACCCAGTCTTCCTTCGTGCTTACATGGCATAGAGTACAAATGGCATCTCTTTAATTAGATTTTATCAGTAAGGGTAAGAATAGGTACCATCTACAGCACTCTTGACTCATAACCAATCATTATTCCTCAAGCAGTTTTGCAGTTGCTGAATATTATCTTTTTTGTCTTTCATCTCCTCTTAATATTCTTGTCTGCAGAATTTTGCTGTTATCTAGCAATTAACTAATTCATTATGGGGTATTAACTGGTATCTAAAATTATCCCATCCCATTTTAATAAGAGCATTCTTTACAAATAAAAATGCCTATTTAAAGCTGAGAGGAATGATCCCAAATGTAGAAATTTTAGGTACACTGAATGTATTATATTCATTTATAGGATGAAGGCTTCTCTATTGCAGTGTTGGAAAAGATTAAAGAATTAAAAAATCAGGGATACATAACATCATTAATAGATAGACAGACGTTTAAATTAGGTAGACAGGAATGTATACATTGTAAATAAGCTAAAAAAAGAATTTGTGGGATGTATAAAAATTAGTGTTTATATGAATGAAGTTCTGTAGTAATTTTATGTAATGCTGTCTGGATGTTACTCTGTTTTGCTAAAACAGACTTTATGGTGAAGATCATGTAACTAAACTTTTTCTTACTGTTGAGCATTACAGAAGTGGACGGTAAGAAAAAGTCCAGGTATAACTAGTCTGCGGGTAAATGACCCTGACAGCCTAAAAACATCCTACTTCTTAGTTTAGTTAATTCTTTAGTTAATTCTTCAATAATAATTCTATTATTGTAGAACTGGAATAACTGGCACTATAAAATTCAAAAAAGACTAAAAATAGCTAGTAAATATAAAAATTATTCAATCTTACCCAAAGGCAAATGTAAATTAAAATAGTGAAATGCCAATTTTTGTGTACACATTGAGTTAATTTTTTCTTATGTGGTATGTCATTGCTGTTCCAGACAAAGCGGTGGTTACTCATGGACATATAAAGCAGGCTGAACTAATTTAACAAGTTTTAAAATATTAATGTTTAGATATTTAAGCACTATGTTTATTTTACTATATATCAACAGCAAAACTTTAGAATCAAACTCAATGTCCATAAATAAGGTAATAACAAATGATGTTATACATTAACTATATAGCCAGGAAAGTTATGGTTTCAGATTTCATATTTGGTAAATTTGGAAAATATTTATAATCCATCACATAGTTTCAAAGTGAGTACAAAATCATGAAAACGTGACTGCAATTTAAATCTATAGGTGCATATAAAAAAGACTGGACAAAGTTGTGGATTGTCTCAGGATATGAGATTATGCCTTCATTTCTCTTCCTTGTACTTTATTATTTCCTAAATTTTCTTTGAAAACTTATTTTACTTTATATCTGAAAAATATGCCTGTTTTGGTAAAAGTGACAATTGTAGAAATGAGATGTGCTATTAAGTTAAGAATTATACCTTGAACATTTAAAGAAATTAATGGATGCTACCCTTCTCCCTCTAACAAAAAGAGACTCTTCATTTTCTCCATTAAACCTAATGATATGATTTTGTCTCTTCTGATTTCATTAAAAGTTTAAACCTGAAGAAAACAGGCTGAAGCAATTATGGTATTCTCAGAACTTCCATCATGGCGCTAGTTCTTTCCATTTGCTTAGTTTTAATTAGTGTGCCATTATCTGTCCAAGTAGTTTTCACTATGATTATGTTTTTGAACCAATTGATATGTTTTTAAAGTGCCACTAGATTAACCCTTAGTTTATGAAGGATTATATACATTTTAGTTTTTCAGTTTTCTCTCTGATGCCAATATATTTATGAGGGCACTTAAAAAATCATTTTTCTTGATTACAAAAGCTGTACCTGCTCATGGTAAGCAATTCAGGTATATAAATGTATAAAGTAGAAAATGAAACATGCCAATCTTCAAAATAGCCAGTGAGGACCATCTAGATTTCTGTAAGCATGTACTAAGTATATTTAAAAGTCACCTGTTCTTTGGCCATTTATATTTCTTTTTCTAAATTTTGGTGTTGAACTCCTAGTCATTTTCGTATTGACATATGCATCTTTTGGATCATCATGACCATCTTATGATTTCTGGGGTTTAGGAGCCAAGTGAGAGAAAGGTGCCTCTCGACATGTCATTGTTCCTCAAGCTCCAGAAGCGAGTCAAAGAGCTGGAGCAGGAGAAGCAGTTGATGCAGGATGAGCTGGATCACAAGGAGGAACAGGTGCTCCGCAGCAAGGCACAGGTACTTGATGCTTTTCCACCCGCAGCCTCAGGAAAACTCAGCCGCAATGCTGAAACTTCTGGTTTTAAGATTTATTTTATTTATTTTTGCATACAAGAACTGGGATTTAGGCCAGAGGTACAAGGAGTTGGCAGGGGGAGGATTCACCAAAGACAGAGTGGGGAGCAGAACAGGCGTATCTACTGAAATACACTGCTGAGGGGGGCAGCTGGTGAGACAGGAGAGGTCTGCTGCACCATGTGGGTTAGCTCCTTGGCTGGGGATAGAACTCATTGCACAGTGACTGGTGATAACATGGTAGCACTGAGACTTTAACCCCTGCACCACCAAGGAGGCTCCCCTCCCTCAAAAAAAAAAAAAAAGATAACATTTATAAAGCTTTTAACTTTATATATTCCCTAGGAAGAAGAACGACCACAAATTAGAGGTGCAGAACTGGAATATGAATCACTCAAGGTAATGGGAAGTTTCTGACAAAATCCAAATATCTTGTTTTCTCAAAAGACTTGCTCAGAGCCTTTTTTGTTTCTCAGAGAGCATTCTTTAGGGCTGCAGGTTATACCAGAGGCCCTCACTAAAGCCTTATTCAGGCATTACTTTTAGCCTTTTGTTGTTTTCTTTAATAAATTATATTTCATATAAGCTAGACTTTAGTCTCAGCAGAAGCAGAAGCAGTTGCTGCCATATGAGGCTGTAGAAGGTGATAAAGGATGTGGTTGACTTGGGTTCACATGCCAGCTCCAGTGTTTATATAACTGTTCAAGTTACATATCCTACCTGTGCCTCAATTTCTTTTCAATAAAATGGAGATAGTGATAGTACTTTTATGCTTGCCGTGAGGTTTATATAAAGGAATTCTTGCCAACTGCTTATAATAGAGCCCAGAGCTTTGTAAGTTCCCTACAGATGTTTGCTACTATTTTTGTCACTATAATTTTTAAGTGTAGTTCTAATTCTTAAACAATCCTGCAATTAAAATATTTTTCTGTGCTTTAAAATGAGGAAATTGAGGCTAAGAGGAATAAGTAAGCTCTTCCCTGAGATCACCCCACCAAAAACCAGCAGGAACAATCAGTTTGAACATAGGTATCTCTCTGATTCCTGTGTTCTTTCCACAAACCCCACTCAAATCATGTATTTGTAGAGAATTATAACTCAGTAGTAGTTTGTAGAGTAGGTACATATTCTAACTTACTTTTTAAAAGCATTTGGTTGGAGGGGGACAAAGGTAAACAATTGTCTCCTTAATGGCAGAAGGCAATGTCTAATTAAATAGTGGTTAGTTGCCACTGTGTATTCCAGAGCAGCTGAACATGGGAGAAGGCATTGCTTAGGAATCATAGTTCCTGAAATACAAAGCGTCTTCGGTAACACAAGTATTGAAGTTAGGGAATAAATGAAACAGCCTATTCCTTGATACACAGCAGGTTGTGTTCCACCTGCACCTTCCTCTACTTTCCAGTATCAGAAACTTTTGAACTCTATGAAGTCTGAGCTATCAGGCTGTCAGCTGTCAAGATACCCCCAGCTTCTAAGTGTTCTAGGCTACTGTTTTGTGTTAAATTTCTTGTTCTTTGATATTTTCTCTTTCTGTCAATTTTTTTATTCTTTTACTTTTGTAAATTATAGTCTAGAGTAGCTGGAAAATTATAGTAAACTAAAATTAGAGGCACCACAAAAATGGAAAAGGAAAACTCATTTTAAAGGCTTTATGTGTATATTGAGAATTTCAAGAATTCTTCAGGTTGCTAAATTGTCATGAAGTAGTTTTGTGGGGATTTTTTTTGCAACATTACTTGAAGTCTAGTTCTGATATATTATTTCCTAATAAATTGATTTGGAACATAAAGTATGTATATTAATAGCACTGTATCCTCTGTGACTTTGTTACTACCCATGGTCCAGGCCGCTGATTTCTGGTTATTCTCTGCTGTATGGCATCATTATAAAAAGATTGCCTGTCCTTTTACCTGCCCAAAGTCATAATTTTTTTTTTCTTTAGAGAAAGAAAAAGTTTATTGAGGAGAAAAGGAACAGAAGTAAAGTGGGATTCTGCGGCCTGTGGAACCAGGCCAGGGAGGGGCAAGGAAGCCCCATAATTTTTTTTATTAGTTGCTTCTGCTGAAGAGAGCAAGAACTTTTCCACTGGTATTTAATAAAACCTTAAAAAGTTTTTTTGCCTTACTTAGTCATTGTCACTACTTCTGAGACAAATTTTTTTGTTTCCTTTTTAAAGATTTGTAAACTGGGGCTTAAAAAGTTAAGAGATTTACTCTCAGGTGGAAGAGTCTGATCTTGAATGAAGTGATAGGAAACTTTCTGAATACCCTAGGTTCTTATTACCTCTTGTCTGAAAACTATTTTTTTTTTTTTAACTTCCACTTTTTTTTTTTTTTTTTTTTTAATTTTATTGTTATATTCCCCATACAATTGCAGCCCCCCCATTCTGACCCCAATCCCTCCCCTCCGCCCCCGCCCCCAAAAAGTGTCTCTGGTTCATAGTTTTTTGTTGATTTTGATTTTCACTTTCTTATAGTTATTCATTTTCCTGGTCCCTTATTTAAGTTTTCTAGATTCCTGCTATGAGTGAGACCATCCGGTATTTTTCTTTTTCTTTTTGGCTTATTTCGCTGAGCATGATCCCTTCCAGCGCCATCCATGTTGCTGCAAATTGCATGTGTTTATCTTTTTGAATGCTGAGTAATATTCCATGGTATATATGTACCACATCTTCTTGATCCAGTCATCTATTTTTGGGCATTTGGGTTGTTTCCAAAGCTTAGCTATTGTAAACAGTGCTGCTATAAACATAGGGGTGCAGGTGTTCTTTGGAATTGATGTTTCTGTGCCCTTTGGGTAAATACCTAGGTGTGGAATTGCTGGATCATATGGAAGCTCTATGTTTAGTAGGTCCAGAAATCTCCACACAGCTTTCCACATTGGTTGGACCAGTTTGCACTCCCACCAACAGTGCAGAAGAGTTCCTTTTTCTCCACACCCTCGCCAGCATTTGTTGTTGCTAGTTTTTTTAATATGTGCCATTCTCACTGGTGTAAGATGGTATCTCATGGTAGTTTTGATTTGCATTTCCCTGATGGCAAGTGATGTTGAACATTTTTCATATGCCTGTTGGCCATTTGCATTTCCTCTTCAGAGAAGTTTCTTTTTAGCTCTTCTGCCCATTTTTTGACTGGATTATTTTCTTTGTTGTTGTTGAGTCTCATCAGCTCTTTGCAGATTTTTGTGATCAGTCCTTTATCATTAGTGTTGGGTGCAAAAATGTTCTCCCAGTTGGTGGGGTTTCTCTTTGTTTTTGTTATTGTCTCTTTTGCTGTGCAGAAGCTCTTTAATTTGATGTAGTCCCAGCTGTTTATCTTTGCCTTCACTATCACTGCTTTGGGTGATGTGTCTGTAAAGATGTCTTTGATGTGCAAATCACGTAGTGTTTCGCCTATATTTCCTTCTATATATTTTATGGTTTCAGGTCTTATGTCTAGTTCTTTAATCCATTTTGAGTTGATTTTTGTGTATGGTGTGAGGTAGTGGTCAAGCTTCATTCTTTTGCATGTAGCGACCCAGTTTTCCCAGCACCATTTATTGAACAAACTTTCTTTGCTCCAATGCATAGTCTTTGCTCCTTTGTCAAAGATTAGTTGACCATAAATCTGTGGGTTTACTTCTGGATTTTCTATTCGATTCCATTGGTCTGTATGTCTGTTCTTGTTCCAATACCATGCAGTTTTGATGATTATGGCTTTGTAGTATAGTTTGAAGTCTGGGAGTGTAATGCCTCCATTCCCTTCTTTTTTTTTCAGGAGAGCTTTGGCTATTCGGGGTTTTTTGTGATTCCATATGAATTTCATCAATAATTGTTCTATTTCTTTGAAGAATGACATTGGAATTTTGATTGGAATAGCATTGAATCTGTATATTGCTTTTGGAAGAATGGCCATTTTAATAATGTTTATTCTTCCAATCCACGAGCAGGGGATGTCTCTCCATTTCTTTGTGTCTTCTTCTATTTCTTTTACAGTGTTTTATAGTTTTCTTTGTATAGGTCCTTTACCTCTTTTGTTAGATTTATTCCCAATATTTGATTTTTTTTGTTTCAATAACAAAAGGGATGGTTTTTTTGATTTCTTCTTCTTCAGATTTATTGTTTGTGTATAGGAAGGCTACTGACTTTTGCGTGTTGATTTTGTATCCTGCCACTTTACTGAACTGATTGATGAGTTGAATTAGCTTTTCTGTGGAGTTTTTGGGGTTCTCTATGTATAATATCATATCGTCTGCAAATAGTGATAGTTTGACTTCTTCTTTTCCTATTTGGATTCCTTGGATGTCTTTCTCTTGTCTTATTGCTCTGGCTAGGACTTCCAGTATTATATTGAAAAGCAGTGGTGAGAGTGGACATCCTTGTCTTGTTCCAGATCTTAATGGAATTGCTTTCAGCTTTTCACCATTGAGAATGATACTGGCTGTTGGCTTGTCATAGATGGCCTTTATGATGTTGAGGTATGTTCCTTGTATCCCAAGAATTTCAAGGGCTTTTATCATGAATGGGTGTTGCACTTTGTCGAAAGCTTTCTCAGCATCTATTGATATTATCATATGGTTTTTATATTTCTTTTTGTTGATGTGTTGGATAACGTTGATTGATTTTCGGATGTTAAACCATCCTTGTGCCCCTGGAATGAATCCTACTTGGTCGTGGTGAATTATCTTATGGATACATTGTTGGATTCTGATGGCTAAAATTTTATTGAGGATTTTTGCATCAGTGTTCATTAGGGAGATTGGCCTGTAGTTTTCCTTTTTTGTGTTGTCCTTGTTCGGTTTTGGTATTAGTGTAATGTTGGCTTCATAGAACGTGTTTGGTATTGTCCCTTCCTTCTCAATTTTTTGGAAGAGTTTGTGAAGGATAGGCACTAATTCGTCTCTGAATGTTTGGTAGAATTCATTTGTAAATCCATCAGGTCCTGGGCTTTTGTTTTTGGGGAGGTTTTTGATTACCATTTCAATTTCGCTAATTGTAATTGGTCTGTTTAGGTGTTCTATTTCTTCTTTATCTAGCTTTGGGTGATTGTAGAGTTGTAGGAATTTGTCCATCTCCTCTAGATTGTTAAACTTGTTTCCATATAACTGTTCATAGTAGTTACTGATTATTCTTTTGATTTCTGCTGTGTCCGTTGTGATTTCTCCTCTTTCATTAATGATCCTGTTTATTTGTGCTTTCTCCCTTTTTTCTTTGTGAGCCTGGCTAGGGGTTTGTCTATTTTATTGATTTTTTCAAAGAACCAGCTTTTGGTTTCATTGATCTTTTGGATTGTTTTTTTAGTTTCAATTTCATTTATTTCTGCTTTGGTTTTATTATTTCTTTTCTTCTACTGGTTTTGGGGTTTTTTTGTTGTTCTTTTTCTAGATCTTTGAGCTTTGAGATTAGGTTGTTTCTTTGAGTTCTTTCTTGTTTCTTGATGTGAGCTTCTATTTTCCTCTTATTACTGCTTTTGCTGCATCCCATACATTTAGGATATTGGTGTCCTCCTTGTCGTTCAATTCAAAAAATTTTTTAATTTCTTCTTTGATCTCCTCATTAGTCCAGTGGTCTTCCAGTAGTGTGGTTTTTAATCTCCATGAGGTAGGAAAGTTCCTTGCCTTCTTTTTATGGTTTATTTCTAGTTTGATGCCTTCATGGTCAGAAAAGATGGTTGATATGATTTCAATCTTGGTGTATCTGTTGATGTTTGTCTTGTGCCCCAGTATGTGATCGATCCTGGAGAATGATCCGTGTGCGCTTGAGAAAAATGTGTACTCCGTTTTTTTGGGGTTTAGTGTTCTATAGATGTCTGTTAAGCCCAATTGCTCTAGGTTCTTATTTAGAGCTTTGGTTTCTTTACTTATTTTCTGTCTTGTTGATCTATCCATTGTTGATAGTGGTGTGTTGAAGTCTCCCACTACGTATGTGTTTTCTCTGATGTCTGTTTTCAGAGAGGACAACAGTTGTCTGATATATTTTGGTGCTCCTTCGTTTGGTGAGTATATGTTAATGAGTGTTATTTCTTCTTGAAGTATTGTCCCCTTGATCATAATGTAGTGACCATTGGGGTCTCTTTTTATCTTTTTGAGTTTGAAATCTGTTTTATCTGATATAAGTATAGCTGTTCCTGCTTTCTTTTTTGGTCCATTTGCTTGTAGGATTGTTTTCCATCCTTTAACTTTGAGCCTATTTTTATCTTTTGTAGCTAAATGTGTTTCCTGGAGACAGCAAAAGGTTGGGTTTTGTTTCTTAATCCAGGCTGCAACTCTGTGTCTTTTATTGAAGAGTTTAGTCCATTTACATTTAGAGTTAATATTGATATGTTAACATCTGTATTTGCCATTGTGTTTGTCTTTCCTTTGATTTTATTTATTTATTCTTTTAATGACTTTTTTTTTTTTTTGGCCTTCTTTCATTGTTATTCGTCCCTCTGAGGTTCTGGCTTTAGGACTCCTTGTAGTATTTTTTGGAGTGGGGGTTTAGTTGCAATGAAATTCCGGAGTTTCTGTTTGTCTGGGAAGGTCCATATTCTTTCTTCAAAGAGGAAGGAGAGCTTTGCGGGATAGAGTATTCTTGGTTGGCATCTGTTTTCTTGGAGTCTGTTGACTATGTCCCTCCACTCTCTCCTTGCCCGTAGTGTTTCTTCGGAGAAGTCTGATGTCAGCCTGATTGGCTTTCCTTTGAATGTTATCTGTTTCTTCCCTCTTGCCAGCTTCATTATTTTTTCCTTGTCCTGGATTCTAGGGAGCTTTACTATTATGTGTCTTGCTGTATTTTTTCTTTCGTCGTGGAAGTTTGGTGTTCTTCTTGCTTCTTGTATATCAATTTTCAGCTCCTTCTTCACATTTGGGAAGTTCTCTTCAATTATCTCTTTGAATATTTTCTCTGTTCCTACTTCTCTCTCCTCTCCTTCTGGTATTCCTATAACTCTTATATTTCCTTTCCTCATGGAGTCAGATAGTTCCCGAAGTCTTTCTTCATTCTTTTTCCTTCGTACTTCTCTTTCCTTTTCTGTTTTGGTTCTTTTTATTTCTGTGTCTTCAAGAGCACTTATTCGTTCTTCCATTTCATCAATTCTGCTTTCATTGCTTTTCTCAGAATTCTTTAGTTCTTCCACTAATTCTTTGATCTCCTGCATTTCTTTTACTTCCCTCTTTAGGGACTCAATTTCATTCTTCTGATCGTTGATTATTTTTCCCTTATCATTGTTTTCCTTTATGACTTCTGTCAGTTTTTTAATCACGGCAATTTTAAATTCTCTTTCTGGAAGGCTCAGAAGTTCTTCCAAGTTACTGTCGTTGCAATCTGGGGGCTGGTTTTCTTTTTTGTGGTGTGCTTTTTCTCTGGAGAGTTGCTAGTTTGCGTGTGGTTCTTCTCCTCCCTACTGTCTGTTTTCTAATTTGCCGTATGCGTTGGGACACTGTGTTGTTGGGACTGGCCAGCATCTTGGGTGGGCTTCTCTGCTCCCCTCTGGTTCCTCCAGGAGTCATCTGTCAGTTTCAAGCTGTCTTTATTGGAGAAAGGTCCCTGTCCTTAAATGCCGATGTGGGGACACACTCCCCTGTGCGCCTGGTCTGCCCCAGCGGTGGGTTCCTGTTCCCCCTCTGGGCTTGGACTGCAGGCCAGAGGGGGTCTGGCGTGGGCGAACTTCCCCTGCTCACCTCTGGCTCCTGAGGAAGCCTTGTGCAGGTAGTCTTTACTGAAGAAATGTCCCTGTTCTAAAATGGTGATGTGGGACACACTCCCTGCACGTCCAGTCTCAGGCACACTCTTCTGCGCGCCTGGTCTGCCCCGGCTGTGGGTGCTCGCTCTCCCTGTGGGCTCAGACTACTTGTTCGGAAGGGGCCCGGTGTGGGCTAACTCCCCAGCTGGCCACTAGCTCCTTCAGGAGCCTGTGCTGGCTTCAAGTCGCTAGGTGGCGCCAGAGATCTCTCCTAGAGCCCTTGGGGAGCTGATTTTCCACCCCGTGGGACAGGGAGCAGAGCGGGGATGGTAGGGTACACCTCAACGGCTTTGGGGTGCTGTGTCTGCCTTGTGCCCCACCGTCGTGGGGAACCCACGCCCCTAATTTCGTGCCCCGGGTCTCAGTTCCAAAGCCCTCAGGTCCAGGACGCGGGCTGTAGCCCAGTTCAGTGGCGCGGGAATGGCGCCTTTTGCACCGCTCCCGTGCCTGGACGCCTGGTTCCTGCTCACTCAGGGAGGGACCTTCACCTCAGTGAGGACCTCCGTGCGTCTCCCCGCAAGCCTAGGTCGCAGGCGCGGGGACCTGGGCCGCTGCGATCCCGGTCCGCGTTGAAAACTATTTTTTACCAAAAACAATAGTTTTTAAAATGTTCTAACAGGCTCTTACCTTTTCTAAGTTACAACACGAATAAATCTTTTGCTCCTTCATTGAAAGTACTACTCGGATAGTATTTGTGGAAAAAGTAAAGGAGCAGCAAAGGGACATCTCAGTTAGTCTTACTTCTCCATTATCTTTTATACTCTGTCTAGAAGACGAATTCAAAAGAGTTGAATAGGATGGGATTGGACAGGCCAAAGAAATAGGGGTAGGAGTCTGTCTGGTCTCCAGAGCCTTCTTTGCCTGCCTCACACAAAAGCAGACAGATATTCTCTGTGTTATGTTAAAAATGAAACTCAAATCACAAAGTCATTAGCTCACTGGTTATCAATATGTGGCCCCTGGACCAGCAATATCACCATCATCTGGAAACCTGGAAATACAGATTTGTGGACCTTATACCAGTCCTACTGAATCACAAACTCTGATGGTGTGGCTAGTCTATTCTCCAGGTTATTCTATTGTACTTAAGGTTTGGGAAACTGCATCAGAGTTTAGGTGTCTAAGTAAATATATTCCTGTTTTTTACTGTTGAAAGAGCACCATGAGCCTGATGACCAGTTGGTAGGAGACCAGGGGTAGGAAAGAACTTTAATTTTCACATGAGAATGGACTGATTCATGAAAGAAAGGGTTATATATTCATAAACTAGGGGGAAAAGAATTGATCAGTAGTTTTACTATCGCATGTTGAAATGTCTGATATGGTGCTATAAACCTAAGTTTTATTTTTCTAGAAAAAACAAACATGTTCTCTTTATGCAGAAAAGTGTCTTACTTCCATTATCATAAAGCTTACATCATGTGCTAAGTCAGGCAGCATGATGCTTTCAGATGTCTATCCAATTCACTTTTCCCAACCAATATCCTGTAACATTTGTCTTTCAGTGTAGTAAATGGAGTTAGTGTCAACTCTATTCTAGGTCCTCATTGCTATTTGCAGAGTGCATGAATGGGTGGCATGAGTAGTATGATAGCATGTGAAAATAAGGAGGATGAAGGATGTGTGTGTCCATCTGATGACTCAAGGAAGAGGTGACCTGTCCTCTTTTCTCATCTCCCAAGCAGTGTAACAAGCATGCCACATAGGAACAAAGTTTAAAAAAGATATTGGCATTGAAACACTAATAGGAATTGTATTAATTTAAATGATATGACAATTTTTTTATTAAACATTAAAAGTCTAAGTTTTCAGTAATCCTTCCATTCTGCTTTACAAAGGAAATAAAGCGTCCTACTCACAGTTTCAGGATTCTCTGCTGATCTGAATCATTCTTGAAAATAACCTGACCAGCTAGACCTTCATACTTGTCCTTATATTTACCCACAAACAAAACTGGAGTTTCTTAGGACTGGGCGAAGCTCGTCCCTGGAATCTAAGCAGTCTCTCCAGACCATCGACATACCTAGGCAGACCTAGAATAAATTTGACTCTGGAATTTGAGTTGTTGGAGCAAACTACCATTTCTTTTGCTCATTTCCACTTGATGTCACATTTCCATAATTCGCAGTGGAACCCGGGAAGCCATTTACTAGGGTGGCTCTGACAGTTTTTTCCCAGCAGAATTCTACCATCTTTGGGGAAGATGCAAATTCCAATATAAAATTGAGGCTGAGAGCAATGTATTTTTCTTTGTCTCTTTATGTAGCGTCAAGAACTAGAATCAGAAAACAAAAAACTGAAAAATGAGCTAAATGAGTTACGCAAATCCCTTAGTGAGAAAAGTGCCCCAGAGGTGACTGCTCCCGGTGCACCAGCCTACCGTGTCCTCATGGAGCAGCTCACCTCTGTGAGTGAGGAGCTTGATGTCCGCAAGGAAGAAGTCCTCATCCTCAGGTCTCAGCTGGTGAGCCAGAAAGAAGCCATTCAACCCAAGGTAAGCACACAGTGGCTAATGCAAATATTTGGTGGCTGCCTTCTAATTCCTCCCAGTCTTTCCTTTCAATTTATAATGAAGCAAATCTTTTTAGTCTAATTGAAACTATTATTTCTTTTAAAATCAGTATCTTTTAAAATCTCATGTTGTTTAAAACCAGATAATTACAAATGACATTCCGAATTATCTTCAGTTTCATCTCTCGTTCATGAGCCAAAGGAATTTTAAAGTTAATCTTGTTTGTAGTAATCTGGCCACACAAATTTTGGCCAAAAATAAAATTCTAAAAAAAATTATGTATGTATAAGGATAGATGTTTACTAAACTTGTGGTGATTATCTCCCAGGATGTGCAAATATCGAGTCATCATGATGTACACCAAAACTAATATGTTACCTGTTAGTTATACCTCAATAAAAAAGTTAAGAAATAAAAAATATTTCATTAAATATAAAAATCCATGAATATTTTTGTAATAAGGAAGCATTAAATATGACTTTTAAAGTGTATGTTGGAAGTAACCTGTTTAACTGGAGACACATGAAAAGATTAGGAATGAGGTCAGTGGGTAGAAGTCACATGGAAATGATTTCTGTTCTCTCTAGGGGGTTCTGTCTATGGGTGGGTATGGAGGGGGAGCTAAGAGAGACTGAGTTTAGTGACCCAGCAGAAAGGATCGTGCTGGAGATATAGAGGACCCTTTGAAGTTCTTCCCAGTCCTCAGGTAATTTAAGACCCAGTGCTGCCAAGTGCTGGTAAGAAATGGACCTTTTTGTCATTTGTCGTCATATAAAAATGATCTGAGTTATCATCTTAAAATGTGTTCTTTATCTGTGCCCATGTTCATGCAGCAAAGTGTCATCAAGCAATTGAGGCAATACAGTATTCCAATTGTATGACATGCCATATAAAAATTAGTTTTGATATCTAATTCATTGGATGTCTGCATTATCTGAGGGTACTTCTACAGATTTTTTTTTTTTTTTTTGCATATGGCTATGATATTAAGCCTGACACCTATGTTTGGATTTGATAAAGACAACTCATACCTGGGAGCAACTCTGATCCAGGAAATACCAAATTCTGAAAGTGCAATCTCTGACAGAAAATAATCTTAGTGAAGAAATCTCAGCAACAAGTAGAGTTATATAAAGAAATGTGCTTTCAATATTAAAATGAACCATAAACCCCATAACTTTGAATTAAGGAGCATTCCAGAAGGGGACTCTCTCTCCCTGCTCACTATATATGTCCCAGTTTCTAAACTGAGTTTAATTCCCATAGTTGGACCTTGAAAGACAAGGCCCCCTCTGCATGCTAACTGGAGCAGAGTCTAAAGTCAAGATTCCTTTCTCAGCTTCCCATGTGACAAAATGATATTCTCACAAGAAACTTCAGTGAAAGTTAAAGGATAGGAAAAGAAAAATGAACCAAGAGGCATAAAAACAATCCAGCTGAAAGACTCATATGTCAGCTGCCCTCCAGTCCCTAGTGGGCTCGCCCAAACCAAGGTCCCTTCTCTCCAAGCTCCCAGCTGACACATGGCAGCAGCAACTCATCTGCTCCAAGGAAAAATGCCTGTGGCACAGCTTGAGACCTTTCAGTACACCAGTGCTGTTTGCCCTACTCAGCTTTTAGTCAGAAGCACATCATTTCACAACTGCCTTGCCAGACTGTGGCATCCAGTAAGCAAGGTGCTGATCTAGCCCCCAGGCCTAGTTTATCAGCTCCATCTCAACAAGTACTCTGGGGGGGCTTCCCTTGGTCAATGACCTTCTATCAGGGTGTAGATAAGACCTAGGATAAGAATTTTACATTATCAGAAGCTTCATCTGTCCAATACTTATATACTTTACAGTTAGAAAAATCAAAGCAACTCAAAAAGAATTCCAATCAGTTGTGTCTGAGAATTGAGTTGCCATCACATAAATATATTAATGTCTACCTCGCATCAGTTCTGTGAATATTAATTTGCTTACAGAGTTAATTTTATGAGAAACAATTCATGGTTGTTTTTGCAGTTAGCTTTTATCTATTCTGATGGGGACTCATGATGGAATGTATGGAACTAAGGGTTTATTGTTTTCTTCATTTGTTTTTTGTGCTTGCTGGCTTGTGATTTTCAGGATGACAAGGTAATTATAAAAATTTTAGTAAATCTATTTAATCCTAATTTTAGTTTATAAGTACCCCCCAATATATGTAATCGATGCTTTCTACCCACCAAGACTGTCTTGATATTTACAAATTTTATATTTGACACCTTCTTATTGGGAAAGTCGGTGGGAACATAGTGGATGTAGTAGGCTCAATCTGGATCACAGAGAGGTCTGCAGGACTAATTCATAGTCAGCTCTGTGACTGTATGTAGGGGAAGGGAAGCCCTAAATTTGGAATACACTCAAAACATTCATTTCTACCTGCAGGAGTTTGGTGAGGAGGCACTAGATAAAAAGCACCCCCGTTCGGGAAGGGTGGGATTTCCCTACCTGTTGCAACCCTTTCAGACCTTCTGGTCACCAGCTTGAGGGAAATAAACTCTGAGCATTGATTAGGTCATGCTTAAGACTGGTGTTCCAAGTCTAATCCCATCCCCCAGGCCTAAAGGTAAGCCTAATGAGGGAAGGACAACAGTTAATTTACTGAAGGTTCAAAACCAGATCATGTGAGCCTTCAGATAACATAGAATACATGTAGCATTATTTAAAATGGAAACTGGATCTTTGAATCATATTGCTTAATACTTAAAAATCTAAGTATGGCCCTTTTTTGAACAGAAAGATGTTTCTATCTTTTAGGGAAAGGTAATTTTTTTATAAAATGTGTACCTAAATTTTTATGAAACATAACTAAAGAATTGCTTTATGTGGTGATTATGGGAAAGATCCTTAATACTCAGTAAAGTGTATTAAGCTCTTGTTAATAGCATTTTTTCAAACTACATTTGTTTTTTCCTAAGGACATGTTTATAAACCCACAAAAGTCCAGCATTAAGAAAAAAGTAGGATTTTTAAAGGATGTTTCTGAGAAACACTGAAATTTAAAAGCAAGTATTTGTAGGCTTCCAGTTGACATTATAGTTATCATAGAGCTGGTCCCTAAGATCATAGTATTTTCTTTTTAAAGGTTTATTTTATTTATGCATACAAGAGCCGGGGTGTAGGCCAGAATTTGAAGTGTGTTCTATTAACTCTACTTCATTGTAAGATCTGGCTTTAAAGCAAACATTGACTAAAGGATTTGTCTATTTAGACAAATAGAATTGGCCCACTGGTTCTTATTATCTGTTCTTGCCCTGGTGATACAGAGAGTAGCTAAGTGGAAGCAAAGTTTTGAAATTACATTGGTTGTCAGTCAGATTAGACAAAAAAAAAAGAAAGAAAAAGAAAAATGGAAGTAAACATGTTGGCAGAAAAGTCCTTTCTATACAAAATCATTAGTAATTCTGACCTGCCAGATGTTTATTTCAAAAGCTTCTATACCATGCTGTGCTGTAACAGGAAGAAAGACTTGAATAACAGCAGATGGTAGATATTTACAAGGAGCTAAATCCTTCCCATTTACATGTACATATATATAAAGATGTGAGAAAAAAATTTAATTTTGCTGAGGCATATGATCTGAACAACACCTTTTTTTGTACCAAGTTTTTATTGGAAAAATGAGCTTTATCTCAAACTTTGTGTTTTCTTGGGGCATTTGTTTCTTTATTACTGGTTAGAAAGTAGTAGAAAGAATAGCGTTCTATTAAATAGGTACTTGATGTTCTTGCCTGGTTACTGTTTAATGCTATATAGACTATTATTACTTTGTATATTAAAAAGTATACATTTCACATAATGAACACATATGTGTAAACACACATAGCCTCTCAGTGATTTTATTTACAGTGGAGAGGCATCTAGCATCTCACCCCTTTTGTAGCAGAGCATTTGCAAGAGAGGGAATGAAGGTGCCTTTTTCTCAACTACTGTGTGCCGCTCTCCTCTGTAGTTAGCATGGGGCTGGATCTCACACTCTGCTGGACAGAGGTTTAGTAGAGGAAAGAAATTCTGGAGGAAAGTAATATTTTGTATGTGGTCCAAAGCTTTTCAGTTGAATATTACTGTCATTTCTTCCTTCAGAATACAATGACAGATTCCATAATACTTCTGGAAGATGTACAAAAAATGAAAGATAAAGGTGAAATAGCACAAGCATATATTGGCTTGAAAGAAACAAACAGGTAAGTTGATTTTTGTAAAATTAATTTTGGTTAAATCATATTTATATTTAGCCTTTAAGTCAACTTCTTATACAGTAAGTCAAAATGTTTACACATTACTTTATTAAACATCAACTGATCTTCAAAGGAAATTCAAGATTCCTAACATAGTCCTAGTTAAAGTCTCATTTATAAGATAAAGTAGCAATATTGATGAGACATGTCAGGGGACATCCAGGGACTATTTTTCTATATATTTAGGGTCTTAGCCTTGAGAGGTTTCTTTGAGAAGAAAATTTGTTGCTTGCTGTTGGACTATCTATCTTGAGTTGTCACATTTGTTATTCAGGATGATTATCTGTGAAGGTTCATAGGGGTAACTGCAACTTTCATAATTGAAACTTAGTGTGAAGAGAAGTGATGAGGTATCTGGAGTTCACATCAGCGTTGGCCATATAATTCTAAAAATGATTTCTAGGATAGAGCCCTGATATTTGAGCCAAATCACTTTCACATTTCCTAAAGTGTTCTGAGAAAAATCTAACTCTGATATTAACCCATTTACCCTAAACATGAATGAAGTTGCAGATGGCACTCAGTCACTTCAACTTTAGGGCCTTCAGCGGGCTGACTGAAAGAACAGGATTAGCAGTCACTAAGTGACTAAAATTTCATTAAAGCTTCCCCGGTAGCCAAGATTATCACAGATAGAAGGCTCATATTTGGAATCACTACAACCTTCTTACCACCCCACTTCCCAACAGTGCCTTAGTTGGGAAGTTATTGAACTCTGAACTTAAAAAACTGCATACCAAAAGGACATGGCCAGTGATGATCACAGAGAAAGAAAATTCTGGAGATAATATGCAGTCTTGGTCTTCTGATGCACAGTATCAGCATTGTTATACAGAAATATTTCACAAACTAAAGAATATTGCTATGCAGATTGTAAGGTACTCGTCTACTTTTGTGACAGTGGTGGGAATGATTATAAAAGCATTTGGCTAACCTTAAATTTTAACTTATGAATGTAACTCGTGAGCTTATCTTTTTTTTTAAAAAATTCATTTATTTATACATATAAGAACTGGGGTGTAGGCCAGAAGTGCGGGGGGTGAGAGGATTCACCAGAGACAGAGTGGGAAACAGAACAGGCAGACTGATTGAAATACACTGCTGAAGGGAGCAGCGGGTGAGACAGGAGAGGTCTGCTGCGCCATGTTGGTAGCTCCCTAGTGGGCTGGAGATCGAACTCGTACTACAGAGGCTATGGATAGCTTCACAGTGCTGTGCTTAACCCCTTGTGCCACCAGGGAGGCCCATGAGCTTATCTTCTAAGAATATGTTAGTATAGAAAGAGCAGTGTTACACTGTTCATCTATCCACTTACCAAATACGTATTTCGTGCCTACATAATGCCAGGCCCTGGGATATAAGAGTAAGCAAGGTCAGTGCCGCCTTACTCTCAAAATTTATAAGCTGTTGAGGAGACAGCCAATAGGATTGGAACTTTACTCCAGTGACAGTGGAAGCTGTTGAAAGGTTTTCAGTAGGTAGGAGAATGACATGATGAGATTTGAGTTTTAGGAGACTAGCCCTGGCTGTTATGTTAGAGAATAGATTGTAGTAGAACAAAGTTGAAGGCTGAAAGAGGTCATTACCATTATCCAGTGACTGATTTTGGTGACCTGGACTTAATTGATGGCTGTTGAGGTTAAGAAAAATGGGACACTTTGAAAAATACATAAGAAGATGGCATCAGTAAACCTTATACTTTATTGGGTAAGTGGATGAGGGATAGGGAATCATGAAAGGTAAATTCTAGTTGTCTGAGTGGATGCTATATGGTGATGCCATTTCATGGTCATCAGTCTGGGATTTAGGGAAGTGCAGGGTGGAGATAGTAGATTTACAAATACTGAATTTAAGGCTCTAGGAAGACATCCAAGGAGAGAAATCTATTAGGCAGTTGAAAATGTAGGTCTAGTACACAGGATGTGTGGGCTGAGATATAAGATTGAGACCATGCAAACAGTTCAACTCTTGAGGGAGAAATGGTAGATGGAAATAGAAGAGCATGCCATCTCATTTCTTGTATGTGAACAATAAAGTGTGGTAGGAGTAAGAACCTGGACCCTGAAGGCATAAAGCAGCCCTCCACTGCTGCCAGCGGTGCAACCTCCAACAGATGCCTTACTTCCTCTGCAGTAGGGCACATAACATATATTGGTTTACTGATAGAGTTAATAAAATAATACATGCAAAAGGATATGGGACAATGTCTGACACTTAGCAAATATTCAAAAATATTTTTATATCCTAGATAAAAAAACTGTAATCAACTTTGCCATTGGTATTTATGAATTGTATATACATTTACTAAAATGTATCATAATATAAAAGCAGTTTCTCCAGATCTTTAAATTTTTATTCAAAAAATATTTTTAAATATTTATAAATATTAAATATTTTTAAATCATGTCATAAGGACTTTAGACATATTATTTTTGTAAGTTACTCTTTTAAAATTTTTTGAAAGCAATTCTTAACAGGAAATCAGATTTTATTTAGTTAAAACAAATTCCTACCCAGAAGATTTAAAACTTCATTTTGAAATGGATTGTGATGACAATTGCCACATGAAGAAATTAACTGAAGTTTTCATTCTGTATGTAGGTGAACTTTGTGGTTAGTCTCTAAGAAAATATGTGACACATAAAATCACTCTGCTAAATGAATAAAATGTTTAAAACAGGACCTTTTTCTTAACCTTTTCAGTCATTTCTTATTTTGCAGGTAAAGTAGCTTTTGCTCTAATTTCTACCCATTTACATATTAGGTTGCATGTTACCCTTTAAAAAAAATAACCAAAAATAATTATTGTGTTAATGTCTTAAAGTCATCTGTAATTAATAAAAAAATAGTCTTACTGACTTAATAAAATATTGAAATACCATGTGCTGTTCTTGACATCATCATCTCATTACCATCCTGTATCCCTTTGTGTTTTGCATTGTTGTTTCTTTTGCATGGAAGATCATCTGCTATGGATTGCCATGAGTTGAATGAGGATGGAGAGCTGTGGCTGGTTTATGAAGGGTTAAAACAAGCCAACAGGTTATATTTGTCTCCTCACAATGGAATGTTATTAATTTGTTGTTTCTCTTACTAACAGTAGCCTCCTGGCTTTAACTTCTGTATTTCTCGTGCGTGCATTATCTTCCTGGGTAAATTAGTTTTTAGAACATTCAACTAGACACTATCTTAAAACCCTTCTCTGTGGGGGGATGTCATTAAAGCTGAAAGGCATAGACAGTAAATACGAGATGCTTTAGTGACTCATGCTATACCTACCGCTCACTCAGGCGCTAAAACTTGTGAGTATTTCTGTCTGATTTGGAAAAAGAACAAAACCTTTCAACTCGATGTCAAACTACTGTGGGAGAAACTAATGCCTACTGTTTAAATAGTGATTTCTTGTTTGAAATAAGGATCAGTCCTGAGGATGTATGTGCCTGTGGCAATGTGACAACATTTTTATATATTCTTATCATGTTGCCAACAGAATTATTATATAGATGGCTTGGCATTCTAGGTGGTTATTGTGAAATCCAGATTTGTAAAACAGCAAATCAGGAGGGTTTTCTACTTTGCTGCAGTTCAAAATAATTACCCAAACTCAATATGTTAATTATATTTAGGGAACAGCAAACTTGAAACATCACCTTTCTATAGACTCTCCTCTAGTTATATTTATCTTAAAAATCTTATAAAGATGGGCCTCCCCTGGTGGCCCTGTGGTTGAGCGCTGGGTTGTGAGGCTGCCCGCAGCCTCTGCAGCGCCAGTTCGATCCCTGGCCACCGGCGAGGGTCCCACCAAAAAAATAAAAAAATCTTATAAAGATACCATTTTAGTGATTAAAATGTAAAAATACTTAATATGCTTGTTCAAGGGGCTTCGGCTTACTCTACTTTGTTCTCATCATAAACCATTGTTATTTACTTTGTGGTGTTATTGGTTCAAATTCTTTTGAAGTTTTGTAATCACTAAAATATTTTTAGTCTGCTGTTAACAGTTTGCTTACAGTGGCATTTGGCTACCAAGAGGATTAGAACGAAAGCATCTTTCCTTTCTTTACATTAATTCCTAACCACCATAACTTTGTTTTGTGTTTGGAAAAGGGGTGAATGTAGAATTTTGGGTGCATGGTAAGGGGAGGAAGCTGTATCTCTCACTGTATCTCTCACTGGTGTTCTCACTGCCAAAGTCTTCGTCTTACTTACAGGCACAGCTGACTTGTATGTTTGCTCAGAGAAGCAGTAACCAATGTGTTTGTCCTGTTAATATTTATGTTCTAAAACCATGTCTTCTTAGGATTCTGTTACTGATATGGAGGTTTATGAGGAGGGAGAAGATTATAAATGTAAATTATATGTACATAAAATTTCAGAGCTATCGGTCTGGATTTGGGTAACCCTGTATATACTTCAGAGTAGCACTCCAGCCTTTCTGTTCTTCAAAGATAAGAGTAGAAAATAAAAATAGGGCCTTGGTCCCAACCTCTGCCTGAAATAGTTACTATGAAATTCTAAAATGCATTTTTAATTAGATCTGGAGTTTATAATCTTGCCCCTCACTAGTGCAGTTATTTTGAAGCCAGGGTACTGTCTTTGCCAATTTAAATGCTCATTTGTCAAGGCCGTAGGTCAAATGAAAGCTATGTCTTCCATTTATTCTTTTGGCCCTCATTTCCTATGAACTTTTCAAAAGAGCGAAGTGTCTCCTGTTTCTCAGGGCTTTTGAGAACTTTATAGCAGGGCCATAGCCCAGAAAGACAAAAATGAGAGCGTTGGTTTCCTTTTCTGGCCCTTGTTGGAGTTTCTTGACTTGAGTGAAGTCAGGAGCTACACAGATACTACAGAGTAGCCCTGTCTCCGGCCCTTGCAAGTGAGCCTCAAGCCTCGCTCCCACCAGGTGGAGACTTGAGTTTCACCCCCTCCCTGTGACTTCTCCACAGGCTTCTGGAATCCCAGCTGCAGTCGCAGAAGCGAAGCCATGAGAGTGAAGCCGAGGCCCTCCGCGGGGAGATACAGAGCCTGAAGGAGGAGAACAACCGGCAGCAGCAGCTTCTGGCCCAGAACCTGCAGCTGCCCCCTGAGGCGCGCATCGAGGCCAGCCTGCAGCACGAGATCACCCGCCTGACCAACGAGAACCTGGTAGGGACAGGCGCCTGGGTCCTTGCCTGCTGCAGACAGCTCACAGGAGAAGCCCAGTTTTTTATCAAATGCTCTTTTTTCCTGCTGGGAAAATCTCCCTTGCTACCTTCTTATTCTCCAGCTGATAGAATAAGGAAAGTATGACCATGTTGGTCAAGGTGGGAAAGGCTTGTGCACAGGCTGTGTTGCTCACAGAAGGCTCTTGAGCATCTCGTTGCTCCCAGAGCTAACATGAAGGGTCTGGAACAGAATCGCCAACTATGTGCTGGGCCTTGGAAATCTTCCAGCTGTAGATTCTCTGCTGCTCCAGGAGGTTTGCTATGCAGTTGTCATGACAGAGACTGGGAATAAGCCTTGTTTACCACTGGTCCCCAAGCAGCCACCAGGGCTGAGCCAGTCTCCATCCCTAGCAGGCAAGTGGGTTAGCGTTATGGTCAGAGAAGGCAATTGACAGAACCACGCAGGGCCTTTGGTTGACATTGGATGGAGCTCCCACGTCAGGGAGCAGGGGCAACAGGATTGAGGTTTGTACATTTTTTATTCATCTTAACAGAATTTGTACAGTAAATAAGGAGATATTTTCCCCTTCCTACATTCTGAATCCTGGCGCAGAGTACCAAGTTTTTTTCTTTCTTTTACAGAAACTGTTTTTTAAAATATTTTTTCTTAGTCACAAAATAATTTTTATTACATATTCTTTAGTTAACTTTAACAAACATATTTATGTTAAGTCACTGAGAAGTTACAATTCCATATTTTTATATATGTCTGTATTATAGTATCAATCTGGTTTTGAGAAAAGCTATGGTGATTTGTCTTTTTTTTTTTTTTTAATTAAGTGTTTAGTGACCTATAATAAAATTGTTTGGATTTTCTCTGCAGATTTAGCCAACAGAACTGTCCCTCCATGACTTCATTAATGATCATTTACATTAAAAATAGTTTTCTAGCATCATCTTTTATATTAATTAGAAGCAAAACCCAGAGGTATTCTTTTCATAGTCTGTCTGTCCCTTTGAGGACAGCTTTCTGCTTGAGACTCCATTGTAGGATGGGAGAGGGTCCTAAGGGCACTGTTTAGACTCTTTCCAAAGTGACTGAAGTATTGCTAATGGGGGGGGAGGGTGTCTTTTGAATCACAGAATTTTTTTAAATGTCATTTTATTACTCTCAAGTATATCATTGCTTAAATTAAACTAACAATGCATTGATGCCTAAGGATATATAAATGTACTGAATAATATAATAACAACTGACCAGCCTGCAAATTCCATGCTTATAAATGATTATAGTAAAATACAAGGTGAAGCCTGCTTCTCAGTGGCAGATTCCCAAAGTTTCTTAACTAAGTTGATTGAGCATTTCTCTTGTAACCTTGTCTGCAGTATTAATTTTCTCAGCAATTGTTCACAGCTAATTCAAAAATAAATTAAGCCCCCAAATTCTAAGCTTGTAGAGTCTAGTTAGTGGATTGTCTGAATTTTAGGAAAACCTTTTGTAGGTCAGCAGCTGCTGTTGCCATTACACTGACTACCAATTTGGAGAATAGATTCAAGCTTAAGTACAGGGAATGAGGCACCTTTTAAAATATTTATGGTTCCTTGGTCTTAATGTACATTTCCTTTAGAAACACTGGAACAGAATACTAAAGCAGCAGTAGGACTAGGCTTAGAATTCTTGGAAACTCTCCTGCAAAACCTACCCACCTACCTATCCACCAACACACAAAAAAGCTATTTTCTCCCTCCCCAGTTCACATGCTTCACTTGCCCATGCTGCCTCTCAGGGAACGAAGGCACATGGCTTCTCACCAGACTTTCCAGCTCCAAACAAGGGTACCTGCCGGGGACCAGCCTCCAGCAAAATGTCATGTCAGGGGTTCCTGAAAGGATGAGATGGCCTAGGCGACACGTTAAGGGGCTGAGGGGAATGGGACAAGGTAGTGAGAAGACACTTGCACCTCATCCAGTGTCAGTGTCTCCTCACTACCTTGTCCCTTTCCCCTCAGCCCCTTAACGTGTCACCTAGGCTGTCTCATCCTTTCAGGAACCCCTGATCCTTTCAGGAATCCCTGACATGACATTTTGCCGGAGGCTGGTCCCCGGCAGGTACCAGCATTGCCATTATTCTCACTTTCATTTTATGTCTTTCCCACTCTTGCTGCTGCTGCCAGCAGCAAAAAATGTGGTTGTATTGATCTGGGGAGTGAATAAATGGCCTTATCCAAAGAGTCTTACCACTTTTCTGTGACTTGCCAGATGATTGTGTCCCGGCCATAGCCTGTTTGCTCTGAGCATAGTAAAATAGATGTGTGTAAATATGGTTAGAATCATCTGCCCGAGAAAGATGAGAGAGCCAAGACCAGGGATGAAGCAGAGCCTTCTGGGTATATAGTTTCATCACTTGTGTTTTAAAATATTTTAAAATTGATTTGCTGAGGTAGCATTCCCTCAGCCAAAATATCCATTGTGCCTGTTTTTTCAGTATTTTGAGGAATTATATGCAGATGACCCTAAGAAGTATCAATCATACCGGATTTCACTTTACAAACGGATGATTGTATGTACACACAGAGTGCATTTCTGTTATTTCCCTACTCCTTCTAGCTCTCTATTACTGAAAAGAACACTGCTGCTTACCTCTGCCCAGGAAGTCTCTTCAAAAACTTTCACAACAACTGTTTCTTCCCACAGCTGTCTTTTAGCCAGTGTGTGACCTGTGTCAGTGTCCTACGTCCATGTGTCACCTTTGATTGGTTATTAATGCTAGGCTTGCAGTGTGATGGAAGCAAAATGTGTTTCAAAAGATATCCAAGAAACACAACTGAACACTGTGAATGTTAGCAGCCATTCCTTGTATCATTGCTGCAGTATCTAAATCTGCCCAGTCAAAATTGGAGAATGGATGAACATTTATATTTGTAGATGCTTTTCTTTCCAAAATCTGTACAACCATAGATAACACTGATTCATTGCCCTTTTAAGCTCTGAATCTGCTGTTGTCCACTTTTTTCTCTCAAATATTGATCTTTTAACTGTGCCTGGCATTTGAGAGAATTCTTAAACAGAAAAACAGTTATCATAGACTTGTATAATCTCCTCCTCTTGAATGTACTGCTTGTTTTCTTTTCTTTGCATAAAGTATTCAGAATTACCCCTATGCCCCCTATAAGCAAAATTTTACCACCTGTGAGTTTATATTTGGGTTCTGCTTCTTACCATTTGGTCCAAGGTCCTATTCTCTGTGGTTATATTTCAACTTAACGATTTATTCCTTAAAATTCTTAACCTTTCTTAAAGGCCTTATTTCAGCATCTCCAAAGACAACATGTCATAGAGATTGCTCAAACACATAGGTGTCAGCTAAAAACTCCTGCCTATGTTCAGTCATCCTTAAAACTACCCACAAATTTTTGTGAATTCATCAAAATTATTTTGCCTCTTCCCCCTTGGGAAAAAAAAAAACATTCCACTGGAATAGCAGTACATTTTATGAGAATTTAATTGTTTTACCCACATGGAGCTTGCTAGAAAAGAGTCCCTGGGGAGCCTGCTATCCATCACACTGTAAAGGACTTTATGGCATTGTTATTTTAACATTTAGCTTTTATTGTAGCCACGTTTCCCCGTGCGTACCAGTTTTAGCCAGGTGGTGGCTCCACCACCGAGCTTTTCTGGAGCTTTTATGTAAAACTAACATTGCTATTTCTGCAATTTTGTGTCTGCTTTCCTTCTGCACATTTTAGAGGGCCTGTTTTGATATTTCTAATATATGTTTCATTTTGATCTGTAGGATTTGATGGAACAACTTGAAAAACAAGATAAGACTGTCCGGAAACTGAAAAAACAACTGAAAGTATTTGCCAAAAAAATTGGTGAACTAGAAGGTATTTAATCATGTTTCTATGACAGTTATTGAATCTTGGTTTTATATTGCTTTACTAGTAACCTAATAGAGGTTTGCATGCAAATATTAGGGACTATAACAAAAAATAACTTTTAGCCAATCTGGCCTCTGGAGTAGAAATTTCCATTGATTGGTAGGAAAATATGTTCTTTTCATGGTAGTAATAATTTACAGAGTGAGCTCATTCATTCAACAAATACCTAATAGCATTCCTCTATATCCCAGACACTGTGCTAGGCAGTATAGCATAGCAGTTAAGAGCATGGCTTCTGGAGTCATGGGTTAAAGTCTTGGGTTAAACTCTGGTTGTTCCACTTTTGGTGTTGGACAAGTCACTGAATCTCAGTATACCTTAGTTTTCCCATCTGTTAAGTGGGAATGAAAATGGTATCGATCTGACAGAGTTTATAGGGATTAAACTCATTAGTAAGTATAATGTTTTTATACTAGTAAATGTCATATATAGCTTAGTTGTATTATTACTGTTATTCTTAATACTGGAGATATTAAGACAAGTAAGACGAAGTCTTTGTCCCCAAAGAACTTACCATCTAATGGAGTGGAAAAAAAAGAGAAGTAAATAAGAAAAAATGAATTATTATAAAGGGAAAATCTCATGATGATAGGAAACCATCTTGAGAAATAATCAAATATCACTTGTTATTATATACAAATGAATTGTTGACTTTGAGCAAAAAACAACCAGTTATTTCACAAAATGAGTTTATTCAGAAACAACAACAAAAAGGCAATTTGGAAAGTATAGTCATGGTGAGAGATGCGTGTCCTTCCCAGAACAAAAACCAGAATGAACTTACTTATATTTAGAGTGACTGCTGTAACAGAGTTCATTGGAGGGGGTGGATTTTGATGTATGGTAACTTTTCATTTGTTGGTTTGTATCTTTTGTGGTTTTCACTGTCATATTTAGTTACTGGCGTTCTCAATTTCCCCTTTTTTCCATAGCTCCCAGCATTATGTCTGACTTATCATTCCATAAATTTTTGTTGGCTGAAGAAATGCAATTTAGGAATTTTTAGAGAACAGTAACAAGGATGTTTATTTTGAAGAAAATAATTTTCCCTTGGATGTACAAATGCTGAAATATTTGTTTAGAAATCAGATCATTTTGTAATCATATTTTACATGTAACCTTTTGGAATTACATGATTTATATGTCACAGTAAAACTTTGAACTTCCCGGGCCTCCCCGGTGGCGCAGCGGTTGAGCGCTGGGTTGCGAAGCTGCGCGCGGCCTCTGCGGCGCCGGTTCGATCCCCGGCTGCTCCCCGGCCACCGGAGGAGGGTCCCACATGGCGCGCAGACCTCTCCTGCCGCCCGCTGCTCCCCTCAGCAGTGTACTTCGGTCCTTCTGCCTGCTCTGCTCCCCGCTCTGGCTCTGGTGAATTCTCTCGCCCTCCCGCGCTTCTGACTGTACCCAGTGCATGTATAAAACAAAACAAACAAACAAACCAGCAAACAAATAAATAAAAGCATGCCTCTATAAAAAAAAAAAAAAAACTTTGAACTTCCCAACCACACACATGGACTATAATATCTGTTGGCAGACCTTTAAAAGCCTTTATTCAGCGAACCTTTCTGCACTTAACTCTGCACTATCATAAGATGGTAACTAGACAGCAGAGTATGCTTGAAGAACTAATTTTAAGGGTATTAATTTGTGAGATTATTTTTTAAATTGCTAGTGGTTCCTTTATCATATGTTAGTAAACACTGATAAATAGAAAAGCCATTTGTTATTTTTAAGTTTTCATCCAGCTGTCTTTGATATGTATATTTTTAATTAGATAGATTAGACTTTTTCAGGGTATTAGCAATTTTAAGACATTATCAATCAGAAATCAACCTCATTCAAGTTGAACTATACTGCCAACTATGTTCTTGATTCTTTAAGTAGCATTTAAGCATTGATAGATTAAACAAAAAGACAGTAACAATATTCTTAAGGATACTTATATTTTGACTTGAAAGGTAAGGGTCTGAAGAATACAATGAAATTAATCTATGTAATTTGGTACTTGCTGAGTATCATATGCCCTCCCCACCCAAATTAGAGAATAAAGAAATGATCCAACACTTTCCCTGTCCTTTATCTCCCCTTATACAAAAAATACTGGCAAACTTGTACAAAAAACATCTTCTAATTACTAAAAGTTTTCTCATATTTTTATTTAAATATAATATACTTAAATCCTTTTGGTTTAAAATAGCAAGACATTTGCCTCCTCCTTTGAGCTACACTTAATTAAGGAAACTTTTCTAGAAGCCAATCAATACTTTTTAAAACACCAACATATATAGATTTTTAGCAGAAATTATGTTGCTAAATGGAGAATGTTTCAAATTTTGATCTGTTTCGTGCTGTATTTTAATCTAGGAGTGGGTGTTGGGTTCTGTCTCAATTTTCAGTCAGGGAATTTAAACCTATAAAATTCTAGAAATCAGTTTCTTTTAAATAGGAGGGGAGGGCCTCCCTGGTGGCACAAGGGGTTAAGATGCAACCAATGAAGCTGTCCACAGCCTCTGTAGCAGAGTTCGATCCCCCGGCCAGCCAGGGAGCAACCCATATTGTGCAGCAGACCTCTCCTGACTTACCTGCTGCTCCCCTCAGTAGTGTACTTCCATCAATCTACCTGTTCTGTTCCCCACTGTTACTGGTGAATCCTCTCACCCATCCCCACACCTCTGGCCTGTACCCCAGCTCTTGTATGTATAAATAAAGAAATAAATCTTTAAAAATAAATAAATAAATAGGAGGGGACAATGAGGCCCCCAAACCATAAGTGACTTCCAAAGTCTCAGCTAATTGGTGGCCAAACTGAGATTAGGGCCCATACCTTCTGAGGGCCAACTTACTTCTCTCCTTGATGTTATATTTCCCAGTAGATTCTCTCTGCCTAAACACAAATTTATTTGAAGGACTCATTTAAACTTGAAATTATCAACTCTTCTGGTACCAAAATGGGAAAAAATAATTTAAAAAAAAAACCTTCTCATTTCTGGGACAAAAATGGTGAGAAATACGTTTCCGTGAAGTAGAAAGAATCAAAAAAGTAGAAAGTAGGAGTTGTTTCAGGTCTTTGTAGAAGGATTTCTATGTTAGGTGGAACTTTGGACTAAATGACCCCCTGGGTCTCCCAGGAGTCTTTGAAAACTGGGGTGGTGTACTGGCTTCTCTCTTTTAGACTTTATGGTTCTCTGTGCTACCTAAGGGTTGACATTTACTGTAATTAATAGGTCATTTGTTAGATGAATCAAGATGATGTAGAGCTGATACCTATATTTCATCTGTAACTTTTTATAAAGACTTAAATCTCTAGGGAGACTTCACGAGCAGAGAAAAACATTTTAATGAGAGTGGCAGAATTTGTCTCTGACATTTTTTTGCAGAACCAAAAATATCTTGGTTAGGTATTTTAAAAAAGAAAAGTGGTTTTCTTTTAAAACATGAAATCCCTTTGTTACAATATTAACTATATTTCATAAATTCCAAGATGCTTATTTTTCTGAAATTAGAATATGTCTTTTATAATTGTTTATGGTTTAGAGTTTAATTGACAGTGTTTTTCCTTCTTTAGTATTATCTAAAATAACTGTATTTCATAATCAGCTGCACCTTAGATATGATGGAATCACTACTTTTAGAACATTCCTTTTGGATTACATGGAGTCTAGAGCTGTACCTTTATTGATAAATTAAACATGTTGAATCCTTTTCCTTCCAGTTTCCCCTCCTAGAAACTGCCTACAGTGATTAGTAACATAGATGGTGAGGATGTTATTATGTATTTTACTTGCAACCTTTGCAACCTGTAAGTGAGCTGTCAAGGCCATTGGGTGCTGATTGCAAGATCCTTGTTGTGTTGTGTTTAAACTGACTCCAGAGATGATTTATGTAAAACTAAATAGTTTGAATCACATATAGCCATACATTTTACAATTAGTCCTGCAGTTTCCAGACTTACTGTGCATATGAAACACTAGATTATGGGAAGTAGCCACACCTTAATTTGTCCATTAGTAATGTAATCACTCTTTAGATACCGTAGTGTTGATGGATGGTGGTGATTTTCAGCCCTGAGAGTTTCGATTGGTGTTTTGCTGCTGCATGAGGTGGACAGGGTGTCACCAGGCTCCTTGCCACATGAGCAAGAGCACTGGCTGGTGTCTCTGTTCCCTGTGGTAACCGCGGCTGTGGAGCTGGCTTTCAAGAACTAACCAGGAAATTGTCCAGAGTGACAGGAGAAGCACTACTGATGCCTTGTTGAGACAGCAACATCAAACTTGCCTAATAAATCTGATCTGCATTTTGTTTGACGATAGTCTCTAACCTGAAATTTAATCTATTCCTAAACAGATTTCTAAGCTGTCTCCTTTTCCTATAGATAAAAGGATTAAAAAAGGCCTACTTACCAGATAGTGATATGATAAACACTAGATATGATAAACACTATCATAACTTGTGTGTTCCCTTACTTCCTTTGCATTTCCCATTCAATTCTCAAATTTGGAGGCTTTTTAAAAACCCATATCATTCTTCTCTAAGTAACTGTTGTTGGTAATAGTGGCCATTTTTAACATCTGAAAGGGTTGTTGACCAGTGGTTTTACTATAATTTGTTGCAACTTCATTGTAAAACTTTCAGGACTTTACTAAAAAGTGAATTTAAAATATTTAGGAAATTTTATTAGAAGTTGTTTTTATCTGTTCATGATTTCTTTGGGAATGAGGGGTGACTAATGTAAAGAAACATGAGTCTACCAACTATCTAGATACGATTTGAACTTTTTGCAGTGATACACTTAAAGTAAATGTTCTTTTCTTTAATGACTATATAGATTCACAGAGCTAGAGATGAGGGACAATCTTTGTTGCCACTGAGTGAATTAAAGTCTATCTTTTTATGATTGGTACCAATTAGTAAACCAGGAAGTTAAGCCACTTTGTTTGGGACAGTTAATATTATTATAAACTAAATCTTTTTCAAAAAAAAAAATCTTAAAGCTTTTGAATCAAGTACAATTCTTTGACGTTGATAATTGCCAAAGTGGCTGTCAGAGTGACATTACCATATAATTTTGCCATCTATCCACCCAATTTTAGTAGAAAAAAGATTTAAAGAGGGGACAATTAAGTGCAAATATGAAAAGTTTCTGTTGCTATAGAGGTCACTTAAAATTATAGGAACATGGAATCCTCTCATCTTTTCTATATAAACCACATTTCTCTTTTTTGCTTCTCCTAAAGTGGGTCAGATGGAGAATATATCTCCAGGACAGATCATTGATGAGCCTATCCGTCCAGTCAACATTCCCAGGAAAGAAAAAGATTTCCAAGGAATGCTGGAATACAAGAAGGAAGATGAGCAAAAACTTGTTAAGAACCTGATTCTGGGCAAGTATTTTCTGCATGACCTAAAATTTCTGGTACATGTGTAGGTGGTAGGAAAGACTGGTCTCTAATTTCTGAAATAGTCAACATCAGTTTCTTCAGTCACTATTGCATACTGAGCATTATACAGTGTGTTATCTGTCAGACTGCGGGACCCTTGTCTCGGATCCACCCAGAAGGATCCTGTAGGGCCAGACCTTGTCAGCCTTGGCTGTATATGGACTAACCTGGGCAGTTGTTGAAAGTAGTGCTGACTAATTAAACCAAATAGGACTGGGTGGCAGAGAGAAGGGGGAGCTTGGTCGTGTCTAATATATATTCTTCTAACCCTTCAAGGGAATCTGAAGTTTAGCTACTGCTATACCATTTAAATTCTATTTAGACCATTTATGTTCCTGAATTTCTTTTTTTCCTTACTTCCCCAGAAAGATATGTGACTAAATAGGTTAAGAACAGCAGTTCAGCAATAAGGAAGAAACAAGAGTTAAGGAAAAGATTCCCACAATGGAAGGAAAACACAAGACAAATAAATTGGGAGTGAAAAAAGCATTTCAGAGCAGCCAAAGGCCCTTAAGACTGTCTATTAGCTGCTTGCTCTGCAAGAGTTTTCAGGAAGGTGGAAATGATTAGGGAAGTCTATACAGTCCATAATTTATGATCTGAAAAAGCAATAACCCTCTCCTATTCAACTTTTGCATAGTTTTTCTCCCCACAGGTGGCAGCAGTGTGATGGGCAGTTATGTGTGATTCAGTGTCCCTAGGGTTGATGGCATTAAACTTAACTACTAAATGTAGTTACAGAGGCGCTTAAGTTTCAATATAATCTTCATTAGCAAAAATATTAAGGAGCCACTGGTTTTTATGCATAGAGTTAATAGTCAATTTAGTAAACACTGTGTGAAAGCCTACCATGTGTTGAGCATTGTCTAGGTACTGGATAATGGACAAAGTGAAGTCCCTATTCTCAGAGAACCTTCTTTTCAGGGTTAGGGTAGAAGGATAAAATAAATATACAATGTGATAAAAAGGATAAAGAGTAAAGGCAGGTATACTAGTTTATATAAAGTTTTCAGGAAGCTTTTCTTTATAGAGTGATTCTTGGACAGAGGCCAAATGCAGTAAGGAAGCTAGTCATACTAATATCTGAGGAAAGAATATTCTGGGGAGAAACCATGAAGTACATAGGCTCTGGGAGGAGAGTACACCTGGCATGCTCAACGAATAGTAAGGAGACCCATTTGGCTGGATTGCAGTAAGCTGGAGAAGGCGAACAAGGACAGACTACACACATTTTATAAATGAAAGAGGAGAAGCTATTTGGAAGACTTTCAGAACAAGATCTGGCATATATTTTCTTGCAGATTACTCTGATGTTGGTGAAAAATCTCCTACTGGGGAGCAAGGGATGAATCAGGGAGATCAGTTTGGAAACTCTCACTATATCCAAGAGAAAGGGGATGGTGGCCTTGAGTTAGTTGGATGCCGGATATATTTTGTTGGTAGAGCCAATTGGATTTGTTTGTGGATTAATTTGTATAATGAGAAAAAGAAAGGAGTCAAAGATGATGCCAACGATTATAACCCAAGAAACCAGAAGACTAAAACTGCCATTTACTGAGACAGGGGTAACCCCTGGAAGACCAGTTCCATAGGGAAGCAAGAGTTTGGTGTGGAATATGTCCAGTTTGATGTTCGTGAGCAAAATGTGAGGAAGGCAGTTGATACACAGGGTAGAATTCAAGGGAAGAGTTAGGACAAGAAACAGATTTGGGAGTTATCGTTGTGTCAGTAGACACCAGAGACTGACTTGTTCCTACCTGCAAGAATTCCTCCACTTACTGAGCTTTTCTATCCTTTTTTTTATATGACCTGTTTACCCTGAATGATTAAACTTTCACAGGAGAACTGTGCTTTTATATTTCACAAAGCATTCCTCATGAAGACTTTCAGTGTTATGTAAGATTATTTTTCCTACTGTCTTTTTTTAGAACTGAAACCACGTGGTGTAGCTGTCAATTTGATTCCAGGGTTACCAGCATATATCCTGTTCATGTGTGTTAGACATGCTGACTACCTGAATGATGATCAGAAAGTAAGGTCATTGCTGACATCAACAATTAACAGCATCAAAAAAGTATTAAAGGTCAGTGTATATTCTCATAGTGAATATTAATGATGATATAATCTACACAGAGGTGCTTTTCCTTCCTTCCTTGGGCTAAGTCACCAGTTCTCTGTTGCAACGTGTCTGTGTGACTTCTTTCAAAACAGGACTCAGGTTGAGTAGTCATCAAAATTAATTTTATGTAATTGTACTTAATTGTGAAGTAAATTAAGTTTACCCAGACAGAAATAGTCTGCATTGGGATCTTAGAACTAAATCAAAAGTATTTAGGAGAGTCCACTTCTATAGAAATATGATGCTATCATTAAAACAGGTATCATATAAATTCAGTAACATGTGGCTCATTCATACAAAAAGGTGTCTGTTAAAATATTGAAATTTTTCCCAACTTTTCTTTCCATTTTCTCATTACCTGAAATACCTGATGACTTGTGAGAAGCAGCACACAGATAGTTGGAAAAGGCAGCAAAATTATATAATAGAGCAAAAAACCCTACATAACTCAGTAATCACTGAGTCACATTGCATAATCCTCCTCTTAACTCTCTAGAAAAAAGAGAACATTATACTTAATTTTAACTCAAGTGTTTCTATGAGGAACTGAGAAAATATGCTCCAGTACTTTGCTTTCTTGTTGTCTAACTTAATGAGAACTTTTATGATAGAGATAAGTAGGTTGTTAGCATGCCCAGAGGACTCTTTCAAATCTAGATGTCTTTTCAAAGCTATTTGTTTTGATTGTGGTAAAAAATATATATATAAAAAACACATTAAATTTGTTATTTAGCTGTTTTTCTTTTTTCAGTCACAATTTTTGTGCAGTTAGTCATCAGCACCATTCATCTCCAGAGCTTTTTCACCTTCCCAGGTTGACACTCTGTACATATTAGACACACCCTCCCTGCAGCCCCTGGTCATGAGCTTTTAACAAATGCTGGTTCTCGGTCCCTGTTGCACAATATGTAGATGCCTTCCACAGTGGTTACTAAAGTGTAGAGTTTCTGAAGATTTTATTTTATATTTTAAAATTAATGAATCGGGCCTCCCCGGTGGCGCAGAGGTTGAGCGCTGGGCTGCGAAGCTGCCTACAGCCTCTAGAGTGCCGGTTTGATCCCCGGCTGCTGGTGAGGGTCCCACATGGCGCGCAGACCTCTCCTGCCACCTGCTGCTCCCCTCAGCAGAGAATTTCTTAGTCAGTCTGTCTGTTCTGTTCCCCGCTGTGGCTCAGGTGAATTCTCTCACCCTCCTGCGCTTCTGACTGTACCCAGTGCTTGTGTAAATAAATAAATAAATCTTTGTTAAAAATAAAACAAAAAAAAACCTCTAAGTTTCTGTGATACAGCTCTATAACCTTTACATTTAGAAAAAATAAAATAAAATTAATGAATATCTCATTTACATGCTACATTGTGAGTAAATATACAAAAGTTTTACTACTTCTTAACACCTACAAAGACGACAAAACCAAATCAGTTTCCTTCTCATATTAAATACAAATGACACTGATCCACATAGACTAATTACTGTACCAGACTGTATAAAAATTAAAGAGAATTTAAATTTAAATTTAATGCCATTTAAAAATTGAATGTACTAGTCTCACTTTCCTGTTTTGAGTTGAAGTGTATTTGTGTTGACACTCTGTTTTGATATAGCAACAGTTGTTTGACATGCCTCAAGCCTAATGAAGAGCCAAACAAATTCCCCTGTTCATAAAGTCTCATATCATTTTTGGTCAAAAATGGACTGCACATGTGACAGTGGTCCTGGTAGGCTACACCATAGAGGCTAGGTGTGCAGTATCTGGACTGTGTGGGTATATGCAACTATACTGTGTGTTATTTGCACAAGGACCTAATGACACATTCCTTAAAACATATCCCTATGGTTAAGTGATTCATACCTGCATCGCTCTGCAAGGACTTCATCTCATTTCTTATTCCATGCTCAGAAATTGTTTTTTCCTGACGAGATTTCTAACCTAATTTGCTTTGCAATATTTGTGATTCCTTCATATGCTTTTAATCCTTTTGATGCCCTTCAACACAAGGAAAGTGAGTTTGGTAATCTGTGGTTTGATGGATTTCTTTTCTGCTTGAAGGGACTGCTAAGCTAACATCAACTAAATGACTGGGCACATCATTTTTTAGAAAGATTTATTTATTTATGCATGCAAGAACTGGTGTATAGGCCAGAGGTGTGGGGGGTGAGAGGATTCACCAGAGACAGAGTGGGGAACAGAACAGGCAGATTGACCAAAGTACACTGCTGAGGGGAGCAGTGGGCACTACAGGAGAGGTCTGCTGCGCCATGTGGGTAGCTCCCTGGCTGGGGATCGAACTCGTGCTGCCGTGGCTGCAAATAGCTTCATAGTTTGCATCTTAACCCCTTACGCCACTTGGGAGGCCTGGCACATCATTTTTTAATGACAAAAAAATGAACGCCAAGCCAAGTAACAACCAAGCAAGAACCCAGATCTTAAAATTTCCTAGCAATTGTGTAAGACTTAACAACTGTAATGTGATTTATTTTTATACTTGTTTATAATGGTAACAGAAAGAAATGGGCCTCCTGGTATCTGCTCTGTTCCTTTCAGGTTGTTACTTCCCTAAGGCAAAAGCTAATTTGGGTTTATTTTCTTTCAGAAAAGAGGTGATGATTTTGAGACTGTTTCCTTCTGGCTCTCTAACACATGCCGATTTTTGCACTGTTTGAAGCAGTACAGTGGAGAAGAGGTGAGAAGATCTTCATTACAAAACCAGCATGCTATACTTTCTCTGGCCTTTTTAAGAAAAATTTTAAAAGTGCGAAATGTTTAACTACATATTAGTTTGAAAACCTCCAGTCAGAGGTGGTTAGGAAGTCCTTAGCTTTATTTGATGCTCATTTTTTACAAAGTAGTGAATTGAGAAGTAGCATAGTTTCTCCCCTTTGAGAGTTTACATTGTGAGAAAGCACAGCAACAATAAAATGTGTATTCAGTGAACCATTACCAACAATCAAGCTTTTTATCAATATGTGAAAGTAGGCTTTAGTGATATTGAACTATTTTTAAAAATTAACCACCATCAACTTGCTATAATACGGACAGGGTAATCAAGATAAACTATGTCTCTTTAGATTTGTCCAAAAATCTCATTTTCTTTCTAGTGATGTATTGTTAGTTGTTCAACAGGCTTCATATTTCAAAACTGTGTAATACTTTAATAATTGCTGGTTATTAAGGGTTGCTTAGTATGTGTCAGGCAGCACTTTCTGTGTATGCTATTTGATTCCTACATCTATTCCTGAGGTAGAACTTACAACCCAGTTTTACACATGAGAAAACTGAAACTCAGTGAATTTCATCAGTTTGCCCATATCCTCTCAGTCATGTGCAGAGCTTGGATTCTGAGTCAGCCCACCTCTGAGAGCCTGTGTCCCTAACCACAACCCTCCAGCCTCCCCATCCTTTGCTAAGAGGAGAGGCAAAGAGGCTGAGCAGTGGCACTTTCTGGGCAGAGTACTGGCCTGGCAAATGATGGAAAGTACAAATGTGAGCAAGCAGGTTCCCTGACAGGACAGAATCCCCCTAAAAGGGCCATTACCTGTCCTGTCAGTCCCCACTTCTAGAGCAGGTCATTAAGTAGATTGTAGGGAGGCAGATGTTTGATTGTGAGCAGGACCCATCAGGTAGGCAGTTACCTCTGTCAGGCAATGTCTGACAAGAGTACCTGCCTGTAAGTTGGTTTCCAATGTAACAAACATACCAGAAGATTCCATTCTAAGCTCTAATACTGAAAATCCTATGTATCAATTGATGCCATGAAATGTAGTAAAGGGAAAAGTTTTATTTGTTCACCTGTCTCTGTAGAAATTAGTCTGTTTTAAGTTTAGTATATCCTTTGGATGTAGTACATAATAAATCCTTGCTTAAAGTCATCGGCAAATTGGAAACCAACTTGAAGTAAGATGATATATAAGAAAAGCAGGTCCTCAAATAACTATTTCATTCAGCGATATCCAGGGTTTTTTTTTCTCATCCATGTTATAATGAGATGACATTGAATGAAATAGAGTTATTCAGGATCTGCTGTATTTATAAATAGGCCTTTTAAAGAACTAAAGTTAAGAAGCTAATACTTTAGGTACTTCAGTGTTTGGTAGTAAACCACCTGCTTCGTAAAAGAAAATATTGATTTTTTTTTCCAGATTGTTTCTCCATCTTGTTTCACTGACATTGCTATTGGAAAGACCTAAATGCTAGGTTGCCAAGTTTAGGTAATAATCAAAAGCTAGTAAGAAGTCAAAGGGGGATGTGATGGAAGCAAACACACAGTATTTGAGAATGATTATTACACTTGCATTTATCTATGGGATGGATGGAAATTCTTCAAAGAGGAAGTATGAAGATGTTGATTAAAAAAGATAAAAGTCATTTTATTTCATGTGTATTGTTACCTTTGTGTTATGCTTGTAGGGCTTTATGAAGCACAACACATCTCGCCAGAATGAACATTGCCTCACCAATTTTGACCTGGCTGAGTACCGGCAGGTGCTGAGTGACTTAGCCATTCAGATCTACCAGCAACTCGTGCGGGTGTTGGAGAACATCCTTCAGCCTATGATCGGTAAGCCTGTGATTGCCAGCAGTTGGGTCTCTACCACACATGCTTACCAGTGGATGACCTTGAACGGCACATGTTTGGAGGAATGTACTTATACAGAAAACATAAAGTAGTAAGAGTCAGCCCTAAAATTAATGGAGACATCTCAGAACATGGTATGTTAGCCATGACCAACTGGGACACATCAAAATCACTGTTTCCACATCATCAAAAGGGAAGTATCTAGTTTTTCTTCCCAGAGTGTGCTGTGCCTCTCCAATACATTGGCCTGTGCTTTATGCCCAGCAATGGGACTCATACCCAGTACAGTTTTCACAAATGCTTTAAATTTCAGTCTAGGACACTACTACACAGGGCTTCCTAGGTACCCATCTAAAACTAAGGCAGCTGGGAGGATTGCACTTTGCCTGAAAGGCTACAGTAGAGAGTCTGGGCAACAGGAACAGGTCACAGACACTCTATGCTGAGTTGTACATCTCTTGGTCCCCATAGAATTGTTAAAAGCAAATTGGTTTAAAGTAGCAGTTTCTTTTGGACAGGCAACTGTGTAAATGTGTGTTTCTAAATGTGTATATTTATATATGTAAGTGTGTATACACTTATTCTGGGTGTTCACATACTGTAGTTTTTTTCCTTTGGAATATGTACAATGGGTTAGATAGGAATTAGGAAGCCAGTACTCATTGCTGGACTGCTAATTTTGAAAGCATTGAATTAAAAAATATTAGTTATCAAACTATTATCTTTAGGCAAATTATGAGCACACTCTTAAGACTGTTCCCAGCTATCCTTTCTTTCCTCATCCATGTGTTTTCCACATTTCCACAACTTCTTCATTCCCTTCTATGTGCTCATAGTATTCCAGTTTTTCTTGAGGCCCACAGTTAACCAAATAGAAACATAAAAGGAGATCATGAATTAAAAGCAACTTAGGTTAATGAAAATGCAAGCAGTAACACAGATTCAAAGAATGTTAGCCTCAGCCAATTTTTCTTCTACTCTGCCAGTTTTTATTGGCTAAACAAGTTCACCACTAGAATGTCCCATAATAAACCACTATCCTATCTCTTAGCAGTTTAACATTACGTCAGTATGACGTTCTATGAAAGTCACATGTAGCACTAGCATATGTAAAAATGAATCAGGCACAGCTTCTCTAGGGGCTCCCAGTACAGGAAGTCGGCATCCCAAATCCATGCGCAGGCCAAATACTGTGTGACAGTACAGTAGAGGGAGTTACTGTGCCCCAGAGAAGAGGCTAGCCCCTCATTCACCCTGCTGTTGTGGGAAGGTCAGGGCAAGGCAGATCCAGCTCTCCAGCCCCACAATATTGCACAAATTCCACCTCCCCAAGTCTTTTCCAGGTTCACTGCCCACTCCTGCCTTTCTTGTCTCATGAGTTGTTTGCCTCTGGGGCTCAGCTATCACTGGAGAATGCCTCTCTTCTCCATACCTGTTACCTCTCTCTTAGAAACCCTCAAGATAGCACACACTTATACTATTACAAGGCCACTTCTTCATATTTTAGAAAATATACCATTAGGATTTCTTATTTTTGCATTTAAAAATTATTCATTAAAATTTAAAATCCAGAAGTCTTTCGTGTGTGTGAAGTTCTTTTTCACTCTATTATGATGCTCAGATCATTTTCCTAAAGAGAGAGAGAGAGAGAGAGTGTGTGTGTGTGTATGTGTGCATGTGCCCACATGTGCGTGTGCACTTGTGTGCACGTGCCCACAGGCACACATGAAACAGGATTCCTTCCAGATCCTCTCTTCTAACACTTGAACTATTCCTGCAGTCTCTGGCATGCTGGAGCATGAAACCATTCAGGGTGTATCCGGGGTGAAACCGACAGGGCTGAGAAAACGAACCTCCAGCATCGCTGATGAGGGCACCTACACACTGGACTCCATCCTCCGGCAGCTCAACTCCTTCCACTCAGTCATGTGTCAGCACGGCATGGATCCCGAACTCATCAAGCAGGTGGTCAAGCAGATGTTCTACATTGTGGGGGCCATCACCCTGAACAACCTCCTCCTGCGGAAAGACATGTGCTCCTGGAGTAAAGGCATGCAGATTCGGTGAGCAAATGCCAACACCTGTCTTGGTCTCTTCTCATTGCACAACAGGCCTACCAGGGTACAGAGAGCTGACAGCTTGCTTGAGGCTGCCGTTGAGCTGTTTTGAGGGAGAGATGGAAAAAAATACATAAAAATGAGATAGTTGCTTCCTCTCCTTTTGTGTGTGTTTTAATTGTACAATAACAAAATATCAAAACAATTAGGAAAAGATTTGTAATGCTTGACTGTTGGAAATTTATTTTGATAAAATACCTTTTGGTACCTATGGTAACAAAAACATGTCTAAGAGATCTTTTACTAAACTCAAAATATGCCACTTTATATTTTAAGAAAAGCTGCACACAATTTTATACCCAACTACTCTCCAGCATAACCTCATTATCATAATAGAATTGACTTTTTTGCAAATAATAAATTTTAAAACAGCTAGATTATTCACCAAGAGGGAAGAAAAGGTTTTCTCTTACAGAAGTCTTTGGTTATTCAATCTCAGAAAACCTCAGCATTCCTTTTGCGTTTTCCACTCTGGCCCACATCTATTGAGGTTAACATTAAGAAGATAATACTTTCCACTCGATAGTAGAATTTCGTTCAGGTGAAGCACCTGTCATCATATATTGCCTCTGACTTGCCTGATCACTAAATTCTGATTGTATAACCATTTACCTTGTTTTAGTTTGAGAGCCACTGTCACTTGGTTGGTTACCTGTTGAAGCCTCAGCCTCTGTGCTGGCTGTCTGCATATTTGGGGTCTTTATCTTCTCATTGCCCTCACTTGCCCATCTCCCCTTCCATCCCCGAGCTTCCCGGGGCCACTGTCTTCATCCTCCAGGTGCCTCCGGAAGAGGACTGAAGCACAGAGTCAATATAAGAGGATTTTGTTCTTCAGTGCACTCACTTGAGGGAGAGGGAGTACCTAAAGGATTATAAATTCTTACTTTGAAAGTTGCAGTTTGTAAGAGAAGCTAGAAAGTATTTTTCTGAGGTGTTTAGAGTTTAGTAAGGACACAGCCAGGTTATGTGTTTTATTTAATTTTTTAGCAACGTTTGCTATAATGGCTGCATTTCTATATTCCATTAAAGGGAATTATATTCTCTTGTCATCTGCTCTTCTTACATAATTATGATTATAAACCTCATGACTACTGAGAAAATTTCAAGCATAGCTAATATTTAAGAAAATTGAACAAAAATGCTACCTGTCATTTTAACTGAAATTCCTGACAAAGTCTCATGCAAAAAAATGAAGGCGTTTACAAAAACATTCAGCAAATTTGCATTCTCTTACTCTTTTCTTTGGTGCAGGTACAATGTCAGCCAGCTGGAGGAATGGCTGCGTGACAAGAATCTCATGAACAGTGGTGCAAAAGAGACCCTGGAGCCTCTCATCCAGGCTGCTCAGCTTTTGCAAGTGAAAAAGAAAACAGACGATGATGCGGAAGCTATCTGCTCCATGTGCAATGCTTTGACCACTGCCCAGGTAAAGCGACTTCCCTGTATTAAATTTTTTAAAAAGATTTATTTAGTTATGCATACAAGAGCTGGGGTACAGGCCAGAGATGCAGGGGGTGAGAGGATTCACCAAAGACAGAGTGGGGAACAGAACAGGCAGATCTACTGAAATACACTGCTGAGGGGAGCAGTGGGCGAGTCAGGAGAGGTCTGCTGTGCCATGTGGGTAGCTCCCTGGCCTGCCAGGGATCGAACTCATGCGGCAGAGGCTGTGGATAGCTTCTTAGTGTGGTGCTTAGCCCCTTGCGCCACCAGGGAGGCGCCATATATTGAAATAATTTAAGGGTGATACTAAAGGAAATTCAGAAGTCACCTCCCTGTTGCTTTGATCTCTGGGCTAACTTCATTTGGGTCACCAAGGATACACATCTGTATAGATCTTGAAGAAAGGAGATGATTCGCAGAAAGTAGGACATTTCAGTGAATAGAATTGAAGATTGTACATAAAGATCCTTTAGTTTTCAGGATCATAGGTGCCCAGTGTGTATGTGATAATATACTGAAACTTTGATGATTTCATTTCCCACAGATTGTCAAGGTGTTGAATTTGTATACTCCAGTGAATGAATTTGAAGAAAGAGTCTCTGTATCATTTATTCGTACCATACAGGTAAAAAATCTTCCAGGCTTTCTTTTTAACTCACCAACACAATCTTATTTTATGGTTTATGGAAGGGTGCTATGTTTTTTAATTACCTTTTTTTTTTTTAAGATTTTATTTATTTATATAAGAACTGGGGTACAGGTCAGAGGTGCGGGAGGGTGAGAGAATTCACCAGAGAGCGCGGTGAGCAGAACAGGAAGTTGGACCGAAGGACACTGCCGAGGGGAGCAGCAGGCGAGGCAGGAGAGGCCTGCCACGCCATGTGGGTTTGTCCCTGGCTGGCCAGGAATCGAACCCACGCTGCAGAGGCTGTGGACAGCTTCACAGCCCAGCGCTTAACCCGCTGCACTACCAGGGAGGCCCTAATTACCTTTTTTCTTAGTTCTGTAGTGCATTAACTTTCTTGATAATTGTTTATTAGAAAAATGAAGTGACTTTGAAACAAATAGCCTTTATTAGTTGAAGATGTTTTGGTAGAATATTTGGCAGAAAAATATCTTTGTAAGATTTAAAGAACTGATGCTTTGTTTTTTTGTTTTTGTTTGTTTAATCTCAGATGCGCTTACGAGACAGGAAAGACTCGCCTCAGCTGCTCATGGATGCTAAACACATCTTCCCTGTCACCTTCCCCTTTAACCCATCCTCCCTCGCACTAGAAACCATCCAGATTCCAGCCAGCCTGGGTCTGGGATTCATAGCACGGGTCTGAAAGTGATGTCCAGGCAAACATTGACAATACATTTCTTGCCTGAAATAAGGACCCTTTCTTTCCAGTGAGCTACTGAAAACACATCTTTAAAGAAAAAGTACTGATTACCTCCTGGACAAGAGGTTATTAACTGGAAATCTCCCTAGAATACTTTCATCACCATGGAAAGAAAGATAGGCTCCTCTGTGCTGCGTTCCCTGTACGCTCATCCTCGATCAGTTAGAGATCTTGAGTTTACATGCAGGTGAATGATGGAAGGGTGGAAGGAAGGAAGAGGGGGAAAAAAATGTGTCTTCAGCTGCCAGCATTTATTTTGAATCCCTAGCACCATATTTAAGTAGTATAGGAACCATCAAGTCCAGATATGAGCTGTTGTTAGGTAGGCACCAACAAAGAACCTCCACTGCACTAGCCTGAAGAGTTGAAAAGTTACCATGGAATACGTATCACATCAGTTTAGGAATCAGTTATGTTGATATTTTCAAACTGGATCAAAGAAATAAACTGGCAATATATAAAGTAATTGGTTAAATAATTTTCTTACATGTGTCACTATGATATAGAGATAATAAGAGAATGTCAGTATGCTGTATAGTGTAGAAGTCTGTACTGTAGTTTACTGCACATTTTAAATTGCTGCTACATACTGTGTTCTTTAAAATGTAAGCGATATTCTTATTAGGCTTTACTACAGTAAGCTTCTCTTTATCAACTCTGTTTACAATTCAGAACATCACAGTTTTAACTGGATTATGTGCAAATATCTACAGATTCACCTGCACAAGTGTAGCAAACACTGCAAAGTCATGTAGTAATATGACAGAATGCCCGAGAGGGGTAGGATTAGACAGAGTGGCTATTGTTGATGTCATTATTTATTCGGGATGTATTACATTGATGTGTTCATTAATTTTCCCTGGGTGGATAGCACATCAGGGGTACAGTGTTCTGTGACATGACTTACTTTGGGTTATGAGAGCTGATTCCTGCAGTGCGTATTTTCAGTGTTGACAGGTTTTCTTTCATCATTTTAATTTATTAAGAATAATTCTCAGTCACTATCTAGAAAGAATTGTCAGAAAATTCATGATTCAGGTCTAGAAACCTTGATTATCCTATAAATTATGCAAAAGAAAGTATACAATAAATATTTAATTATGAAATTTTTTGGCTTTGCAACTTCTACAAATATCAGTACCACTAGATGCTTTAAAAAGCAACATATTAGAAATACTTTAGGAATTATATAGGAAATAGAAGATTGCTGAATTTTACTAAGGATTTGGTTCCTTAAGGTATAGAATATATGTTTCCATTCTGAAATTTTAATTTAACATGTTCTCCATTTTTTGGAAATCTTATACGATAAATCTTTCAGGTTGTACAAAAGAAAATTCTTAGATTTCATTAGAAATTCCAGTTCTGAATTGCAATCATAGATTTATATCATTTAATTGTTAGATGGTCTATTAAAAATGACATTTTATTAAAATATGTGCAATATTATTAATGGAAGTCAGTTTATCAGTGATAAAGATCATTATTAAAAGATACTGTGCTAACTTATTTGAGCTTCAAATTCCTCGTTTATACTAGAAGAGGGTTGAACAACTGATCCTCAAGGTCCCTTCCACCTCTGAAATTCTCTCCTCTCGGTACTTGGATCCTAGAGAAATAAGCTACAGTTTTTCAGTAAGTTCAGCCTCTGATTGAACGACCAGTGTTTTCTGCGCATTAATTTTGAGGGATTAATAAAATGTAAAATCACAAATTTGTGTCCTTATAACCTTTCTTAAATGTACATGCTTTTAGAAAGTTAATTAGTTTAGGTAACTTTTATCACATACTGCTGTATTCAATTTGGATACATTTATTTGCAAAATCAACCAGAAACACTACTAATTCAGATTCAGTTTGCCCTGGCTGTCAATGTGGTTTTCAATGAACAATGAACTCTATAACCATTTTGATTAGCACTGAATGTGTCAGCGTCCAAGAGCCTAGGTGGAACTCAGGTAGGGGAGAGGATTTTTAAAAGGTCACCGTGGTGTACCTCAGACCTCGAAATACGTCCAGACCCTCCCCAGCCTAGTCCTGTGTAGCATGTCCCATGCACCTCCTGAATCTTCTCCAGTCCTTAAGATCATACTATAGCTACTACGGCCATCACAGTCCTTCATCTTACCCCAAATGCTTCGGATCCTGAAGCATCTCAGCTGGGCCCTGGCCCTCTCCTTTGTCTTCTCTTCTGCTATAAAGCGTTGGAGCCTTTGGCCCCCGGCTGCAGCTGGGCTCCCACCACCACACATGCAGTCTCTCCTGTTCCAGTGATGGCCACATAGAGCTTCTGCTCTTCCAGGCCTCCAACTTCTTCCAAAGCCTACAGAACCCCAGGTGGGGATGTGAAGTAACTTCGTGCAGTGAAGTCATCTTTAGTCATAATTAGAATACTTTACAACCAGGGAACCCCAGACGTGTTGAATGACTGTGTACTCTATGTACACAACACTATTCTGCTGATTGTGGGTATTCTTTCACCATCCTGAGGACTGCTCACCCCCTTTTGTCCATTCACATTTTCTCACCCAGTTTCGGAACCTCCACCAGGCTTCCATCTGCCCGTTTGCTTACTCTTCCCCTCCCCTCAGCTGAATCATCAATACCCACCCCCTGCCACTGTGCATTGAAGGCAGCGGGCAGAGTCACCCATGGGCTCCCCTCCTCCCGTGCCTGCTGGCTTAACCTCAGGCCAATCTTGGCACAAGCTCTTGATCCCACTTCTTTGCTATACATTCTTCAACATTATCAGCTGAAAAATGAGAAGCAGTTTCTCTCCTTCCAGCTTTTCTTAGGCTAAGGCTTTGGTTTGCCTGAGAGGAATTTATCAAGAAGGGGAAAGATGAGTAGATGATCCCTTTGGAAGTTTTAGAAATTCCCCATGTGACTGACACTTCTTTCATCAAGTACAAAGGTACAAAAATATATCATCCAAGGTCAACTTATAGGAGATTTGTAGATTTGGGGCAGTTTGTAAAATTTATTTTGAAGGATAGGCTTCCCCAAGATGTTCAGAACTAGCTTCCCCCAGACATGCCACTTTGCATGTGGATTATTTTGAGTTGAGGTCAGTTGAGGCCCTGCAGACTCATGAGAAACTTCTACCACCCTTTTAGCTGTTTCTAAAAGAGTGAAAATTGGGGTCTTACCCAGAATTAGGATTATTGCCAAAACCAACCTTTCTATCTGAAAAACCTAGGTTTATGGCAGGGCAAACATTAACCATACAGCATCTGCTCTTCAGCCTATAAATCAGCCTCTTCTCATCTTGTGAGTCCCCGCCTTGAAGCCTCAGACTTCATTCCTCAGCTCAGGATAAGTACCCCATTTCACCTCATTGTCTGTGGAATCCACATATCTCTGTAGAGTCCCCATATGGATAGAATTACTTTTTTACTCCTAATATATCTGATAATCATTTAATTATTCAACCAGCCTGAGAAGAACACAGAAAGGTAGAGGGAAATTTCCCTTCCGAACAGCCAGTTTCCTTTATTTCAACGGAAAATTGAGAGTTGGCTCTTCCTGGGTGAGTAGTTACGTGTAATATAGATGAAATCTTTAAATAGCAGTGGGAGAGCCTATGAAAATACTTTATTTATTAGAATTTTAGTGGGGTGATTGTTGTGAGAAATTGTTTTCCTGGTAACCCTAGGTAAGGGGGCAGGTACTTGCCACCATCCTGCAAAGCCCTCAGACAATGTTCTCTCTCTTTCTCTCTCTCTCTCTCTCTCTCTTGTTTCCCACACTTCTCCCTCTTCTTTTTCTTTCTCTTCCTCTTTCACAGTCTCTCTCTCTCTCTCACACACACACACACACACACACACACACACACACACACACACACACACACACACCCTTATTCTAAGAGTTAACCAGGAGTTTGTTCAGGATAAAACAGAATATAAAAATTAGTTGTGACCCTTAAATTTTCCTGTTGAAAGTAGTGCAGAACCAGTGCTTTGTATCTAGCTATGTTTTACTTCAGTGTGCTTTCTCTGTGTTACCTCATTTTATCCTCACAGCAGTACTGATAGAAAGAGTAGACACTACAATCATTTGCTGATGGTAATTTGAGAGAGGGTTAAGGTTAGGGTCTTGCCTGAGGCTGCACAGCCCTCAGCCTGCAGTTGCTTCCCCAGGAGCAACAGTTGCCATGTGGGCAGAAGGGAGGCAGGAAAAGTAAAAAGTTGTGAGGTCACATCCTGTTCCTCCTGGTACCCATGGATGGCACAGGGTCAGCAAGAGGCGCTCTTTCTCCTTAGAGTTAGCAACTGGCATAGGGTACTGAGCAAGCTAAGTACCAAGTTCTTTGTGCTAGTGAGAAGCACCCAGAGCCTGGCGGTTTTCTTTATAGTTACTGCTATAACTAGGTTTGACTTATGTAACGAATCACTGCTCCCTTAGAGGATGCAGCACTCTTATGTTTAGATAACTAGTTAGTAGCAGGCTGTCTTAACCGGATGGGAAGCAGTAAAAACTTCCCAGAAGGGAAGAGAAAGGCCACTCTCAACACACACACCCCTCAGAGTTGCTGTTAGAGCGGCCAGGTGGGCTGTGCAGCCTGTAGAGAACCTGAGGCTGCAGGCCAGGCCTCACGTGCTCAGACACAGGCCCTCCTCCCCAGTTTAGGTCCTCAGCACAGAGTAGCCAGGCCCCTGGGTACGCCTGAGAGCTGGCCCCTGGGGCAGGGCACATACAAGTCAGTGTGTGTTTGACATTACAGTGCGTGCATGCTACTGTTTACTTTGGAGCTAGGAGGTGTGCTGTGTGCATGCCCGTTAGAGAGGCTCTGTGTGTGTCTGTGTCTCTGTTCATGGATAAGTGCATTGTAATTTGTTCTCAGGCTGTACTGTGAGGGCCGCCTTAACCCCTGCTCCCTTACCCCCTAAGAGCTGCCTTAAGTTCTCTGGAACTTTTCCTCATAAGGGGATATCTTGCCTGGAGAGGATATCTTGCCCGGTTTCTCAAGGTTTTGTGAGGGTTTTGGTTGGGTGTGGCCTCCAACCACTAATTCCTTTCCTCCTTCATGCATGATGACCCTTCCCCATACCCCTTACTTACCTTCCTCTCCTTTCAGTTATTTCCAAAGAGGTATTAGAACTCCAGGGCAGCAACAAATTTCAGAACCAATGAAATGTGGGCTTTGAGAGTGTTCCTGGGTTTTGGGGGCTCTGTGTCACAGGTAAGAAAATGAACATATGGAAGAAAAATATAAAGATAAGTTAGATTCTAAGTAATACTTCTATGGCTTGATTTTCACTGACCTTTTCTTATAAAGGAAACAACTGTAAACCTTTCCTAGACATTCTTTTAAAATAATTTTAACGCTGTACTATAAAAGTTGAGCAAAACCAGGAAAGAGTGCTATGAATTCTAATCCTTTGTGTTTCCCTGAATTAAACAAATCAATCTGGAATTAGAGTAGGTCTCTTGATAGATCAGGAACTGAAAAGTACTATGTAAAATATCTGCCAAAATGCATTTTATACATTTTTTTATTTTATAATTTGGTCTAGCTAAAATATTAATTAGCTTAACTTATTGGGTGTTATTAGATTTATAAATGTCTGGAAATAACTAGCATTCCTTGCTATTGTGAGATTGCTTGAAATATTTGAAAGAAAAAAATTTTAGTTGAAATTTATGTAGATTCATTGCTTGGTAGGTCAGTAAATTTTCATGCATTTTTTAGAGTAAATAGTTTCAGATATATTGTTACCATCTGTTACAAAGTTTTAGTCTACATTTCAGGCTGTCTGAATCACTTGAGCCATTTAATTTTTCCAACAAATGGTGAATTTCCCCCTTAAATGTGGACATGTATGTTGTAATTTATGATTCTTAGTTGTGTGTTTTTGTGGAATCCTGAAGTAACAAAGACCTTTTTCTGCTCTTGGAAAATTTAAATTGCTCTGCCCGCATTGCACAGAAATGAACTCATACATTTAACATATGTATTTTAATTATTAACTTTAACTGTTAATTTACTGTGAAATGATTATGCCTTTTAATGACAATTAAATGGGAAATGGTAGCTTTTCAAGTATCTTCCATTTTAGGATCTGGAAAAGGAATTCTACTTTGATCTACACAGAAAAACAGGATATATTTTGAAAAGTTCTTAGATGGAATATACTTATCCATTAAAAAGGAGGCAGAAGTACTGAGAAGTTAAAGGCATAATCAATGAACTCTAATTTTAAACTAAACCCCATACCATCATATCACACATGGAAATTTTAAAAATAAGTTACTGATTCACCTCATATCTACAAAAAACTTTGAAACATGGATTTTCACTAGATATCACTTAGTGCTAAGATGAAAACCAAAACAATATCAGATTGGCATTTATGCTCCAAAAATGTAGTTGTTTAATGTTGTACTTAGTAAATGTGTGTCATTGATGCTGTATTCTCCTAGCTACTATAGAAAATTGTTCAAATAAAGATCTGGATATATAAATAATTTTTGTTAATGTCTTATAACTAAACTCGCTGCACAGAAGATGAAATATACACCAACATGGGCAATACTCTGGGTTATAAAATAGATCTTTACAATTTAAAAGAATAGAAATCATATATGTTCTCAGAAAATAGATATCAACTAGGGCCTCCCTGGTGGCACAAGGGGTTGAGACACAACCTATGAAGCTATCCGCAGCCACTGCAGCACGAGTTTGATCCCCCGGGCAGGGAGATACCCACATGGTGCAGCAGACCTCTCCTGACTCGCCCCCTGCTCCCCCCAGCAGTGTATTTCAGTAGATCTGCCTGTTCTACTCCTCACTCTATCTCTGGTGAAGGCTCTTACCCTCCCCCCCCCCACACACACACACCTCTGGCCTGCAACCCAGCTCTTGTATGCATAAATAAATATTTTAAAAAATAGATTTCAACTGGAAAACTGGTGACAGAAAAAGAGCTGGAAAAAAACAAACTACGGTATGATTAAACAATGTATTTCTAAATAACACATGGGTCAAAGAAGTCTCAATAGAAATTTTAAAACATTTTGAAATAAATGAAAATAAATTTGTGGTGAAAACAGTACTTAGAAGGAAATTTATAGCATTGAATACTTTATTAGAAAAAAAGAAAGACCTAAAATCTTTCATTCAAACTTCCACTTTAGGAAAATAAAGAAGACAAAATTATATGAAAAGCAGAAGAAAAAGAATAATAATGGTGCATAAATTAATGAAATTTAGGACAAGAAATCATTAAAGAAAAATCAGTGAAATCAAACACTTGTTCTTGGAGAAGATCAATAAAATTGATAAGCTTCTAGCCAGACTATGAGAAACGATGACATAGTGAGTTAGCTGTTGCACAGAGCTGGGAGGAGTGGGTGTAGTGTGGGGATAGGGTGGAATAACCAAACGGTGTGGCATTTCACTCTGAGATCATAAAAATGCTTTTAAATTGTGATACTATATCTATGGTATAAGAATTATATCTCCATTTGCTGCGGACCAGCACAGCAGTAGACGATGAGGCCACCTCAGGGTTGAGAGAAGCGTGCAGGGTGGTCAGGGCATCGGTGAAAGAAATGACAAACAGACACACTTCAAGAGTGAAAATCTGAGTGTAATTTTATTTGAGTTGGTGACCAGTATATATATGTTTTCTAAAAGCATAGGAATGGCGAACATCAGTGAAGAAATCAGCTTGCTTATAGGTTTAGCTTATCATTGACAGGGCAGTGATTTACAACTGGACCCAGGCGCATTCCTAAGTAGTTAGGCTATTAATTTTTCTTTTTATTTTATGTGATTACTTTTTGTTTAAACTACTCACGACCACTAAATTACTATACATTAACACGGGTGAGTTTTACTTTTCACAACGTAATATTTTTATCATTAAGATTAATACTAACAAGGCTAAGCATACAACAGAAAAATTATTAAGCTAACAGTTCTATTAATACACAGAGTTTAGTGACGTTTCATTTGAATCAGCCTAGTTATTAGATTTCTTATGTTCTTTTTTAATCGGCAAACCAATGACCTTTTTAGACAGAGAAAGAGAAAAGATTTTATAGAGACAGTTGTATTAGAATAAAGTTTGTGGGTCTAGAGAAGGTGAGATAAGTTTCCGTGCGGACAGCATTCCTGTAGTGGCTCCTGGTGGTCGTTATTTTTCAACAGGCTTCCGTCTTATCTATGTCTTCAGGCGGTTTTGCTGTTCTCCCCCTGCGCGCTGGTTGCCCAGCCGGACCTAGGGACCGTAGCGCAAGCCTAGCCCTAAGGGTCACTGCAGGGGGAGGTGCAGCACCATTAATCTACCCTTTCCAAAAGTAGAATTTGACTTCTGGTATGGCAGACTAAGGAGCTCAGTGAATTCTCTCCTTAAAAAAACAGGGCAACAGTGGACAAAAGTATCAAAAAAAATTTTAGGTCTTTGTAAATTGACCTAAAACATAGAGCAAATTAGTAGTAGTTAGTCATAAAAAACCACTGAGCTCTAAGAAAAGTGGGTGTCTGACAGTCTTGCCTGAGGCTTCTCCCATCACCCTTCCTTCCCCAAGCCGATGTAGAATGATGGTTCTACCAGAGTAGGGCAAGCTGTGCAAACCAGCAGCTTTCCTGTTGGAGTGGGCTCACTTGGAGTGGACTGCAATAAAATCCCATGCCCAGTAACTGTAGAGAATATATTTCTGTTGTTTTAGTTTGCGGTACTTTGTTATAGTAGCTTTAAGTCATAATATAGTATTGACCTGAGATATATGTAATGGTTAGGATGCATATTTTAATCCCAGAGTAACCACAAAAAAAAAAGTAACTTAAGAAATAATAATTTAAAGGTAGGAACTAAAATGCCATGCTAAAAAAGAAATCTATCACTGAAAATGCCAGTAAGGGAGAAACAGAAACAAGAACAAAAAAAAGACATGAGATGTATATAAAAACACAAAATGACAGACATGAATCCTGCCATATCAATGACTACATTAAATGTTACTTGAAGGCACAGATTGTCAGACTGGATTAAAAAAAAAAACAAGACCTAACTAAATGCTGTCGGAAACATTTTAGTTCAAAAATACATAGCGTTTGGGGAAAAAGAGAAAAAGTTAAATCACTAAAACTATAAGAGCTCAAGTGGCTATACTAATATCTGACAAAATAGACTTTAAGGCAAAAAATATTGTAGTGAGAATGGACATTTCATAGTATAAAAGTTGCATCAGGAAGATGAAAAATTTTCAATGTATACTGGGTAAGTTAAGAGAAGGAGACAGTAGGTGATGAGCAGAGAAAAATAAAAAGCCCATAAAGAAATGTGGCTGAGCCTGGGGCTACCACATGCATATCCACAGGCTCACTGCTCAGTGCAGGAGACCCTGGCCCAAGACTTGGTTAGTTATTCCTCATCAGATCTAGATGTCAGTGTTATTCCTCAGTTCCAATCCCACCGTGACTCCCTCACATTGTCCACTTCCACCTTGCCTAGGGTTTTCCAAAAAAAAAAAAAAAAAAAGGCAGTGATTGTTCCTGGTCCTCCAATGCCCATTTTTAATTCTTTCAGCCAAAACTTGCATTCCCTGTGCTCCTTTGCTGGTAGGTGTGTTCATGTGACCCAATGGCCTGGGAAGGGTAGGGCCTTCTGCCGTCTGTTTCACTTGAACACAACAACACAACATGTAGGGATGTGGGAAACCCTCTTGGACCATATGTTTGGGGACACACCCAAGAAATGGTAGGACCCAAAAACAAGTTTCTGGCTTTTGGCACAGAAATCACCATCCCAGCATGCATTCCTCCACCAGCCTATATGAAAAAGAAGTAACCCTTACCTGAGCCCTAGTTTCAAAAACAGAAACAAAAATATGCACCTAACAACCCTAAGATTCCTGAAGCAAAATTCAACAAAATTGAAAGGAAAAATCGGCAACTTGACAGGAACACCTGAAACCTTCAATATCCCATTCTCAATAACTAATAGAATAGAAAGAAATTAAGCAAAAATACAGAAGACTGGATAACACAATCAATCAGCTTAATCCAACCGATATTTACAGAACATGCTACAGCAGCAAAATCCACATTCTTCGCAAGCATCCACAGATCATTCTCTAGGATAAGACAATAAATGAAATACATTTACAAGTATTGATATCAAACATGTATGATCTCTGACCACAGTGGAAAATGGAATTATACTGGTAATCAATAGAATCGACAACTGAAAGGAAATTTGCAAAATCCCCCAATAATTGTAAATTAAACAAGACATTTCTAAACAACAAAAAGCATAGAAGAAATTAGAAAACACTTTTACTTGAGAGGCAACAAAAATACACCAAAGTAGGATTAACCAAAGCAGATCCCAGAAGGAAACTGGTAGTTTTAAATGCCTTTTCTAGTATAAAAAAAAGATATGTCTCAAATTAATGAGATTTTCTAGTTAGGGAAGGAGAGAGTAAGCTAAACACAAAGCAAACAGAAGAGTAGAAATAATAAAGATTAGAGTGGAGATCAATGAAATTAAAAATGGAAAAATGAAAGAGAAAATCAATGAAATCAATGAAAGGATTAAAGAAACTGCAAACTTAGGGGAAAAATTAAACAAGTCATTCAAAATCTTATTTAAAAAAAGTCCAGGTCCTAACTGTGTTATTGATAACTTATCAAATATTTAAAGAAGCAATAACACCAGCTGTTGCTGAGAATATTTCCTAACTCATTCTATGAGGCCAGCATTACCTTGACACCAAAGCCAAATAAAACACAAACTTTCTCACATGAAGCAAAAACTAAAGATCAATATACCTCATTAACATAGATGCAAAACACTTAACTAAACATTACACACTGAACCAAGCAACACATAAAGCAAATCATATACTGTGACCAAGTGGAATCCAAAGTTGGAATCCCAAGTTGGTTTAACATTAAAAAAATCAGTGTAATATACGATAGCAATAGAATACAAAACCCATCTTAATTGATCATCTCAACTGATGGAGATCATCCCAGTTGATTCAAGATTTTAAATATTTCACAGCAAAGTAGGAGTAAGAAGAACATCTTTAGTCTGACAAGGAACATGTATGGATAAAATCTACAGTCAACTTCATATGTTAGTGGCAAAAAAATTGAATGCTTTTCCTCTAAGACTGGAACAAGGCAAGAATGTCCCCTTACTCTTACCACTGCTATTCACATTGTGTTGGTGGTTCTCTTGACACACACGAAAATTAAGGGTACCCATGTTGGAAAAAAGGAAGTAAAAAATGGATTTATTTGCAAGTGGCTTAATTTTATATGTGGAAAATCCTAAGGAATTCACAGAAATTACTAGAACTAATAAATTCAGAAAAGGTCAGAAAATAGAGAATTAATATAAAAATCAATTATATTTCCACATACTAGCAATAAACAATCTGAAACGAAATTAAGAAAACAGTCCTAAACATTCATAATAAATTATATCAAAGAGAA